GTGGTTTCTATGTCTATATTTCTTTTGTGAGAAATACAGTAGTATCTAAAACTGGATCATCCTCTCCCTTTCTAATGGCCAGAGGGGCTGTTAACGATTGTGCAATACTGTGTCAACTTTAAGTGGAAGTTTGGAAGAAAGTAACGTAGTTGTAGGATGAGAGGCAGGACAAGCAAGTGTAAAAAAAGAGGCTAAAACTCAAACCTGTCATCTTCCAGGAGGGGGATTTTCCAGTAACAGAATAGCCTCCTTCTGGAGACAAAGTCCAGCTATTGATGGCCTGGATGGGGGGGTTGGTTTTGATATGTGTGGGAGTTGCTGGGGGCAAGGCGTGGCCAGCTGAGTAAGTGAGGCTGGGTCAGAAAGTAGAAACTGTTGGAGGTTTCTGTGTGAACTTGATTCCATGAGGGGTGTGTGAGTAAGCGCTCTGCAGACGGCTAGACAGTTGGATATTTGTGTCCTGAGGCAGTGAGTGGCCATCATTAACAGGGCAACACTGCTTTACCAAGTTTTAAACATCAAAGATATGGTCATTTGTCTTGTCTCATTGTTACTTGCCTGACTTCTGTTAAAGAGACATTTTGTTTCACACACCCATGCTTGAGGTTAAGTTGAAAGAAAAGAACTGTCTCAAATCACATCTGTAGATCTAAGTCAGTCAGTTGTCCCTAATCAATATACAGTATGTTAACTACAGATGTCAAAGGAAACAGGATCCCATCAATAGAGGAGGCGGCTGATACAGAATACCATATCTGTTATAGGTTTGGTAGAACTAAGAGACACAATGTATTTAGTTCTAAGGTCAGATCATTTCTCTGACGACAACAAAGTACATGAGAAACTTGGACGGTCCACTAGATTGTGCGATCAATAATGTTTGTCCAGCCACAGGTAGGCTGTTAATTTATAATAGATGAACCCGTGCAACCCTTTGCCATATCACAAACAGAAAAACTTAAAAGTGGAGGAAAGGGAACAGATTGCTGTGTAATTTAATAGCATCTTAATTGTTAGCCTGTGTATGATATGTACAATTTACTAGACACTGTGTTCATGTGTGTATGTATATGTCCGTGTGTGTGTATGTGTCTTTGTATTGCTAAACGTGGTAGAATAGTGTAATGTGCGTCAGCCTCCGAGGTCTCCTGCTGTCACGCAAGATTAAAAACCACCTGCTTCAGTGATCAGAAGCTGTAGTGAAGTAACAGAGGTGTTGTGTTGGTGTTGTGTGCTCCAATTTCGGGCATTGTCTGTTCTTGTCTTCTCATAGTGATATCATAGACTTTGTAAACAAAAATGTATCATCTAGAATCTTTGTTCACCAGCAACTCATTATTATCTACTTTATAAATGAAGTACTCTTCTCAGATATTCAGCAGCTACTTATCGACGATTCATCAATCGTGAGGTTAGATGCACTTATTAAAAATCGCTTTGGACAAAAGCCCCTGCCAAATTCATGTAATGTAATTTAATATGATTGTCATGCTGCTTACGTTGGTGCATGAATTTTGTTTAAAATGTTTCCTGCTTGATAGGAAAGCTATCTCAAATCATATGGTATGCTCAGTAATGTCAAGTGTGAGAGAATTGTAGTGTACTGTAGTCAATGGGCTTACACATGTGAAAACACAGGTATGGTCCTTTAAGTCCTCTGAGTAGCTAAACCCTTTGACTGATGTTGTTTTGGCACAACAGGCAAGGCACCAGCTGGTCTCTGAGTAAAAAGGTTTAAAGGAGGCAGGAGACTGAAAATGCCAAACCAAGAAGACACACTTGAATGAATCGTGTGTGTGTGTGTGTGTGTGTGTGTGTGTGTGTGTGTGTGTGTGTGTGTGTGTGTGTGTGTGTGAGAGAGAGAGAGAGAGAGAGAGAGAGAGAGAGAGAGAGAGAGAGAGAGAGAGAGAGAGAGAGAGAGAGAGAGAGAGAGAGAGAGAGAGAGAGAGAGAGAGAGAGAGAGAGAGAGAGAGAGAGAGAGAGAGAGAGAGAGAGAGAGAGAGAGAGAGAGAGAGAGAGACTTCAATGTACCGACACCCTAAGGCTAAGTAACCTGAAGTAAAACTGGAGTCAGAGGAGTGCTCGAAGTAGAAGGGCTGTGTCTGTAAAGAGACAGACAGACAGTCTGGATAAAGAGGGAATCGACATCCATAACTATGATGGATATTTTGTGGTACTCCGAGATGGACTGAGCTCCAGTGAGTACGACGTTACACTAGGTGGACGTGTTTTGGCCTGGGCAGGTATGGTGCCATACAAAGTATGGTAAGAACAAACTGTGTATGCCAACATTTAGTCCATTTTACTCGAACTGTGGTGCGATTTGTTGGGGCAGTTGTGAATGCAGTAAATTTGCTCTGGTGTGGACCAAATCATTTGATCCATAACGGTCAGGAGCTTTTTTGAAAGACATTAACCTGTATAGTTACTGCTACTAACTACTCTACAACATATTTCCAGCATGGGAATGACATGGTGATACTGTATGATTGGCCTTATGACAAAAAGACCAAACAAAGAGAAAAAAGTCAAAATAGTTACTCTGCAGTCTATTACATGTTTGTAACCAAGTTTACGGAATAATGTCTCTGAGAGACACTCCCTTCCTGTATTCTCCTGGCGTTTCTGTTCTCTAGATGTCCATCCTTTGTTGTTTCCCCCATCATTTTCCACCTGTATTTTCATCCCTCCAGCCTTTTTTTAATTGAAGTACAGTATTAAAATTCAGTTTAGTGGATGCTAAAGAGGCATGCAGAAGAACTGCACCTCTTTAGACCTTTGGCATCCTGGTGGGCTGGAACCATGGCCGTACGCAGGGTTTTAGAAATACAGAGGTCCAAAAATTCTTTCTTTTTCTCACTGCCTCCTCTGCTTGTCCCGTATCTTTTCCCTTCTCAAAGCTGAGGTTTGATTGACAGTCGTTTCATCTTTGTGTGTCTCAGTGAAGAAAGTAAGAACACATGGGTTATAAAGGGTTGAAAGTGAAACTAACTAGCCGGCATCATTGGCCACTGTTTAACGCGGCGCGACCAAATGGAGATCAAAGGAGCAAGTTGGTAATCTTGGCCTTGTACAATATCTTTGCTGCACCACAATCAACTTATTTTTAGTCAGAAAACACAGAGGTCCAGACCTCGGTGACCTCAGTGGTGGTTACGGCCGTGGCCATGGAAGTGCTTTTATACGGGAAAATGGAAAAATAGAGAGAGCTGAAGAAATCAGTCGTGTTTTTCTTGACTTCATGTGGTCTTTCAGCTTTAATGACATAGACGACTACAGAGCCCAATTTGCCTGGAGCTAAATATAACAAAATGCATCCTGTTGGAAGATGTGGCTAGTAACTGAGCAGTTGTTTTTCAGGTTCTGATACTGAGTCGCCCTGATGGAAGGCATCGTAACACAAATATTTGCACACCAAAAATGCCCCAAGGATTGATACTGAAAATCACTTACCCTTACAGCAGCTTCTCACGGCAGTATCGGACCACAATGGACGTCACAGCTTCTCACTGTGACGTCTTCGTGACTGATCACAGACGGCTGTTTAGTCAATGAGATATAAAGCTGATGAAACAGACCTCATAGATCTTTTGTTATGTTGGCTGCATGAATCCAGTGAAATACACGTGTTTGATTGAATGTCTTGTGTTTAAGGCTTTAGGATCCTTTATAGATACCACATATATAAACCACGACCCACAATGCATAGCAGCAACATTATAATCCTGCAGAAAATGTCTGTACTTCTGCCAATTTTTCTGTATTGATCTGTTTTGCCCTTTGTTGCATATCGTAGGGAGACTGTTTATGTCTAATCATGAGGCCTAGCAGCTGGCAGAGACGTGTTTTTTAGTGTAACCTACTTGTTTTTCACACTAATTTTGTCAAATATCTCAAGTTGTGCTTTGTCTTGCCACTTAGACCACATGGGAAATATACTATATTTTCCTGTTTTCACATTCCCTGTAACCATGTTCAACATGTGTAATGTTATTTTGATGATATACAAATGTATACAGTCCTTCACCTGGCCCAAAAGTCTCTTGGTAAACTGCACTGCCTCTGCCCTGTGCGTGTCTGCTGCCACCAGTTTGATCCCTGAATCCTCATCTCCTACTGGGGGCATTGAACCTTAAATCTGATTATTTTAATCCTTATGAAGGGAGTCCATGGGGGATGGATAGCTGTTGAAGGTGGAATGAGGGGACCAACAAAGCCTGGTGATTTATCAATACTGTATGCTATCTTCAGGAAAGCTTTTTGTTTTTTCTGGGATGCTCGCACAGTAAACAAAGAATAGTAAAACGGAGAAAAGTGTTGCTGAATTGAAGTAAACGGGGGGGGGGGGGCAAAACTATAGTAAAATATCAGTTCACAAACTCTCACACAACTCATGCAGTATAATCCCAGTCATATTTACTGTATGCTCAGTTCTTATCAAACACACGCATATTCATTAACGCCGTACTTTTTTAAAACACTCCTGACTCTTTCGGAACCACACGCACGAGTAGCACGCCTGCGCAAGAGTGATACCTTTTATGTGTAAGTGTTTTAAATAGTAAAGTTTGATAAATAAACTTAAACTTGGATTATACTGTACGAGTTCTGTGGGAGATTGTAAATGAATGTTTTGATCTAGTTTTGCTGTAGTTAAACGCAGCCTCCCCTTTTGCTTCAATTACTTCAAAGACTTTTCTCCGTTTTTTAATTCTAGATTCACCATGGAGGCATGCGAGAACAATTAAGTTTTCCGCAAGAGAATAAGGTCACAAATGATGGGTAATTAATACACAAATGGTCATTTTGTGGGTGAAGTATTTTTTCAATGTACTGGAAATGTTACTGCTATCGTTGTTCTTAGAAATATGTGTTTGTATTTGAATTCTCCCTCTCTATTGTACGTGGCAAAGCAGCTCTTTAATGGATTTCAGCCTCCCTCCCTACTGTACGTCTTCACCTCTGATGTCACTAATATTTCCCTCCTCTGTTTTCTCCAGATGAGATCATGCAGCTGGACAGCAGTCCGCTCCATGCTGCTGACATCACCCCTGACCTCAAGAAGCAGTTTGCCTTCCTTTCAGGTGACTCTTCCATTTCTATCTCTGCGTATCTGTCTGTATGGGCTTATGGGGATTTCATCCCACCTGCTGCCTGTCAGTTTGTATCTTAATTAGCACTAATCATCTGCCTCATCTCTGCCACCAGAGGAATCATTTATATTTGAATTACTCCACTTGATTTTTGCATATTTAATGTGTACAGTTCTCTCCCGGCAGTTATGATTTGCTATTCAAATGTCACCTCTCTCCATTTCCTCTTCATTCTCTGTCATGTTCTGGTCCAAATACCCTTTATATTGTTGCTGCTGTTACCTGATCTCTATTTGCTTGCTGTCTCTGCATGTCCAGTTTTATGATAACATCCATGTTTTGTGTCTTTCCACATCATTTGAGGCATCTTTGGCTGAGATTGCCAGTTATTTGTGATGCATATTATATCGTTTCTTACAGTACAGTACTGTGTGCCAGAGCTGACATTGTGACTGCAGCCAGCAGACAAATATTTAAGCAGATGTTGAAACCATGACCATGCACTCGCTGTTGCTATAGTGATGAGAGAAGAAAAGGCAGACAGATTCATATTCCAGTCACATGCGCTGACAGAGCAGAGCAGCTGTCTCACTGTGTGTGTGTGTGTGAGTGTGTGTGTGTGTGTGTGTGTGTGAGAGTGAGTGAGTGAGTGAGTCATTGTGTACAAACATGTTTCACCTCTTTCTTTTCTCATGTCTTTATTTCATTTAAAATTCCTTTTCTTAAAGGCCCTTTTCAATCGGCTTCTTACCGTTAGCAACGGGCTCGAACAAGAACACACACCTTTCTGGCAACATTAGAGTTTTGGTTATTTCGCATGAGACATTTTTCAATATTTATATTTTTCACTGTGCTCTTCTCACCAGTTTGAGGTGGGCGGAGCTCTGTTGGGAAAAGGTGATGGCACATATTTCTGTGGATTAATGAGGATTGAAGAATATTTAAATCTGAATCTAATGGCAGCTGTTTGGCCACTGTTTGTCAAATCAAACCACAAACACAGTTCAGAGGAAGCAGATTAGCTATTTTTTAGGTGTTGAATCTTTGATTGTTGCTTATTTAGTCATGAATATAAAGAGAGATTAGAAACCAGGGACTTTAAGGTAGAACTGTGTGGTAAGATGGTGGTGTAAGGGGGTAAAATAATGAGATAATATCACTTTATTACATTATTAAATCAACTATTGACTGTGGTGGGCTGACTTATCCTCCTTTTTCAGATATTGACATTTATTTAAAAATGCTAGTTATTTAAAAATAAACAATTTGTTTATATTGGAAGAAAATACAAGTATGTTTGTTTGTTTTATGATGGATATTGCAGTTTTTTCTGTACAGTCTCCAATCATCAGCGATAGAGCTTTAACATCAGTGCCCCCATGTGGCCATTGTTTCTTCTTCCTCAGGCTCTCTTCCTTTCTTCTGTAATTAATCAAAAGACATTTTCCTTGTCAGACTGATTGTCAGAGCCCCCAACGCAGAGACTCACAGCTTGAAAGTTATGAGTTTATATGTTTTTTTCTTTGCCTCATAAATTATAATATTCTATGCTGTAGGAGATACACACAACATATTCTTACAGGTAATCCCTATATATTCATGTGGCAATTTTTAATGTTCCTCTGTTTTCCAATTTTCTAGGAGGTAGAGGAGATAATGGCAGCCCCATCATTGTGTTCCCAGAATTCCCTGCGTTTGGAGAGATCACAGACGGAGAGTTTCACAACGTGCTGACCTACCTGACTAGTGTGCCGAGGTAAAGTCCCTCACTGGCTGATTGTCACAGGCAAACACAAGATTTATTTTCAAGTCATCTAATCGCAGCTGCGTCCTCTTTCTTACATGGTATCACCACTGATGTCCTATCCTCCCTTGTTTATCAACACTTTTTTAACACCACCACCTATCCTGGTGTCACCAGCAACTTATTTTCTCCCTCTTAATGCTGCAGCACAACACTGCTGATTCACCTGTGTGGGTTTATGGACAAACTGAGAGCTACAGTCATGTTTTTTATACATTTCACACATCATGTGATAAGGCAAGGCAAGTTTATTTGTATAGTACATTTCAACAACAAGGCAATTCAAAGTGCTTCACATAAAACCATTAAAAGCATCAAAACATAAGGCAAAACATTCATTAAAACACTAAAAAGCAGTGTAAGAAATAAAATACAGTAGTAAAATGCAGGAAATTGATTAATATCCTTGGATATGGTTCAATTAAAGGCAGCAGCAAACAGAAAACTCTTCAATCTTGATTTAAAGGAACTGAGGGTCTCAGCAGACCTGCAGCTTTCTGGGACTTTGTTCCAGATATGTGGAGCAGAAACACTGAACGCTGCTTCTCCATGTTTAGTTCTGACTCTGGGAACAGAAAGTAGACCAGTCCCAGACGACCTAAGGGGTCGGGATGGTTCATAAGGTAGCAGCAGATCAGAGATGTATTTTGGCCCTAAACCATTCAGTGCTTTGTAAACCAACAGCAGGATTTTAAAGTCAATTCTTTGTTGGACAGGAAGTCAGTGCAAAGACCTCAGAACTGGAGTGATGTGATCCACTTTCTTGGTCTTAGTAAGGACTCGAGCTGCAGCTTTCTGACAGACTTTTTACAGAGACCTGTAAACACACCGTTGCAGTAGTCCAGTCTGCTGAAGATAAATGCATGGACAAGTTTTTCCAAATCCTGTTGAGACATAAATCCTCTAATCCTTGATATATTCTTCAGGTGATAGGAGGCTGATTTTGTAATTGTCTTGATGAGGCTGTTCAGGTTGAGGTCTGAATCCATAACTACACCTAGATGTCTGGCTTGGTTTGTGGTTTTTAACATCAGTGATTGAAGCTGAGCGCTGACTTTCAATCGTTCGTCCTTGGTTTCAAAAACAATTACTTCTGTTTTATCTTTGTTTAATTGAAGAAAATTCTGGCACATCCAGTTGTTGATTTGTTCAATGCATTTACCGAGCCCCTGTATGGGATTATAGTCCCCTGGTGATCTTTAGATAAAGTAGAAGGGGTTTCCCGGGTTTGGACTCCAAAGACATGCAGGTCAAGTGAACTCAAAATAAATGGATGTGGGAATGGATGCAATTCAGTCAGAGATACAGAATAGATGAACATTTTACTTTGTGAAGATGCCTTTGTGTACGAAGTCTGCCAGTAGGTGGCAGTGAATACTAAAACACAACTGCGTAAAGATGTAAGCTACAGAGGATTTATGCAGTGGACAGGACAGTCTGTGTGTATTGCATAGATATCTGAAGGGGAAGAGTGGTTCCTGTATTTAAAAAATGGCCAATTAATAATCCAGGGTCTCTTATCAGTGCTCTGCAGACTGTGTTTGTACACATGGACAGACCTGGGCGAGACATGGAGGCGGGGGAAGGGAAATGTACAAAACCATCTCTTTCTCCAACTATTCCTCCAGAAAGCCATCCCCTGACTCGTCTTTTCTACCCTTTCATTTTTTCTTTGATATTTTCCTCACTATTAAGTCTTGACATGATTTGCTCCCCCCCCCCCCCGCCCCTGGCTGTCCCACCCTTCCTTTATCGTGACCGGACTGGCAAAGTGCGTAGAATAGAAACTGCAGCAATTCTTACCGTTTGAATCTGAATAATGCATACCGACAGCTGAGCAGAGCCGTGTCCTGTAGTGTGTGCGCTTGTGTGTGATGAATCCACATGAGGACCTGTTCACACAGACATGTCTATATGACGACCTACATATAGACATGTCTGTAGGCCTTTAGATAATAACAATACAGCTCTAGGCCTTTAGATGATAACAATACAGCCAATACAGCTTTTTTTTTGTCATCGACTTGAACTAATATACTGAAACTTTAATAATTTCTAATCAATAAGTAACAGGCAATATTATCAAATGTCCAGCCTATTTCAGCAATTTTCAAAATGTTGTTCTTTTATAAACTGTATTACAGTTCAACCTGTGTGCAATGAGTATTAGTTTTTCAAATCCAAGCTGAAAACCAGCTAACATGCAGATATAATTTGCATCCATATTCAACTCCATCGTGATCAGGCCTGATCGACAGGACTGAGATGGCGTCGAGCTTCAAGTTGTTCTGAACACGGAGGCAGATGGCTGGTGCTACCTGAGGGACCGACACCCCTGGCAGGGCACACGGTCCACAGCTGGGGACAAATGTCCTACAACTCTGTGTTGTGCCCTTGAACAGCTGCTGCTAGTTTGAAACAAATACCTTTGGATCAATATTAATCGGAGACATCATTTAAAACATACCATATGGTTATTCAATGTAAATAATTGATATATTGAACTACCAGAAAACATGCAAAAATATATATAAAAAATCTAAGCTGTGTTAAGTATTAAATCAATTTCAGTCTTGTCGCAGGATTTTCTGGATCCTAATTCATCTACTTTAGGCTTTGCATCTATAAACGCACTCAGGAATGAATTAATTTAGTCCCTTCTCTTATATTATCTCTCCTTGGCATTACAAATGCATGCACACTTGGATCTAGTTTTGCTGATGGTTCTATATTAAAAGGTACCATTGGCAGTCATTTTGAGACATATTGAATTGAAACACATACTGCGCTTGTGGCTTGTTTAATCAGTTTTTTAAATTTAATGTACCACTGCTCTTATATTCAAGCAATCTCTCTCTCTGCGCTGCTCATTGCCACAGAAGAAGGGGACGCTGCAGCAGGATGTGTGTTGCTACGTCTGCATATGCATTCAGGCAGCAAATTTCCCTCATCACTGCATCGCCATTAGGCAGAGCCTTTTTACAACTCACAGCTTCACACTTTGTCCTGAGGAATCCAATTATTATTAGGACACGGATGCATGTGCAGCAGCAACACAGGTGGTTTCCATGCATATTTGAATTAAACAATTTATTAAACCGTTTACAATACAGATGATAACCATACAAGACGTTATATGATTTAAAATGCCCCTTGTTTATTTACATTTTTATAAACTAACTAAAATAACCTTCTTTTTTAGAACCAAAGTTTAAATTGTTGATTTGTTTTATAGGGTATAGTGCATTTAATCAACATTTACATTTTTGAAAATATGCCATGGTCTAATTTACACCCATAGTCCCAATAGAATTAACAGAAGAAACGGATAAATATTATTGAAATATATTATTGAAAATCAAATGGGACATAAGCAGTAGATGTCATCTGTCACACATAACACACAGTTTGGGACATTGTCTTTTAGCAGCGACAGCAGAGAGTTATTTCATCGTGTTCTTCAGATCTTTCAGCCTCAGGTGCTCCATGTTCACCATAAACCACCGTCTCATCTCAGCAGCTGTAAATGTCTTGGAGGCAGTAAGTGCTCTTGTCCCACTCGCCCGCTCCTCCTCCTCCTCCTCCTCCTCCTCCTCCTCCTCTGCGGCTGAGGTTAAAACAGTTTGTGCTTTGAAAGCCCGAGTGGCTGTAAGAGTCTCTGTGGGTGACTGAGCGCACAGCTGAGAAACGGAGGTGACGGAGGGAGAGAAGTGCAGAAAACAAGGATGAGTGCCACTAACAATGTAAATATTGCAGTGAGATAAAGTAGAGAGGCAGACATGAATTAACATTCTGTGTTTTCCTTATAAATGAAACCCTCATGCGTACAGAAGCACCCTCCTTTGAGTCTGTCCCCTCCCCCTACATCTGCAGACTGGCTTCTAGTGCTGCTCATCACTCTGCAGCCATTCTGTAATAGGCTCCTGTCTCAGCAGCTCCCAGTGTCTCATTGGATGACTAATGGATGCAGTGCAGGGGGCAGGCTGGATGCTGTGGTGGTCTGAAGCATTTGGCTCTTTCCCCTTCAAACAGCACAGCACACTGGGACCTACCTCTGAGACACAACCCCGTTTCCTGTGTTTTTATTTTGGCTTTACTGTCCCAAAGACGACTTCTTTTTTTTTTTTACCTGCTGCCACCCTGTTTGTGCAGTTATTCGTTGCAGGATGGTGGACATGAAAGCAATTACTTGAGGATTACTGTGATATTCCAGCATGGTTCTGACTGCACTGTAGTTGCATCGAGTTTAAGTGTACACAGGGTGAGCTGCACATGCCCTTATCAGTGATCGTTGGCGGTGTGTGTAAACCGTACAGCCCTCCTCTCTGGTCCCAGAAGGAGGGGAAGGGGGGTGCGGAGAGAGAACTGGGGGCCAAGAAATCGAGAGGTACTTGACAGCATCTCCTTTTATGGACTGCACCAGCTGTCTCAGAAGATAAAGAGCAGCATAACAAAACAATGAGCCGTGAACAAGCAATTAGCTTCACTAGTGTCTCACTGTGCACGCGTCAACTGAAAACTACATGTATGTTTTATGTCTTTTTGTTTTTTTTCTCTTTGCGCTCTTGTGTTTCTGAGTGCTAACTACTTTTCTGTCTTTGAAACTGTCTGTTAGGAGTCATTAGATTGTGGCCCAGTGTGTGATTTTATAATTTTTTGTCAATGTGAGTTAAAAGTTGATGTGATCTCTTCTCACCATTCCTTGTGCTGTTGTCGAGCTCTGCTCACCATGTGGCTGGGTATAATTAGAGCAGTGTTTTGATTTGTGTTGACACGTTTTCTCTCTGTGTGCTTCAGTTTGTCTTCGACCGGCGTGGGTTTCATCCTTGTCATCGATCGCCGGCAAGACCGATGGGCGGCCGTCAAGGGGACCCTGCTTCGTATCGCAGTAAGTTGACCGTGCGCTTACTTTCTCTCTGTGTTGTTGGCGTCTTTGTGTCTGCGTGTGAGAGGAACAACAGTTTTACTCAACTGTTTTTTTTAGAGGCACTGGCCTGGCACCCTCACCCACAGGGGGAGGGTTTGTCAGGCCAGAGAGAGGTGTTAGAGCGTCTCCATCTCTCTCTCCAACAGCTCCACTGCTAATATCACTTCCACCCTGGGGGGGGGGTTGATATGACTAAACCTCATCCTTGATCTCTATCCCATCACCATCATAGCCTGCCATGTGTTCCCATAGCTACAGGGACAAATAGACAGTCACATGCCAGAAAAAGACAGGAGATGATGTTGCTTTTGTTCAAGCAGTCATTTAAATATCTCACTTATCATCTCCGCACCAGCAGAGAAACAACTGATGTATTTACACATATTTTGTTGCACTGTAATTAGTTGCTGAATAATTCTGCAGGAAGAGAAATGGCTGTATAAACTGCCTTTAGCACATGATTTATTTTCCTATCACCTTTTTAATTGCTACTTAATGCTTCATCGCACCTTGAGACGGGGAACTGATACTAGTAATGTTATTTATGTTGCTGAATAGAATGAAGCGTCAGAAGTAATCCGGACTCTGCTTTATTCTGCTCATTTCTGCTCATTTCTGCTCAAAAATCTCTCTGTTCATTTCTGCTCTATGTTTTGTGTCGGGAGGTGATGAACTGGCAGCTCTCCATAATACGTGTGTGTGTGGGGGAGAATGACTTTCATAAACACACAATCTCTCTGCAAATTCCCTCTTCTGGCCAAAAACAATGGGAAGTGGACCAGCACCATGATTCATGCTCTATTGGTATGAGTTTTACCAGCTTCATTCATATCAACATTCAGCTTCTATTGCCTGCAGGTGTAGTACAGAAATTATAATTGCTGTTGATATACAGGAAACAGGAACGTTTGGGTCGGACAGATCTCTACAGATCTATCATTAACGCTGATGGCAGCAAAGTAATAACTCAACACAGAGAGAGAGTGAGAGATACGAAAAGATTAAATGTCCAAGAGAGAATGAGAGATGAATATCACCAAACATGGTCTCGAGAGACATGGGAGTCCACATCGCTCGTTTCAAATTAAATCAAGCTTTATTAATCCCACAAGGGGGGCTTTTACAGGCTGACAGGCTGGTAATATGGGACATTCAGTCATGCCTGCAATCATGTCCTGTTTGGGGTGATTCAGCTGCTAAATAGATGATGATGATGACGAAAACAGGCACTATTCAAGCTGCTACAGCTACTGTATATATTTGTAGTGGAGTCTAGTTCATGAGCTGAATCGCATTGTAGTCATAGCGCACTGTGATTCACTCAGCGAGGTTATTGAGTCAGTGTACATGAGGGTGTGTTTGTGTGTGAGAGGATATTAAATGTTTATGCTGTTGAAGGATTCCCTTTGTCTTTCTGTGTGTCTATTTGTATGCGCACACATGTGTACATGTGTTTGTGTGAATGTGGGTCAGTGTGTTTCAAGAAAAAGCTGCCCGTCACTGTGCATGGCTGAGTTTGATCTGATGACAGACAGAAAGTGTGTTTCATAGACTGATCCCAATTAAGTCTGCAGAATTACTGTCAGTCCCTGAAGGGAACCCTCCTCTCCTGTCATTTATCTGGCTCTTCTTTGAGGCTTTGTGTCTTTGTGTGTCTGTGTGTCTGTGTGTGTGTGCATCTCTTAGCCTAGAATTGACAAAGAACAAAGAACAAGTAGACCATGACCATGACTGCCAGCGACCAGATATCCAAGCAGCACGGTTTAATGGTTAGAAGCTACAATTTGCATTTAAAGGTTAAGTCTGGAGATATTCTATAATGTTTTTGTCAAAATACACTCCAGTGTCTGTGTTCATTGTAATTGTAAACAGTGTGGTCAATGTGTTTTTAATAGTTATATATGGAGCTATATGGCACAGAGGCACAGGATATTATCAGGCTTGGGCTCGATTAGGATCAGTTTTTGATATGGATCTTTTTCATGGGATTTGTTGACGATAAGGAAAACATAGACTTTTGCCAGACTTGTTATTTAGGAAGCTACTTTTTGAGTGTGCTGCACACCATGTTCAAAACAATTAGCCATAAATACACTGAATATACAGTAATAGCTCTTTGTTGTATGGTAGCACCTACTACTACCATGTTATAAAAAAAACAGTATGTCCCACAATCATTTTCATTTCTCCAGATGGAGAGTGACCATTTTCACAGTGCTTGGCAGGTCAACAAGGACAAACACTGAATTGATTTATTAATTCCATAAACGGTGCGTATCCCAAGCGGTTCTTATTAAGGATGGTTTCATTGTCATTTCTGCTTAGAGCAGCATTCCCCAACTCACTGAGGAAGGGCAGCCATGCAGGCGAAGCAGCCGTTTAGGTCATTAGCTAATTAAAGTAGCATTAACAATCGTATTGCCTCAGGAGGGGAGATCAGTGTCCACCTTTAACCATCATACAACTGCTTTCACTGCAGTACTGTGTCAGTCTGTCATTCATGACTTTTTTACTACATTTTATTGGTTCTATTGGCTGAGCTGTGTGGTAGCATAGCATGATAAATATGAGGAGAATGTTCTAAAAAAGACATGTCTGTCTTAGTTACGGTGTCTTTGCTTTATGCTGAGGAAAACTTGCATTACTGCGCATTACTCCATATTAAGTGTCAACGATGACAGCTGGATAAAGAAAGCCCTGTTAGCCTCCACATGTATGAGTTGGTGGTGACACTGCCTCATTATTCACGCAGAAGCATCCCAGGGACATGAAGATTAATGTCCCTGCTGCCACAGGACGATCCCCGACATCCCCCACATCTATTCCAATGTTCTTGTACGCTACACACTCCACGAACATGCTGTGGTGTGTTTGAGCGAAAGTTTCCAAATGGGATACAAAGGCAGGGAATATAAAGGGAAGTGCAGGCTGTCAGCAGAAAGAACAGAGCCCGTCCGACAGAAGTGTGATGTATTATAGACTCAGGGTGGAGGAGGATCCTGTCTGCTCTATTGCGTAAATCACAGTCTCCATCCACTCTCTCTTTTCAGGGCTCCTTCCCAGGGAACCTCCAGCTGGTTCTGATCCTGAGGCCCACCGCCCTCCTGCAGCGCACACTCTCGGACATCCTCTTCAAGTTCAACAAGGATGAGTTCAAGATGAAGGTGCCGGTGCGTACGGTCACTCTTACCTCTGGATACACTGCATTAGTGACTTGTGTTCTTCCCTCTCTGGGTCCAAACCAACTCATTGAATGACTGTAAAAATGCTAGTTGATATGATTACTATCAAATGATATGTATGTAATAGTTTCAGGTGTTTTCTGTCTCAGGTGATCATGCTGAGCTCAATAACTGAGCTCCACGCCTACATCGACCGCTCCCAGCTGACCCAGGAACTCGGAGGAACACAAGAGTATTGCCATGAGAAGTGGATCTCTCACCGCACTGTATGTACACTCTATACACCACCTTAGTGGTCAGTATGGAGATCACAACACTGCCACAAATTACAAGTTACTTTATGAGTGGGAAATATGCGCACGTAAAAGGTAAAGACAATTAAGAATTAAACGGGAGACAGAGAATTATAGGTTTAACTTGAGACGCTCAAGGTCAGGCTGTGTCTTGTGTATATATGTATATATGGTATAATGGAAGTTAATAAATGACATCATCAATACATGCTCAGTACTTTAGGATCACCATTAAAAGTCTGGGTTCGAATCCAGCCCCCTCTGCTGCATGTCGTCCAATAGAGACAGAAAACACCCTCCATCATGAGCGTTGCATGCCAACAGTCTTTGTTGTGTCTTGCTTGCATCAGGCTATTGAAGGCTTTGCATTGATGGTAAAGAAAACCGCGCAGATCCTGCAGTCGTTTGGGACTGTACTGGCTGAAACTGAACTCCCCAATGAAATCCAGGCCACAACCATCCTGCTGAGCACACACACCAACAAGAAAGACAAAATGAAGGTAACACCGTTGACACAGATTATTTATATGTATACAGTGTATACTAGGTATGAATATCAGTTATGTATTTGGATCATATCACTCTTCCTGTCTGTGCATGTCTGTAGGGGGATCTGCTGGTAGCTCTGGATCAGGGCAGCAGGCTGCTGGAGAGCATCAATGAGCCTGTGGTACGAGACCTCGACCACAACATGAACCAGGATGAGCTGGAGAATCTGGCCACTGTGCAGAGGTTAGAACCACTAGAGCTGATGAAGCTGCAGGTTGGAACCAGACAGATGGAAGTGATTCTGTTTCTGATCTTTGACACATCTGGTTTGGACATTTCTCACAGAAAGCTCAGGTTTCCAAACATTATACATCAGCGCATGTTGACACATTATTTGGGAAACGGTGACACTGAAATAATGTGCGACAATGTCGCTATTTGGAAACGGACTATAAAGAATGCTTTTTCAATAATTTTGTGAATAATTAAAACAATGTTAAAAGAAAATACTCTTTTCAGTTTAGAGCTTCACATTGTAAATAACTTTTCTCCATTACATATAAAAATGTGATGTATTTGCAGTTTTTCATCATTAGTTAGGGTAAAGTACCGATTTTAAGACATACCTTTTGTAATGTTACTGCACATATTAATCTTTAAGATGCACACTGTACTCTATGTTAAGTGTCAGCAGTGTAAGATATAGTGTTTTGATTGTCATACATCAGATTTCAGTCTCTTCATTTACTCTGATTGTTCCATGTAACGAAGATTAAAGCCAGCAGACATTTATTTAGTTTTTTGTCGTTGATGTCTGCTGATCTGTTCAAAGCTGTCTCAGCTCTGCTGTCAGTGTAGTTGGAATAGTTGGCAAGGCAATTTTCTTTGAGGTCAGTCAGTGCGGTATTTTAAGCAACACTGAGTGCACTGAATCCCATGTCAACATTCACACACAGAAAATATATCCAAATACCTCAGTCAGTATCCCCACTGCTGCTTCTACTTTATTCATTTCTCCCCTCACTGCTTTGGGTCTACTCTACTCTCTACTCTACTCTCCACCTCATCACGTCCCTATCTCTTTCCCTGCTCTTGTTTCAGACTGTTGTCCCAGCTAGACGAGACAGAAACGGCTTTTGACGAGTTCTGGGTGAGGCATCAAACCAAACTGGAGCAGTGTCTCCAGCTGCGCCACTTTGAGCACAACTACAGAGAGGTGAGCCTGTTAGCTCAGGTGAAATGGTCCATACAAGATGACATATGACGCATGATCCCTATTTAAACCTGACTGCGGTGTTTCTGCTGCAGGTGAGGGCTCTGCTGGATCAGGTGTTTGAGAAACTTGCAACCTTCTCTGAGGTGGGGATCAGCCCAGCCCACGCAGACCATATCTTCTGTGAACTCACCACCTATGAGGAGAGAGTCTGTGTAAGTGATACCCAACCCCTCACAATTACAGCTTTGTTTAACCATGGCATGAATAGATGAACAATATCTTTTGTAATGACTTCAGTGAGCCAGTCAGTGTTACAAAATAATGTGATTATTATACTGTTATTCATAACTACACTGTACTTTCTTGAAAAAGGTCTGACTGAGCACAGCTTCATTAAATCTAAGAAAGCGTTCATGTATTGCTCTGCCAGCTGCACAATCATCTAAATTTACTTAGAAAATAATTTTTTTTTTAAAGTGGAGCCTAGTCTGGATCCAGAACTGCTTTCAAATGTGTTTGAAATGCACATTCCAGTCATGCTGATTGGTCGATGGTGGCCATGATTTTGGGGTAGTATTTCAATCCTGTCTGGGAATATTAGGGCTTTGTACAAGTAGAACTTCTGCAAAAAAGTCACATAACCGGTACGTCATGGCTATTTAAATGGATCATGTTGCTGTATAGCGCCACCTGCGGGCCTATCAGAGTTGACAGTTGCATATTTGCTTACATTTTGGTTGCTATTGGACTGTACATTCAAGAGTTATGACAGTTTATGTCAATAGGTTATGGCTACAAAAAAAACCCAACACAACCAGTATTTGAAAATTGTATGAAATATATGTAAAAACAAACAGTTCAAAGAATTCAGGCTAATCTAGGTATGAAGAATTTGGTAAAAAAATATACTTTGAAGGACTTGACTCAATAAGTCTGACTCCACACTGGTCCACAGGAGGTGCTGGACAGAGCCTCGTCTTTGGCCTGTGATGGTGATAACCTGATCCAGAACTCCCACTATGCCGAGGACTCCATTCAGCCTAAATGTACAGAGCTCAGAGCCATCAGTGAGAATGTGAGCAGCAACCTGAGGGCCAAGAAGGACCGTCTCCTCAAAGCCATGGAGCTGCACCACTGTTTGGAGAGAGTAAGAACACCCACACACTCCTGGTGTAGTTGCTTTGTCTTCTCTGTTTTTTTACTGATTCTTCCTCCTCTGCTGTCCACCTCAGGCTTCTAAATGGGTTGATGATGGTATATACCTGCTGGCGTCTCAGCCAGTAGACAAGTGTCAATCACATGAGGGGGCGGAGTTAGCCCTGAAGGAGCTGGAGCAACACCTGGATAACGCGGGCCAGAACCAACTGACAGAACTCAGTACCATCTGGAGTGAATATGAGGCAGTGCTCAACCAGCAGTTCAGAGTAAGGCGACCAAATAAGAATACAAATTGCACTTTTAGACATCACTCTATCAATGCCAAATGGATTGTGACAATGGTGACAATGTCCATATTATTGTCTACAGTACATATGTCTAACATCAACATCAAATTTATGCCAGAGTTTAGCAAATGTTTGACCATATTTCTGAAAAAACACTGTTTTGTTTCACAAAGAAGATGTTGTGTCTTAAGTTTTATCTTTTGATACGAACAGGAGGAGGAGGAATGTGTTGTGGAAGTAATTTTCCATTGGTTCTTTCAATTATATGATTATATGTCATTATAAGAAACCCTCTAAGCCTTTGGAATTATTTGTGCTGGGGAAAAAAGCAATCTAGATTATTCTTTTATGACTGTAAAGCAATTCCAAAACTGTATTGCAAAATCCATGGCACACTGTGTCAGATGTGTTTCTTTTTTATAGTATGTCTCAAAATTGAGATAAAGTACTAGACATAAACCATTTACATCAATTTCAGATGATATGCTGAGAGAGAATGTACTTAAATATGCAGCACATGTCCCGTATTGACACTCCTCTAATATCTTCCTGTGCATCAGGACCAAGTGGAAAAGGTTTTCCAGAAGCAGGCGTCCATGCAGGAGATGTTTGACAAGAGGAGGGTCAGCCTGAAGAAGCTTGCAGCCAAACAGACCAGGCCAGTGCAGCCGGTAGCCCCCAGGCCCGAAGCCTTCATCAAATCCCCTCTAAGCTCGCCTGGTCAGTCCCCACACATCCACACATGGACCATTTATTTCACACCATTTAGAGCCTTTTAGAGGCTTTCATGCTCTTCATTCTTTGCATGACCTTAATGCTATTCACATCACTTAAATGTACATTATCAGACTGTACATTATAGACTTTATTTAGCCCTTTAACACTTGATAGAGTGGATGGATAGAATGGATCTCACTTATGGCTTGTACTGTACATTGCCTGTCAAACAACATGAAAGTTACAGTTTTAGCAACCTTCATTGTAGACACAAATAACCCAAAAAGTATAAGTGAGGGATAGCTCCTTGTGAATTTAGAATTGTTAGTGGCTTCAGCCATAAGCAAGAAAACACAAAGCATTTATGAGGGGTATTACAGTCTTTCTTCTCCTGTATAAGAATATAAACTCCTTTTATTTCTAGGTTGTGTAGCTAAAACAAGTTCTGAAATTTTGATTACAAAATGATCTATCAAGACAATAAAGCCCTGGTGAAACAATGGGGCTATACTTCATCTTGCACACTCTACTGTACATTTCTAGGTTGTTTTATTATTCTTTTAAAAGGTATTTATATATTTACTGTATAGGAAACATTGTATATTTCACTGTCATACAATTCCAAAACTATATCATGGAGCATTTAAAAAAACAAAAAAGTGCCAGCATCAATTAGCATCATCAAAAAGAGAAATAAACATTGTGTTGTCTTATTGTAAATCTATTACATCCTGGTCATTTCTAAGGAAACATAAATTTGTAATTTCTTAGTTCACTTATACCTGTTACCCATATAACAATCGCAAGTTTTTTTCTCATGGGAAATTTGTACATATGGGCAATTTTGTGCTTTACATAAATTAAAACAAAAAGGAACATCAATATCGTATATAAAATATGAATAATAGACCGTAAAACATACATAAATAGTAATTAAACACAAAAGTAGTAATATAATTAAAAACGAGTCATATAAAAACAGTTTTAAAAGTACATTAAAAGAATAAAAACATTGTAGCTCAATCATAGATTGGAACTGGATTTAAAAATTGCAAAATTTGTTGCACATCTAACATTTTCTGGCAGTTTTTTCCTGTTGCATTCCGCATAACTGCTAAATTTAGCTTCAGCATGTTTATGTCTGACTCCGAGCTGTGCTAGCTGACCATGGAGTCCATGAATCTAAGAGCCCCAGTTTGTTTATATTATTTAAGCATATAAGCATACGTTCTAATTATATTGTTTTTACAATTAATTTAAAAATACAATACTTGAGATTGAACCAAAAGTGTTCAAATATATGCTTTTCAAAAACTACCAAGCATGGGATGCCTCAAATACTAGGTGGACTGATGACCAACCAAACCTTGCACAGATAATCATTCATCCACTGAGGTCAGTAAATAAATGCAATATTTGTTTACTTCCCTACATTTATTCTGTTCTTCCACAGCACACAGAGCACAGCAGGAGAGAAGGTGCTCAGAGACAGACTCTGGGAGCAACTGTGAGAAAGTGAGTGGATCACTGGCATGATTCCGTTTGTGTTGTCTGTCGCTTATCAAGGTGACCCAATGTTTTTTTTCCCCAGGGAAACGGCGAACTGCAGAACGGAGACGCTATCGGCACACATGCGTCTCTATCAGAGGAGGAGGAGAACCTGGCAGTGCTCAGGAGGTGAGGGATCAGCCGCCGCTCTTTCATCTCTAATCAGATTACACAGCAGATGGACTGTGTGAAAGCGGCTATCTCATTATCTGCAGTTCTGTGCATCTATCGTTTTGTTTCATTTGATCTCTTTTATTTGTGCCTTTCTATCCATCTCGCTGTCTAATCTCTCCTCGTCTGCAGGCATGTCATGAACGAACTGTTGGAAACTGAGAGAGCCTACGTGGAAGAGCTGCTCTGTGTACTACAGGTGTATATTCGCTCCACAAAATGTGTATTCTTCTCTGTCTTTTACTTGTGTCTCGGAGTTCATGTTTTGTTTTGTGCCGTGTTACAGGGATATGCCTCTGAGATGGATAATGCAGCAATGGCTCACCTCATCCCCGCTCCGTTGCAGAACAAAAAGGAGGTTCTGTTTGGCAACATGTCAGAAATCTACCACTTCCACAAGAGGTGAATGAGCTCCATCTGTCTGTCATTGATGATACTGACATGTTGTCAGCCATCAAAGAAAATCATCAACAATCAACATTTTTATTCAAATATCTTCGTCACCTTTTGCTTTTTCATTCATGACATGATTTTTGTTTTGCTTCCAGGACGTTTCTGAGGGAGTTGGAGCAGTACACCGACTGCCCAGAGTTGGTTGGAAGGTGTTTTCTGGAGCGGGTCAGTGAATTATCAGATTTTCAGCACAGAGATGTGAATCCCACTGTGCCGATGAAGAGGTTTCTTGAATATATTTTTTTCTTCCAGATGACAGACCTGCAGATTTATGAGAAGTACTGTCACAACAAGCCTCGCTCTGAAAGCCTTTGGAGGCAGTGCTCAGACTGCGCCTTCTTCCAGGTGAACACCGTCAGCAGCGCCATCAAGTTCTGTTTCGTTTTGTTTGTTTTATTTGACACATTTTTTTTCTCTATCAGGAGTGTCAGAAAAAGCTGGAGCATAAACTTGGCTTAGATTCTTACCTGCTGAAGCCCGTTCAGAGGATCACCAAATATCAGCTGCTACTGAAGGTGTGATACTACCGGTTGTCTTTTCAGTGGGATTTCTGGTCTTCAGGTATGGCTGAGCTTCATGTTTGTCGTGTTTCTGACCACAGGAAATGCTGAAGTACAGCAAGAGCTGTGAGGGGACCGACGACCTGCAGGAGGCGCTGACCTCCATCTTAGGCATCCTCAAGGCTGTCAATGACTCCATGCACCTAATCGCCATTACAGGATATGAGGTGAGACATTTAACAGGACACAGGCTCATCAATCACAGAATAGACGCTGCGTATAGGTCTCTGGAATAAAGTGGTAGATGGATGCATGCTGAGCGTAGCGTTTGAATGTGATATTGTGCGAAAGCCACTCTGATCTGTGGTGAAGTGTCTTTGATTTAATGATGGAAAAGTTCAACAAGAAGGGGGGATTGAAAATGACATAAAAAATGCAAAACAAAGCAATATATACAGTGCCTTTGGTGTTTACTGGTGAAATTAATTGAGCACATCTACCGGCTCACTGCAGGTCAGACTACAGACACTCCAGATAAACACTGGCACATAACGCAGACTAGACAGAAAACAGATGCATTAAATGGAACAGAGAGTTGTTTGAATATTAAATTATAGCCTCTCTATACAGTACTTTAGAACAAGAGCAGCATGCATCTTTAACTCTTTCTTTTCTCAGGGTAATATGAGTGAGCTGGGTAAGCTGCTGATGCAGGGGTCATTCAGTGTGTGGACGGAGCACAAGAAAGGCCATGCCAAGGTTAAGGATCTGGCCCGTTTCAAGCCCATGCAGAGGCACCTCTTCCTCCATGAGAAGGCCCTGCTCTTCTGCAAGAGGAGGGAGGAGAACGGTGAAGGCTACGAGAAAGCGCCCTCATACAGCTTCAAGCAGTCTCTGAATGTGAGCACATCTATGGTTGCGTTTGTCTCTTGTACTGCCATCTATTTGTATTTATTAAATGTTTTTACGGTTTAACGTGCCCGTCTTTTTTTTTTTTAATAGATGAGTGCTGTCGGCATTACTGAGAACGCAAAGGGAGACAACAAGAAGTTTGAAATCTGGTGCAACTCCAGAGAAGAGGTCTATATTGTTCAGGTACGCTAACACCTGAATAGTAATAGCGTTGATCTTCTACATTTTTGCTAATTGTCGACAAAACCCATGAAAGTGATCTGCCTAATAATAAGTACTATCTTTGTCACAAAGCCTGATTCCTCTGTGTTACAGCTCATTCACATCCGAGTGCCACAAGCTGCATGGCACTTATTCAAATGAGGCTGAAAATTAAGACCAACATTTGTTTTAGTAATGTTTGTTAAAAACAACGGTACATTTTGAGAAAAGGTTTTTAGAGACGGACTAACACATTGCTGTTTTTTTAATCTTCTTTTATGTAATCTGTTGACAATTAGAAAAATACTAAATAACAACAGGGCTTATCCTTGAAGTGCAATCTTCTGTATTTGAACAATAGGCATGTATATGGATGTCTACCTCCAGGTAACAGTGGAAAGCATAAAACAGTTTACAATGAACTTTGTTAATATTTGTTAACCATCCTGTTTCAGGCGCCAACGGCTGATGTAAAAACCACCTGGGTAAATGAGATCCGGAAGGTTCTGACAACCCAGCTGGAAGCCTGCAGAGGTACAGAATGTGCTCTAAAATCTATTTATTGGATCCATGTTCACACTGATATCCATGTTCAACCAGAAACTGAAACACTGATATTATTATCAGTAATGATTATAGAAGAAAACTCTGTGAAAAATGTTCCATTTGGTGTTTTGAAGCGTTCTTTCTCCCTCTCTTTGCTTCCAAAGCCAGCCAGCAGAGGGCACCAGATCCGGTTTTCCAGTTCCCTCCTATGCCCAGTGGATCAGTGAGTCTCAGGTAAGTCTGACCTCCCAACCTCATTATATTCTCTCTCACAATTGAAATGAAGAGTTTGATTTGTGACAGCCTTTTAATATAAAATGCTCCACTTTGTCCTCCTGCAGTCCATTCAAGTCTGGTCAGAGGAGCTTTAAGAGGGGAGAGGAGAAGAAAGCTGAGCACTGCAGCCCCGATGCCAACTCCCCTTCTTTACCAAAGCCAACAGGAAAAGGTAAGTAGAGAGGAGAGACTTCAAATCAAACAGATCAAACCCTTAATTAGTTATGTTTTTTTTTTACAAATCTGCCTCCAGCATTTGTAGTGCATGTATTCTACAAACTACTTGTGTTCCTCTTTGTGATTAACCCATGTCTCAACTTCTGTCTTTTCCTCTGACTCTTATAACATGTTCCCTCTTTATTCCTTGTCTTCCTCTATACAATCTTAACTTCTCTTCTTTCCCCATCTTATTCTCTGGGTCAGATGAGGCTGTGACTAGCCCTACCTCAGACAGAGCTGCTGTGGCTAAAAAGCGTTTTACTTTACAGGGCTTCAGTAACCTCAAAGCCCAGAAAGGTAACTGCAGGCCATTCAGTCAATTTCATATCCAACATATCACATCATCATCATCGTAGTCGAGTCATTTCAAGAATAGACATTTAGACTTATTTGCTTTCTTGCCGAGAGTTAGATGAGAAGTTAGCGAATGTCTGTATGGGGACAACTAATTACTGGAAAGTAATTTCCTGATCTCAGCCACAAAATGGTCCAAATCCTACCTCATAAAACCACAATTTCTCGTTTTCACATATAGCTATGCTGATTTTGTTAACTTTTGACAGAGCCAGCCTTGCTGTTTCCCCGTTTCCAGTCTTTATGCTAAGCTAAACGGCTGCCGGCGGTAGCTTCACTTTTACTGTACAGACATTAGAATGGTATCAAACTTCTCATTTAACTTAAGCCAAGTAGGCTGTCTTAAGTCTCTGAAGGACAAAATAAATAAAGATGTAATATACTTCAAAGACGTTTGGTCAGTAGGTCAAATATTGCATGCTTCCCTCCACAGAGTCCTCAACTACTGATGATAAAAGTTTTACATTACCATCCACGATGATCTTCCTCTCACCAGGTATCACACAGCTCTAGACTCTGGTTTTATTTAATCTGGCACAATGCCTTTTTCACAGCTTTGACTTGTAATAGTAGGAAAAGCACAGTTTAAGTCTTAACAACGGCTGTTTCATCCAATTGCCTCAGTCAGTCATGACAGAGCCAGCATGCCCAATACCAGGTCCCTGAAACTGAAGCACCATTGATTTTATTATTTACACCTGTGCTTTTCCTACTGTAACGTGTTAAAATGTCCTCTGAAAAAAGCCTATGTTGCTGATGCTCTTTTGGTATCTTCCTCCTTTCAAAAAAGCATCACAACATTGAGCTGCATTTTGCAGGTTCTCTCAATATCAGAATTAGTTTTGTACCTCTGTATTAGTCGTCTTTCCTCAACCTTTCTAATCCAGGTGTTAGTTTAGTCTGCGTCGTTGTAGCCAGAGATGAAACTTTGCTGTTAACCATATGACGTTTGTGCTTTTCTCATCAAAATGTGACTTTTTGATGGTGATTTCTGTCTTGCCTTAACAACCATCTTGTCCCTCCTTTTTCTTTCTTGACGGCAGGATCTCCCGATCACAAGACGAAACGCCAGAGCGATCCCACGCCATTCGGCTTCAAAGGTAGTTAGTCTGTTCAACGATAAAGTGCGTACTCTCCCCGTCTGGTCACCTGTTGATCCCTGATGCCTGAGCACAGCTTAAGTATCATACAATGATGAGTTTCATTGGCTGTAGCTGCTGCAGGGTGAGTGACAAGCTGTGTTTCTATTGCCTCCTGTCCCTCAGATGCAGGTCCTCCCCACCTCCACCTGAGCAGGGCCAGGTGTTTCAGCACTCCTAGTCTCTTACAGACAAAGTGGAGAGGTACACTGTGTTGGGCCCACTGTTTCACTCCTATAAACCCTTAATAGATTTTTCTCAGTTTTTGCTTTGGGGTCCCACATCTCCACGTTTCTTTCAGGCTTAGTGAAAATCATAGAAATACTCACTGATATGGAGGAATTCCTGCCTGCCACTTTTTTTTTGTTTAAGTCAAAAATATGGACGTGCATGCCCGTCTCTCTGGTCTTAAGAGTTTTTTGGTTATAGTTGTTGAGCTGATTGTGTCATGCTGGGATTTCTGGGATTCTCTGTTCAAAGCAGCTTTTTGTGGTTCTTCCTCTCACTCTTCCACACTTGTAGATCTCTCACTGCAGGTCACGCACATATTTGACAGCAGCTGAAGATGGATGTTGCTGTAAACTAAACACCTGTGTCTCCCTCCTCCCCTCAGGCTGGAACAAGACCTCCCTGTCGCTGGATGCCTCAGAGGAGCACGACGGCTATTCCAGTGCTGAGGATCCTCTTAATTCTGACCCAGAGGATGACATCGGCAAGAAGCTGGTGAGTCACTGTGTGAAATAGACATGTGTCAACCTGCCTGTACAACTGATTTTCTTTGCTAACAAGCGTAACACTTTCCATAAACAATGTGTGCTTTTCAAATAGAAATATCACTTCAAATATAGTTCAAACAAATGTTTTATTGAGGGTGCCTGTTATCGACATTACACTCTTGTCTTACTGTTCTTCTGAGAAACTCGACCCTAGTGGTGAGATGGTGACATCTGCTGGCCGTTTTTGATAATATACACATGAGTTTAAAATTAGTTACTCATGAGAACTAAAAAAAAACAATGGGTATACAAGTGTTTCACCTAGATTTAGATGAATTGGTATTCTTAAACATACATCTATCTCACATGAACCCTGATTTGCCGTTCATGCCCTACTAAATATTGTAATTCTGAAGGTTATTTTTTTTAGCTTCACGTCCAGTCAATGCATTTATGTAGAATTTAATCAAACATGAAACACTGAGACAATAGGACACATTTCAAGACACTGTCTAGATTACTCCTGCAACATAATGGTTCATTTGACAATACCTTCATAAAGCAATAGGCCCTTTCCACAGCAGCCATTGTGACATGTCGTTGCAGGGTAAACACAGGTGTAATTCATAATATTTGTTATGGCCCTGTTGCATTAAGGTGGGTTAGGGCCCTGGTATTGTGTGTGCTGGCTCAGTGGAATGACTGTGATGCACTAAATAGAATGGGACAATAATCATATTTTATCTATTCCGCCTGTGTTTACCTTACTATGGCATATCAAAATGGCGGCTGTGAAAAGGGACTATTACTGTATGTTTTGGTAAATTCGGTTTCTTATTTCTAAAATATGGATTTCTTTCCATCATGGCAGGTAAATGGAGTAAACCGCATGTAATTTGTCAATTTGTCTTCCATATATCTGTCTCTTCAGCTAATAAATGCTCTCCTATGTTCACCAGCTATTTGCTGACTTTGTCTTAAAATATTCATAAGAGCAGCTTTAAAGTTGGCACATGTTGATTGGTTTGTCCATTCATAGCACAACACTATCAAACATGTTAATGTGACTTCTTCCTCATTTTAGTATGTATCCTTTTCTGTTTCCTAATCTCAACCTTGAACAGTGTGCCGGCAAATATACAGTGATGACGGACTATGAGAAGGACGCTCAAGAGCTGTCGGTGAAGAGCGGAGACATGGTGGAGCTGGTCAAAGAGGGGGAGGACGGACAGTGGTGAGAATACAGTCATACTGCTGCCTATTGGAAAATAATAGTATTGTATTGCACTGCTATAAAAGTGAGTGTTTGTCTGTGTGGTCATGCAGGTTTGTACGTAACCTGAGCAGCTCTAAGGAGGGCTGGATCGCAGCTGCTAGTCTTATCACGCTCATTGGAAAGTCCAAGTCTTGCCAGTCTCTCACCAGCTCAGGTATTCGAACAAACAGTCCCTAATAAAGACGGATAAAAAGATATTTGTTAAGCAAGAGTACAAAATCAGACATTAATCCTCAATGTGTGTGTGTGTGTGTGTGTGTGTGGGTGTGTTTGTGTGTGTGTGTGTGTGTGTGTTTTTAAAAGAAGGCAGTGGCTCTGGTAACCTCAGCACATCGTCCAGCTGCAGTGAGACCTACACAACCTTCCCTGACATCAAGCCCTGAACTCCTCAGCATATCCGCCATCACCAAACTGCCCTCATTCATGCTAGCATCACTATCTGTGCTGTATTGCCAACGTCGGTAGAATTTTGTCAGGTTTCCACAGAAAGCTGTATTTTTTTCACTTTTCAAATCATGCACATGCACCAGTTATTAAGATGATATGTCATACGTGTGCACATGTTATAGACTTGATTGTGGTGCAATTGTGCGCCGGAGACACAGAATGCTGGATGGATAAATGCATCACAGACGGTCAATACACTGTATTGTGAAGTGGTCTTCCTCTAGTCATACACTTGTCTGTACATTTTTCTTATGAAGAACAGTGGATCCCTGTGTTTATGATGTAATAGATGTATGAATGGGCCAGCGGGACTGATCTCAGTTAATGCATCTATTTGTGTTCTCATTACAAGTGGAGAAAGATTAGTGATTATCTGTGGATGTCGGCTGTCTTTGTGTTCGTCTGCATTAATTCACCCAAGCAGGAGTTTATAATTCTACTGTTACTGTAAATATAACGGAGGGGGTGAGATAAACGTGTATAGCTTATTTAGCTTGAATGAATGTTTTCTGAGCCTAATCACCCCGCCCCCTGCTTTTCCCTTTGCAAGCTTATTTATTTGTAAGAAATGAAAAAGCCCACATATATTTAGTCACTTCTTTTCTTTCTGTCTTTTTACTCTTTTCCTGTCTGTCATTTGTCTCGCTGTTGTCATTAGAAACCTGTTCTGCCACCAGCTGCCCAGACGTTGTGTATGAGGTTTGTCTTTTGGGGTCTCTGACGGCCTCATGGTCTAACTCTGTGAGTTTTCATGTGCGCTCCAGTTTAAAGATGTTCCTCCATGTTAATGATCAGAGATCACTGTATAGCGCTAACTTATTCCCTGTGGAGGATCATGTGCTGAATGTAGATATTGTTCATTAATGTCAGTCTGTCATGAAATGTTTGTTATTTGAGATGCTACATTGTACATTAAGTATGGCGATGTCACAACTTTGTGACTCGTTTTTTTTTTTTTTTTTACACATAAACAACTTCAATTCAGTCATTGTCTCTTTTTTTGTCTAGTCTATAGACGAAGGCTTGATACCTGATTGCACTGAAAGGTACTCTTGTGTCTTGCACTGGTGGAATGTAACTAAGTACTTTTACTCAAGTATTGTACTTAAGTACCGGTTTAAGATGAATTTGGAGGGTGTATTTGTATTTTGAGTCTTTTCTGACACTTTCTTCTTCTACTCCACCACATTTCAGAGGGAGATATTGTACATTTTACCCCACAACATTGATTTGACAGCTTTATTTACTTAGCAAATTAAGGTTTTTACATACAAAACATATGAAGAGCTTATTAAATATCTTTTGTTATAAACTAATCAACAGTATATACAAGTAGAGCTGAAAGGATTTCAATCAGGGGAGACGAGTCAGATGAAGAAAAAAAAATTGTTTATCAACAGATATGTGAAGATAGTCTTGACAAAATCTTTGGCACTTGAACTCTACAGGGAGATTTGTAATAAATCCCGTCATGTTGGCGTCATAATGAGGTTATTAGGTGGTTCAACTGTAGTAGGACAGCACTGAAGGCCCAGGTATAAAATACACTGCCCGCCACTGGTCAAGTGACAGAAAATTCATTGGTAACTGTTTTGATCATTGTATAAGTCACTTTTCATGTAAAGATGTCAAACATTTAAGGTTTATGCTTCTCATATGTGAGGATTTGCTGCTTTTCTTTTTAGATATTTCAATTTATTTTCAATAGTTTTGAGGTTTGGACTTTTGGTTGGACAAAACAAGGGTTCTCTGGTCTTTGGGCTATAAGAACTTCTGACGGGCATTTCTCACTATTTTCAGAATTTTAATCGATTAACTGAAAAAAAATCAGCAGATTAATCAATATGAAAGTAATAATTAGTTGCAGTCTTGTACAAAATTGATACAAATGCCACCTCAACAACCTTCAACATGCTGTTATGTTAATGCAGGCGTAATAATAATAATAATCAAATTGTATAATATTTATTGCATAACAGTCGGCCATTCTTCTCCATTGAGTACTTTTAATACTTTAAGTACAGTTTTCTGATTATACTTACTAATCTTTAATTGGCTTTCATTTGTAACTGTCACAGCTCTGCCCCTTCTCTCCTGTCTTTTTATTTCTCACTCAGCTATCAACTCATTCAGTGCACCTGTCTGCCTCCCTCATCAGCACAACTCCCCTCACCTGCCTCTATCCAGCCACTATTTAAACCCCTGCCTCTCAGTCACTCACTGACTGATCATTGTCATGTCTACCCGCCTTCGTCTCGTCCGTGGATTCCCTGTGTGTTTCTGTGTTTCCTGTTCTGATTTAAGTATTCATTAAATACCTGCGTCACTATACTTCTGGTCTGGTCTGCGTTTGAGTTCTCCACCACACCCCGTGACAGTAACAGTATTTCTACAGTGTGGTATTATTACTTTTACTCTGAATGCTTCCTCTACTGCTGATTCTTGTCTTGTTATCTATAGCGTAATAATGATCGATTTTTCTTTGGCTAAAGTAAGGTGTGCATATCTTAAACATCTGGAGCATTTGTTGGTGCAGATATCGCACACAAAGGCAATTGATAGTTTGAGGGGAAAGAAAGTCGTCTGGATCAGAAATGAAACTGAAACTGCCCTATTGGGTTGCCAGGTTTGTGAAAACCCACCATTTATGCTTAAATCTGTTTTTTCAGACCAAATGCATTGCAGCGAAAAAAACTCTGTTATCGTTTTTCATTTTATTTTTCGTAAATTCTGAGCTCCAGTGGCCAGAAAATGAGTTTATAAAACCAAATATCAATAAAGTAAAATCTAATCTGCAGCGATAAACTCCACATGAAACACATTTGTGATTAAATTAAATGAACATGTAACATATTTTACAATGTGAACTATAAGTTAAAACCATGCATTTATACAAGATCAGTGATTGCTGTGTTTTACTTATAATATAAACGCACTATAATGTTTCTGGAACAGTAAGCTACCATCTTCATGGCAATGTACTAATGACACCAAAGTCACGTCCACAGTAATATTTCTGAAGAAACGTAAAATGACTTGAAGGAGAGTTCCATAACACAATTACACATATAGCATTATACATGTTTAGTTGTTTTTAGGGCTGATTCTCATATTTTGTTTAATTAATTCTAAGAAAAGGAATTTACTTTTTTTTTTTTTTTTTTTTCTTTTTTTTTTACTGGCTCCAGATCCTCGATAAATGTTACAGAGAATAAAATTAAACGGTTAGTTATTTATTTATGTATAATGTGTTTTTTGTTTTTTGTTTTTTTAAACGGTTCTTAGTAGCTGGGATTCTGCTTGTGGAATTAAATTCATAACCTCAGTATTGAACTAAAACTCTGGCCTTCCCTTGAGGGTGAAACATAATAGTCACTTATACAAAATAAACAAATGGCTTAGTTCTCAAGAGAATCAATTGGCCTGAGGGTTTTTGGGAGATCGGGGGATATTACGGATACAACCTGGCAACCGCACCAAAGTAAAGGGCGGTGAATCAAACGTAAGGAAGTAGCTGACGCGTAGTTTACAAGCGCCGCAGCACAACAGCGCTGCACATCTGAACTGTAATTATACGCTATCACGGAGGTTCTCTTGACAAACAAAGAGTCGACAGAATATGGACGACATTAACAAAGTGTACTGCCTACTCTGTCAGCGGTGCGAAGAGACGGACATAACCGGAGCGTTATCCACTAAAGATGAAGTCACGGCCCACCAAAACTGTCTGGTAAATATTCACATGTTCGTCCTTTGATTCTTCATTAACATTTAACGTGCAGGTTAATGTTAGCTAGCGAGCTAAAGTTGGCAAACTACGTTACAGCTTAAACGGGACCTTTTGAGTCGCGTGCTAAAAGGAGATAGCATGAAAAGTGAACGATAAACCCCATTTGTTGTGGTTTGGCTTCTTCCTTTGAAAATATGGAGACAGATAAGAAGAGAAGCTCTAATACAAACTTCAGGCAAAGTGTGGAGCTCCTTTACTCAGGCTGAATTAATGAAGGACTTGGTGGTGGTGATGATGATGATGATGATGAGCACAGTTTTGCATTCAGAGGGGATTCCTTTTGTCAAACTCTTTCCTCCTCAAACTTCTTTATTGGTCATATGCACAACAATTAGCTATACAGTGAAGCTGTCTTAATGAAAGTTTAATAGTTAAATAGCTGTTATCTATCTGACTCGTGGTGTGACATCACAGCATCTCACTCGGTAACGAACACCCACAGAACACCAGAGACGGATTGGATTTCCTTCAGTTCACGCAGGTTTATTTGCATCACACAGAGTACAAGTACACCGAGCTGTCCGGAGTCAACAATAGAAACGTACATCACTTTATACCCTAAGTCGGGGTCTCCTGCTTCGCTCTTGGTCCCTAAACTCCTACATAAGATAATTTACAATGTGTACCACGGACATGTCAAACAGAGGGTTTTTTTTGATTAATCTCCTTCCTCACCCCTCTTCCTCTGATTTCACATCTGGCAGCAGGTCACAGTGACCGGACCTTGCTTTCCCCTCCGTTGGAAAACCTGCATTACTTCACTTTAACCTAACCTTGAATGTCTATTACAGTGTTATTGTCCGAGACATTTTGTCCTCACTCGTGTTTTTTCTGTTTGTTTTCAGTTGTTTTCCTCTGGCCTGTATTGCCGTAATTCCCCACAGTTTGACGATCTGTTTGGTTTCTCCGTGGAGGATGTGTTGAAGGAGGTGAAACGAGGAAGCAAGCTGGTAAAGATTCTTTATTTGTTTTTAGACATGAATAGGCCGAATCCATTCAGTGTGCCAGAAGCTATTCCTCGTTGTGTTGCCTCCTTTGTTTACATTAGATATGTAACAAATGTCAGACGAAGGGTGCCACTGCAGGATGTGAAGTCAAACGCTGCAAGAAGTCCTACCACTACCCGTGTGCTGTCCGACACAGAGCTAAGATCGTTGAGGATGCAGACCAGGGGAAATATGGGTTAGTCTAACACAGCTGTGTATTTATAGTTTATATGTAGAATATATATTTGTATGTCTAGAATATGTTCTAAAACACCCTGTAATGCAGTTTATTTTCCCTTTTTTGTAAAACTATCTTCAGGCTGTACTGCTCCAACCACTCTCAACAAACAGAAGGTCGGTGCCCTTCCTCCTCTAAACACTTTTTCGGTTTACAATATATTATGTGTTGAATTTTTTTATTTTTCATTTTTTGCAGAAAACGGGTCTGTAAACGGACATCCCTCCTCCTTCGCTCAGTCACGAACTTCCAAAAGTCCGAGTGAAGCCGGGTCTTCTAAGGTTTGATTGATGGAAATGTTTACGACATAGATGGCAAATGTATATAAATATTATAACTTCAAATCTTAAAAGGTCAGCAATTTCTTAAAACTCTTTGGGCCTGTGGCTTTCAGCAAACGTCACTCAAGCAGGAGGAAATAGTACATTTTTTTGGTGACTATTTTCAGGGGTGGATTACTGCACATTTTGCACCCCGGTGGGTTTTTACTGCAGCCGGATGGTGCATGTCGGGCTCAAGATAAACCACAGTGGCCCTGTCAATGAAGCAGTGATGTGATGATTTACGGGTTTACATAATTATTTTTAAAATGTCTTCATTTGGTTATTTGTTGAAATCTCAAAAGACACGGGACAGTTTTATCTGGCACAAAACCTGGTCTAGCAAGTAATGGTATCCATTTTTTTCATGAGGTTCATTGCCTTGCCTGTGAGAAAACAGAAGGAAATATCAGCTTGGAAAGTGTGTCCAATGGCATTCATATGTAAGTAAACCTATAACTAAACAATCTTTGTGTTTCTAATCTGCTCCTAACATCAATATCTGATCCCGTTGTGACGACCAGACATGTGTGTTTTCAGGCGGTATTGTAACAAACATGCTCCTGCATCACACAAGAGGAGCACCAGCGGTAAGTTGTTTTTCTTCCTCGTGTTGCAGGTTAAATGGGTCTCATTCGTGCTTAAACTGTGCATGCAAATGATTTACACACAAACCCGGGAATCATCTGTGTTCTTACCTGTATTTGTTTTTACTCTGCAAACAAATTTAGAAGTGCCTCGGGCGATATGTACGCACAAATGATGAAGGCTGTCCTAATGTAAACACACACCTTTTAACTAGATGCGTCTCATATATACCGTATTCATCAAAAAAAGGTTTCCATAGACGGCTATAATTAAAACCATTAATTTACTTATTTGTAGCTTAATAGTCTATTTTACAGTTAATATATGAATAAATAAAGTGTTATGAACAATATTGGCCAGTACGCACTTGTCACGAATGCGACTATACGTTTGCGCGTTTACTTATTTTGTGCACAAAGTAAGAACACACATACAGTATAAGGTGAATGAGGCCCGTTGTCCTTCACAGGTGATTCTACAACAGCCAGATGGCTGTCTGTGTGCAGTAGTGACTCATCCAGCAGGGTGAAGCCTTTGTCTTCCAAGGTATGAATATTGTTCATAGTCACCTTAAATAAAGATTTTCAGTGCTATTTCATTTATTTTCCGAACTATTCAGTGATTTTAATCTTCTTTTTTTTTTTTTTTGCTTTTGAAACAGAGACGGTTGACTTTCGGAGACGGGTAAGTGTGTGATAGTTTGCATGCTTGACTTGCTCCAGATTAATTGTGCCGTCACCTTTTTATACCTTCTGTTCGTAATTTCAGAACTGTTCTTGCACATCATAAAGTTTTAGTTATAGGATCAAATGCTCCAGAGAATGCCACGTCTTGAACTCAACTTTTGGTCCTCAGACCTTTATTGTCCGAGGTACATATAGACAAACAGCACCATACATATACAGGCGATAAGCTCTCATCTACCAAAAATCCACCGTACATAATCATACAAATTTAGATGAGAACTCTTCCTCTTGACCTTTGCCCGACGAAGGTCTGAGGAACAAAGTGAGTACAATTGACGGACAGTGTGCAGGATTCTTTGTTTTCTTTGTCTGCTTTCCATAAACTGTTTAAGTGCAACAGCTGCTAGAGCTATAATGTCTGACCTCTGACCTCTGTCCTCAGACAGGAAGGGACCCTGTCCAAACGTAAAGGCCGGAATGCGATCCTAACGGATGATTCTTCAAACTCAAGTTAACACACTTGCATCACATGAGAGAATGTAACCTATTTAATACTCGTGTTTTAAGCGGCAACCAGATTTATTCCATTTCACTTGTGCTCCAGGTTACAATGAGCCTGATTCAGAAATGAACATATTCGCCCCTGTAGAGATGGATTTTGACGAAAGTGCAAACTCTGTTCCAGAGACCCAAGTAAGTCTTAATCTTTGCTTATTCATCAGTAACATCGTCATGAGAGGCTGAAGATGTTCAATTATCTGATAATAATTGTTCTTCTCTTTCATTTCTTTTCCTGCCTCTTTCTGGACTGTGCGTCAGGTGATCAGGTGAGATCAAACCTTCGTGGTTAACTGAAATTATAAATTACATTTTACAATGTGTGACCTTATTGAAGCTACTATGTCAGTGTGTATGTGTGTTGACTCATTTCTGTGGTATGTTTTCTAGTTTGTGGTGTGGTGTTGCATTGTATTGAAAGATGTTGCTTTTTTTCACCTCAATTCCTCCACACTTTAGAAATATCACAAACGCCTCACTAGAGATGAAACAATTAGTAAATCCATCACTTAGAAAAAAAACACAACATTACGTAAACAATTAATTTGTCTATCATCAACTTCTTGGACTTTAACTTAATACTTAAAGGCTGGCTTAATAACTAATTGCTATCTGACTCGTGGTGAGATAAAAATAACTCGGTAACGAACACCCACAGAAAACCAGAGAGATTGGAGTTTCTTCAGTTCACGCAGGTTTATTTGCATCACACAGTACAAGTACACAGAGTTGTCCGGAATCAAATGACAGTACAAAGAATTGTTCCTTACTTTATACACTTGTTCCCGCTTTTTATGATCGACCCCGCCTCTTTTCACCCTCCCGCTCTCAATGTTCCTCTAGACAGTCATCTCGTTCATCGTGTCATACAGTTAGGATTAACGACGCACTTTCAGCCCCGGTACATTGGGGGCTTTTTGGGACATCTGGTCACATGAGATGTATAATTTCTCTGCTAATGAAGCCTTATTTGGATGTACCCCTGGCGTTGGACCCAACGTTCCCTGCGCTTCTTCTTTAGAAGCTTCGTTATGGAGACATCACGTCTACATCCTTACCTTATCAACTCTTTGAGCATGGGCGAACTTTAAATTATGTTTCCCTCAAGCTTCCATCCGTCCCCGGCTTTGTGCCATTCAACCCTCTGTTTTACTGACTCTGTGTACCAGAGTCCCTACGGTCAAGCTGACCCAGCATTGATGCACAAAGGACAGCTTGTTCCCTTGGGACTCAGCTGAAGGCAGTCATCAAGAAAAAAAAAAATAGAAAGTTGAAATTTGCTCTCTTCAGCAACTTGCTATTCAGAGGTTAATAAATAATATAACATGGAATATTATGACACAGACTGGCCATTCAGCTGCATCGTAAGTACTTTTATAACTTCAACAACATTCTGTTGATAATACCTCTGGTTTATTACATTTATACTGTTGTATTGCTACTTTTACTGAAGTAAAGTATCTGAATACTTCTCCACCTCCTGTCATTTAAAGGTTGTGACCATCTTTATACACTGTACAGGACATTTTGCAGACACGTGTTGGTGCTCTGTGATGGATAAACAAGCTGATGGAGACAAGAGCAGAACAATTAGTTGCTTTGTCAAAATCAATCGTTAAACTATTCTGATAATTGATGAACCTTTTTATGGATTTGTAATAACTAAATCTGACCATAAAAACACATCCAAGTCGCTGTTACTCGCGGTGAGAGACATCGGTGAAAAATACTTAGCGGATGTAATTTTCAAATCACCGTATTAGTCGCTTGCTTTGACATAAACTCTGTGGTTCTAAAGGTCTCGAGCTGTACTCCACATACACAAAGACCATGCGCACACACACAGCTTGCTTTATTGTTAGATTTGGACAAAACAAGGAATCTAAAGACATCAGCCAAAGATGATATCTTGATGAGTTTTTAAGTATTTTATTTTTTACATTTATTTCATAATCTACAGCACATAGTTTCAGTCCTTGTAACATCAATATTCAATCCCATTTAACACCACTACAAACTACAGCCAACAACTGTTTAACATTAAACAATAGTGTGTTATTGGATTGCATTCAGATGTTCCGTTTAGTGTGGTTAGTCAGAGTAAAAACAACAGTAGAGAATAATTGTTTGATGTCTTCCACACACAGAAAAGACAACCCGAGTCCCACTGGGTCCACTTCAGGTACAGTTGGCTGTCACAGCCAAATCAATGAATATAAAATCTGTGGCCAACATACAAATAGTTTACTAAACTCTTGCTGTCTTCTGTAGGAAATCAGCTGGAGGATGGGAGCATCGATGGAGATGAAACAATCATACATTCAGTGAAATGTTACATACTGTCTAGCTCTGAAAGTGTATGTTTTGTTTTTTTCTCTCTCAACTATAAAGTCTCAACTTTTCTTCTAATTTCTCATTTGGTCCTGAAGTAGATTTGGTCCTTCTCTCTGTCAGTCAAGATATTAACTCAAAGCTTCTTGAAGCTAATTTGAATTGCTCTGCCTCAGAGGGATATTTAATCTGTAGACTTCTATATGTAATTCATACACGGTGTATCGTCACTAGCGGAGCAGTATTACCTCACCTGACATGAAACCCGTTTGCTTCCTCTCAGGATGGTGAGTCGGAGAGTCTGCTGCCTCCCGAGTCTCAGCCACCTTCAGCGACGACGGCTGTGGTCTCCACTCAGACCACTTCAGCTTTGTTAGGCAGTGTGGTTCTGTTCAAGACGGAGGTAGAAGAGTCACAGAGAACAGACGGAGGTACAGTTTACTCTACGTACTGTTTGTGTAACATGCGGTCAGACAATGAGATGAACTTTAGTGTGCATTCAAATTCAGTATATAATCTTAACCACGATCAAGACTTTAGATATTGATATTGTTTCCTCTTATTTATTGTTTATTAGAGATCAGAAAGAATTTAAACCTGGTTAGTCTTTTTTTATCTAACTAGAATGACAACTTATCTCATTATCTTGAGAATTTGGCAGAACATTTTCTTGACAATCTACATAAATTCACCCGTTATCACGAGAAACAAGCTTTGTTATCTCAAGAAAATGAGATAATTAACTCAAGATAACGGCTTTAAAAAAAAAAATAATTGCAAGCACGGCCGCTCTCGGCTTCTGTAGTCGGCTACAGAGCACTTCTTCAGTTTTTCTGCTCAGGATTACTGTTGCTGGCCGACACACTGGCTTGGACCAGGTTCTTCCTTTGTGCCACGGGCTACCTAGGGCTGGCCAGTATGGCTGGAATAAATGGTACCTTGATTAAAGTTGTCTGATGGATTTTAATTACCACCAGCAGTGAAAGACACTGCATGTTAACCAGCAGTGAGGCCAATTAAATCGTCATTATGCTGATAGCAGCTCTTCCCACGGAAAAACAACTCGACTGTAAAATGCAGAGATGTTGCTCTAGATGGGATTTAAATGTACAGGAGGACCAGCGAGCTCTCTGATAAACACTGGTTTGTAATTATTAGTGGGGTGAAAAAATAACCAACATACACGCATCCAGACGGGATTAAAATCATTTACCAGCTCAGGTAGTTACAATCCCTTCCCCTAGAGAAGTGAATCATGGTCTGAATGGGGCTTCTTTCTCCATTTTCTAGCCGACCATCGTTGGTGTGAAAATATGCATTTCTTGCAGCAGAACAAACAGAAATGATAGAATGAATTATACATAGTGATAGACTGTGCATGATTACTGGCCGAAATGCAAAAAAAACACTCGTATAAATTGTCCCGTGTACATACTTTGCCAAGCTTTACAAAGCAGACGTCCAAATGTGTAAGGTTAGCCATTCACATTACATTTATTTATTAAATAACATATGTAGGAAATGTACTCTAAGATGTGTGTGTGTGGCCACGACATTGATGTGAGCTGTAATATTGCTACAGGTCAAAATACAGAGATACCTTTCATGGGTGTATATGGCCTTTGAAATGAATAATATATGGGAATACAGCACTTGTATGAGAAAGATGCTGTTGTTGAATGATTATTTTTATTTTTTTTTTCCAGGGTCCAGTCCTGATCAGAGTCCTGTCCACAGTCCTGCTGAACACGCTACTGGACCCGCTGTCCCACAGCAGAGGTCCGCTGGACCTCCTCCCTCTCCTCCCCGCTCCAAACCTCTCGATGGTACCCGCTCACCTGCACCTCCCTCAGACCCAGAGCCCAGCTTAGACTCCGCCAGCTTCTGGAAAAGCTGCAACGCAGCCGGATGCACACAGGCCCTCTTCATTGGTTTCATTGATGAGATGAACGATATCTCCAGCAGAATCCAGTCGGACCTGGCCAGGCAGGAGGGTGAGGGACCATACGAGATACCCACAAGACACTGTGACAGCATCTCTAGCTCACCCTTTATTTATTGTCAAACACTGGAATATTAAAGCTCTCACTCTTCTTTCCACAGATTATGATCATGCACTGACAGTGATGTCTGCTTCTGGGAAACTGGCAGAGCGTGTGGCCAAGCAGCAGGAAGGTGAAGTGAACCAGTGTTTCCTACAGGATTTAGTGAGTCGTACCCTCTAGGGGGGCGTTGTCCCCTGGATGAAAGTTTTGTACTTTTTGAAGTTAAATGCATCAATCTGGTGCACTTTGAGAACAAAATTATTATTATTGTACTATGACTATTTCATGACATTTTATGGCATTCTACACATTACGTTTTATGGCATTCTTTATTATCATTTTTTTACAACATACTATACTATGACATTTTTAAGATAATATAGATTTTTTTGGTGAAATAGTTTGTGACTTATACGATGACTTTTTATGACATATTATACTCTGACTTTTTTATGGCATACTATAAGATATTCTTGTAACATACTATACAACAACTTTTCTGTGACATTTTTTGTCACCTACTGTACGATGACTTTTTAGTTTATTGACATTTTTATGGCATACTAAACTAATCTTTTTATAGACTACAATGTGTCTTTTCTTTGACATTTTTTTACATACTTTACTGTAACTTTTCTGTGACGTTTATGTGACATACTATACTCTGACTTGTTTTTTACATATTTAAGGGAATTGTATACCAAGAAATGTTTTCGTGACATTCTATAACAGGGTGTTCTATATTATGTTTTCATGGCATACTATACTATGACATTTTTTGTGACTTGCAATACTATATTTTTTGTGACTTGCAATACTATATTTTTTGTGACTTGCAATACTATATTTTTTGTGACTTGCAATACTATATTTTTTGTGACTTGCAATACTATGACATTTTTTGTGACTTACTATATACTATGACATTTTTACGCCTCCGTGCTGGCGACAGCAGTTGCCGGCGGCATTATGTTTTCAGGTTGTCCGTCTGTCCCATTCTTGTCAATGCAATATGTCAGAAACACCTGAGAATTACTTCAAATTTGGCACAAACATCCACTTGGACTCAAGGATGACCAGATTAGAATTTAGTCAATTATCAAAGTCACTGTGACCTAACAAAACACGTTTTATGGCCATAACTTTAGAATTAATTTGCCAATTACAAAATTCACACAAAGTTATGACTTTTGAGATCCAAAAGGTCAAAGGTGACTTTACATAATGTACATACAAAAACACTTTTCTGGCGATTATTCAACACCATAACTCAGGAACTGAAGGGGATATTGTGACCATATTTGTATCCACTTTGAAGCTGTGGTGATTGTATAGATCTTCGGTGCTGCCGGGTTGCAGTTGTGTGTGTGTGTGTGTGTCTGTGTGTGAAGCATCTACGTTGAATTTGTAGCTTCTTTCCATCAACATCCAAATTTGAAGCATTGTCTTCTGTCTTGGCTACAACTTTATGTTCTATCAGAATCATCATATGAACACGTACAAGGATTTTCAATCTGTTACACGCTAATAGACACATCAGATCAAGAACAACAAAGCTTAACAAAGATTTGTCAAATCAATTTTATTTATATATCCCTTCATCAAAAAAGTTGCCTCAAGGCTCTTCACAATCTGTACAGCAAAGAAAATCCCCTATTGTTAGACCTTGTCCGTCATTCATCTTTCAGCAAAGAGTTGCCAATCTGCCACAGCTCGTTGTAGAGAGGGTGAGAAGGGTCATCTAAGATAGCTTTGATTTTGTCCGTTGTCCACCTCTCTGCACTGTCCAGTTCCAACCTGATCATCAAGCTGGCTTTCCGTAACAGCTTGTTGAGACTGCTGACCTCCAATCCTTGATGGGGTGATTGGGGTTCCCTGATAATCCTCTGGGCCTTCATGCTACACTGCTGAGTGTAGAGATCTTCCATGGAGGGCAGCGCCAGTGTTGAGAGTCAGGGTGGAGGATGTGGTGGTACCCATCAGCCTGGGGTCTGCCCATCAGTGAGCTAAAGATCCAGTCACAGAGGGCGACGTTTAATCGCAAGTCTCTGAGTTTTATGACGAGCTCGGAGGGCACGAAAGTATTGAATGCTGAAGTATAAACTATGAACAACATTCTCACAAGGTTCCTCATTTTCTACGGCATATTAAACTGACTTTTTTGACCTTTCATGGCATACTATGACATGCTTTATATACTATGACCTTTTTATGACATGCTATATATACTGTGACCTTTTTATGACATGCTATATATACTGTGACCTTTTTATGACATGCTATATATACTGTGACCTTTTTATGACATGCTGTACTGTGACCTTTTTTATGACATGCTGTACTATGACCTTTTTTATTGACATGCTGTACTATGATTTAATACTATACTTTTACTTTATTTGACATTTTCTATAACCTATTATAACTTTATTTTATGAGTGTGTGTATATATATATTGTTCCACAGAGTTACAAAGGAAACAAACGGAGCTGCAGAAGGCGACAGCTGCTATGAAGGATGTCGTCTCAGCACTGTGGACATGAATCCATCAGCGTTTTTTATTTCAAATTACTCAAACTGACATTTTTAGCATTTTGTACAATCTGTATATGTATATATTTTTTATTGATTATGCCTTAATATTTAGGTGGAAAGTGATGTACAGTTGTGTGAAGTGTTGGGCCCCCTTCCTGATTTCTTATTTTTTTTGCATGTTTGTCACACTTAAATATTTCAGATCATCAAACAAAGTTAATTAGACAAAGATAACACAAGTAAACACAAAATGCAGTTTTTAAATGAAGGTTTTTATTATTAAGGGGGGAAAAAATCCAAACGTACATGGCCCTGTGTGAAAAAGTGATTTCCCCCTAAACCTAATAACTGGTTGGGCCACCCTTAGCAGCAACAACTGCAATCAAGTGTTTGCGATAACTGGCAATGAGTCTTTTACAGCGCTGTAGAGGAATTTTGGCCCACTCATCTTTGCAGAATTGTTGTAATTCAGCCACATTGGAGGGTTTTCGAGCATAAACCGCCTTTTTAAGGTCATGCCACAGCATCTCAAATCGGATTCAGGTCGGGACTTTGACTAGGCCACTCCAAAGTCTTCATTTTGTTTTTCCTAAACCATTCAGAGGTGGACTTGCTGGTGTGTTTTGGATCATTGTCCTGCTGCAGAACCCAAGTGCGCTTCAGCTTGAGGTCACGAACAGATGGCCGGACATTCTCCTTCAGGATTTTTTGGTAGACAGCAGAATTCATGGTTCCATTTACCACAGCAAGTCTTCCAGGTCCTGAAGCAGCAAAACAGCCCCAGACCATCACACTACCACCACCATATTTTACTGTTGGTATGATGTTCCTTTTCTGAAATGCCGTGTTACTTTTACGCCAGATGCAATGGGACATACACTTTCCAAAATGTTCAACTTTTGTCTCGTCAGTCCACAGAGTATTTTCCCAAAAGTCTTGGGGATCATCAAGATGTTTTCTGGCAAAACTGAGAGGAGCCTTTATGTTCTTTTTGCTCAGCAGTGGTTTTCGTCTTGGAACTCTGCCATGCAGGCCATTTTTGCCCAGTCTCTTTCTTATGGTGGAGTCATGAACACTGACCTTAATTGAGGCAAGTGAGGCCTGCAGTTCTTTGGATGTTGTTCTGGGGTCTTTTGTGACCTCTTGGATGAGTCGTCGCTGCGCTCTTGGGGTAATTTTGGTCGGCCGGCCACTCCTGGGAAGGTTCACCACTGTTCCATGTTTTCGCCATTTGTGGATAATGGCTCTCACTGTGGTTCGCTAGAGTCCCAAAGCTTTAGAAATGGCTTTGTAACCTTTTCCAGACTGATAGATCTCAATTACTTTGTTTCTCACTTGTTCCTGAATTTCTTTGGATCGCAGCATGATGTCTAGCTTTTGAGGATCTTTTGGTCTACCTCACTTTGTCAGGCAGGTCCTATTTAAGTGATTTCTTGATTGAGAACAGGTGTGGCAGTAATCAGGCCTGGGTATGGCTAGAGAAATTGAACTCGGCTTTCCAAAGATGTGATAAACCACAGTTAATTTATGTTTTAACAGGGGGGGCAATCACTTTTTCACACAGGGACATGTAGGTTTGGATTTTTTTTCTTCCCCTTAATAACCTTCATTTAAAAACTGCATTTTGTGTTTACTTGTTATCTTTGTCTAATTAAATTTGTTTGATCTGAAACATTTAAGTGTGACAAACATGCAAAAAAATAAGAAATCAGGAAGGGGGCAAATGCTTTTTCACACAACTGTATGTGGAAATACAAAACGGCACTGATAATTCAAAATGCACCGTAAGAGTTGAATTCCTATCATCTGATGCTTTTGGTGTTAAGTTGTAAATGGTACCTTTTCTATTTAGAAAATATGTCACACAGGATTGTGTCAGTATGACATTTTCATTCAACAAATAATGGGGTCTAAAAACCTGTCCCAAAGAATAGTTTCTCGAAAAAGTTCCACATCCAACACATCATCTGAACCAGGAGTACTGGACTTTTTTCAGAGGTTGAAATTGTTAAAATAATAGTTTTAAATATTTTTGTACTGAAGTTTGTTCCTGTACTTTTAAGACTCCAGTAAAAAACAAAACATATCCCCACTGTGTGAAATGTATTTAATGTGTAAATGTTGGAAGTAATGAAGTGAATTTGGGCAAGAAGGCATAAAGTTGTTCAGTATACTAAAAGTGTTAAATTTTACCTCTAATCATCTCTCAAAAGATCCTTGCTCTTCAAACTGTAAGTATACAGTAACTCCAACTGTCTGAGATATGTTACAAATCCCTTTGGTGGTGGACTCATGATTTGCATCGGGCAGTGTTGATCACCTGTCAAACTCTTATTCTTTACTCATTGTACTTTTTCAAATTATTACTATGATACATGAACATTCCCATCTTTTCCAATTCCTTTAATTGCAATATATATTTTTATACTTAAATACTTGTTTTTGGAAAACATAACTTTTGTGACCTTTGCAAATTAATAAAAAGACAACTGGCAATTCATAATACTCATTATCAAACAATTTTTGATGTAAAAATGTCCTGCATAAATATTTTGCAAATATATTCTTCAAAATACTCACAGCAGTAGTGCAGATGTCACTTAACAACTTTATGAATGTTAACACTTTATAATATTGATTTTCAGCATACATTAGATGTCATATGGATGAAAAAGTATCCACGAAAACAATCTATGTCCAGGCCCATAAAAGCTAAGCTGCTGCACGGCCACAGGCCTTCCTGTAAACTGATTTTTAATGGCTCCATACATTCTGGTTCAGCTGGCAACCGGGCAAGTTTAACTCAGTTCAAATTGTTTTGAGCTATACAAATACGGTAGGTGCCCGAAATAACATTTTCCACAAATGTACTGTAGCGTGCAGATCATTTTCAAATCTGTAACACTGAATCTCACTCTGTTGTGAATCTGAATGTAACCTGAGTTCCCTCTCTTTGGGTTGTTTTACAACCTAGACAGAAGATCACAATCGCTGACTGGAGTTTGACCTAAACACTTAATAAAGGCTTGAATCTGTCTTCTTGATATGTCGGTGTCCAGTCTTTATGATCTATCCTGACATCTAAAAGTGCAAACGGCCTCATACCTCAACCTGAAAACCACGATTCCAAATGGCACCTCCAAATTATGATGCAGCCTTCTAGTAGAGAAACAAAATCATATTTCAAGCAAGTGCAAACACTAAAGAAGTAACTTGGTCAATTAAACTGAATAATAGAAAAAGTGATATCAGGCAACTGGCAAGAATCTTTCAAGTTATTGGACAACTTGATCAAGTGAAAGTATGCCTCTCAATGCATTTCAAGTCCTGCTTCACACATTGTGTAAGTGAATAGGCAGTGAGGCACTGTGGCAAACGACTAACTGAACTGTATCATGTCAGCTCAGCCTTGTAGAAATGGACACACTGGCTCTAGTCTGGAATGAGATTCATAACAGCGATGGTGATCATCTTAAAAATATAAAGTTTGTGTAACCAGCCGACTGGGAGTGACCAAGTCCTTAGAGAAGTCCCTCTCGGATACGCCACAGCATCCTCTGCGTCCGTGTCTGTGATGACTTCAGGCTAAAGTCAGTTGTTGAAGGCTCCGCAGCGGCTGGCTCGACATATGAAATCTTTGAGCAGGTCGCCGTCAATCTGCCAGAAAGCGGCGGTCTGGGTCACTTCGGTCAGGTGATTCACACAGAACTTAAAGCAAAAGTCTTCCAGGTCCTGAATGTCAAAAGGTAAGAGCACAAATTAGGAAAAAAACGCTTTTTTTGGTCCCACGTTCTTCAAGAAATCAAGATACTTGGATTTTATTTAAGACAAACTGGAAAAGTTGTGAGCCTATCCTGTAATGAAGATGTTTCCAGAAAACAATCTCTCCTCATTGACATACATAGAAACGGATGATAGTTGGTAGACTGACATTGAACACTGACCTCTGCATCGTAGCGCACAGCAGCAGACAGCAATGAGAAGGCGTTTTCTGCCGTGATTCCCCTCTTTATAATATGCTGACACAGGCGTTTCAGGCGGTTCTCACAGTACGACGTGGCCAGGTCCAGCAGCCCTGTGAGAGCACAGGCACAGACGTCAACACTCTAAGCCTTAACGACCAGCTTACAAACAGAAGTCAGTGAGGAGAAGGCTGTGAAGCGTGTGTGTAGTTCTGACCAATAGCGTCCTCCGGAGGCAACTCCACATTGTCTGTGTAGAGGAACTCGAGGAAGGCGCGGTACACCGGGTAGGAGAACTGGTCTATTTCAATCACCTCCTTCATGTCTTCGTTCCAGTGGGACTGGAACATGGATCTGAAGTGTTCACACCTGCACAACAGTTTGTTTCAGGACAGATAAAGATGTTATTATTTATATTCTTTAGTTTCATAACTTAAGCCAACAGCTGTGAGATAAAATCCCTGACCTTATTTTGAGAACTGCCTTGTGGACATAGATATATTTGCCGTCAATGCAGAACTTGAGGTCAGCAGTCTCTGGGTTGTCAAACTCTTTCTTCAGAGACTGAGCCACGGTTAAGAAGTCATCGTGCTCTGCAGGGAGAAAACACCCACGAGCATCAAGCTCTGCTATTAAGAGGATCAGAGAAACTAGCAGTGATTCGAATTACCTTTTACTGCTGAAACAAGAAGGACCACAGTTTTATTCATAGCTTTTTAAATGAGGATTTATAATATAATAACAATTTACGTGTCAGGTAACAGTCAAAGAAATATTTAATTTGGCACTAATTATATGTCAAATTGTGCTCAATCGCTATACTGCCATTCCAATTATTGAATCATTTCCAATTAACTGCTGAGCTAGGTCAGGTCAGCTGAACTTGAGCAAAAATGTGCACAGATGTGAATAACATTAATTATGGCTGAATTCCATTTAGCTGCTGTATCGTGCATGCTGGCTCACTGTCATACGGCCATGGCTTACTGGGACATCAGCTGTTATCCCTCTGCGACTAGTTAAAACGTCTCCTGTGAATAAAACAATAAAGATAATAATCATTCCTTTGTCTTACCCATGGATAGAAGCCTCCACATGACGGAGGGGGTGGCGAAGCATGCGAAGACGTCGTCGGTGCAGGTGAAGTGCGTGAGGTGAGGCAGCACAATAGACTGGCCCCTGCACTGGCCCCACATGTACACCTGACCGCTCTGAGTCTTAGCGGCGGATGTATGTGTGGAGTGACAGGCAGCGACCTCCACGATCCTGTCAAAAGGGGCCGGAAGAGAGAGTTGGCAGTGAGGAGATGGTTCGTTATACAGAGTGTGTGTGTGTGTGTGTGTGTGTGTGTGTGTGTGTGTGTGTGAGAGTAAGTGTGTTGGTCCCGCTCACCTCTCTCTCTCAGTCATGATCTGGACTGGGCTCAGCTGGTTGCTTTTGTTGCCGGTGCCCAGTTGCCCGTATGTGTTGGCACCCCAAGTGTACAGCAACCCCTCGTCTGTTAGTGCCAGCGAGTGGGCATAGCCGGAGACAATCTGGAGAGGAAAACAAATACTTCAGATGTAAGACCAACTATGCCAACATGCCAAAATGTTTTCACAGCAAAATCTACTTTAAACTGAATAAAACAATAAAGAATTGTCCATTTTGGTTCATTTGAGGTCCCAGTACTCTGAACGTGTGCAGCTCGTCATACAGTATGTGAGGACTATGATTCATATTGTAAATTGAATATCTTTGAATCTTGGTTAAACAAAAGAAGGTATTCCTTTCTTTCTTCTGGTTACTTTTTCAATGATAGTCTACTCATCAAGTGATGGAGGAATTTGAAAACAGGTTTTCACCCTCAGTCTTGAAGAAAGCTAGGATAGAAGGAAGTATGTCAGGCAGACATTTACAACAAAGAGTGGACAAAAAGTGAACAAGGCAGATTCAATCAATACAGTGACTCAGTGACAGTGAACTCAAAGGCACACTGCTGTCAAAGGTCGAGTCTGTTTATGACAATGTAAACAAAGTGGACCTAGAAACAAACACCGCTACCAACGTCTTCATGTCTAAAGGCACTGAAACATGTTCTCTGTATGAGCGATGCAGTCGCTAGACGCTACACTAGCACACAATGTTCTGCTTAAGTTGGAACAGTTTCGGTTACTTGTCAGTTCTGTCTGTGCCCCTCTCACTTGTATTAAAGGGGAGAGAGCTCAGTGGGAAAAAGGTGACATCACATGCTAGTGTTTGAGTGTTCAACTAAAAATGATCCAAGGACGCATTTTTTTTCAAACTTTAAATAAAGTCTAAGATTTAAAACTACATTTTGAGGGTCTTAAAGATAAGACATCAATTCAGAAACTAATATTAACCAAGTGGTTAAACAGAAACGCAGATACAAGCTTCAGTGAATCTAATGATAATACTGCATCGTCATACGATGTAGTAACTCACCGAGTGAGTTGCACAAATATTTGTTTTTATGATTGTGTAATGTCACACCTGTTGCACACATAAACCCTGCAGAGCTACAAGGCGACAGGGAGTGAGCTGGTTCCCGTTATTTCCAAGTCCGAGCTGTCCGTTCCCATTGTAGCCCCAACCGTACACCTGCAGGGACGGGAGGACAACATGAGTGCTGTTGGTGGCCGGAGACGGACAGCGTGGCGTTCACAGCTCCAGTATAAAATCAGTCACCTCTCCGTTGTCCACTACTGCCAGAGACGAGGTCTGCCCACAGACGATGCCGACGGCCACTTTGCTCTGCAGGCAGCTGGACACTCTGCGGGGTGTGGGCTGGTTCGCTGTGGAGCCGGAACCCACCTGACCACAGTTGTTGTAGCCCCATGCATACACCTGGCAGACGTGAGGTCACAGGTGGGAAGACGAGTTAAACATCACACATCTATTAGTTTAGGAGTAGACCGTTATATGTACAGCAGCCAGGCTTCTTAATACCGAGAGGTAATGATGGAATTATAGCATGAGCCGTACTGACAGTCTCAGATAAATTCACTAGAGGACAGTATGGTGTGTTGTAGTCGTATCAAAAAAATCACTGCAGCTTAAAGAAAAGTTTGACATTTTGGGAAATATGCATATTTGCTTTCTTGCCAGAGAAGATGTATTAACGAAGATGTATTAATGTCGGTACACTAAACCCGATAGGCTACCGCCAGCAGCTGGCTAATTTAGCTTAGCATAACAAATGGAAACGGGGAATTTAAGATCCACAATCGTGTCCTTAAAGCCGAGCTTGTTTTCTTTGTTTTCAGCTCAGGGGGATCAGCTACTGCTGCGATTGGACTTACAGTCCTTCGTCTGGATGACTAAGCACTGCCTTTGGCCAAAGCTGAATCACACGTCATTACAAAAAGGTTTTGAACGGATTTCCATTCTGCTGGGCAGTAGACGCTCACTTCTCCCGAGTCAGTCAGAGCCATGGAGTGGTGAGAGCCACAGGCCACCTCTGTGACCTTCTTATTGAGCAGGTTGGCCGACACCGGCACCGGAGCTACCCCTTGGTTGGTCGTCCCGTTTCCTAGTTGGCTGTAACCATTGTGACCCCAGGCGAATAGCTCTCCGTCTGAAACACAAAAAGATTAGTCACTCTGCAGCACTTTTTAATCCGACTGCTGTGAGGAGGATTAAAGGCCGTGTGCGCGGCTACCCTCTGTGGCCAGCAGGACGTGGGGCCCGCTGCCGTAGCTCAGGCTGACCACCTTCCTCCCACTCAGGAAGTCCAGCTTCTTGGGTACAATGCTGCTCTGGCTGTCCCCTGTTCCCAGACAGTTGCTGCAGTTCAACCCGAACACATACACCTGGAAGAGAGGAGGGACAAAAGAGAGACCATGTAATGTGGATCAGCGATAAGCAGGGCTAAGCAGAGACAACTCAGTACAGAACTACAGCATCAGTGCAGAGAGGTGACAAGCAAGGCCACGAGCACTGGTCTACAGTTTCTCTTTATATGAACATTATTTAAGGAAAGTTTTACATTTAAGATTAAACGCAAGATGTTTGAAGCAAGAAGCTTCTGAAATCACATTATGCTTTTCAAAATGTGAACGTTTACCGAGATGCTTTTCAGCGTAGCAGTCCTTTGTGGTTGATTACCTATTGTAAGCATGATTTACTTCTCTGATTGAATGACGTTGAATTTAAACATGAAATGAAATAACTGCTTTCAAAGTAAAGTAACCATCTAAAAACCCACAATGTGCTGAAGTAGATGACAGTAATGTAAAACATGTAAAGCCCTGGTGGTCCAGCAACAACTAGTTACGCACCACAAACGACGACCGGCGACGACTTCCCTCGCATGATTAACTCCGCCCCCCCGACGTCTCACCTCGTCATCTTTGGTAACGTAGATGGCCTCGTTGGCGGACGTTCCGAACACGCTAGCTTTTCGGATCATGGACAGCTCCTGGGTCCCCATCAGGCTGAAAACCGGCCACTTGGTTACATCCACCATGGCGGCGAGGCCGGAGGGATGGACCTCAATCCAAAGGCAGGGACGGGGGCGATGGTGTGGGGAGGAAGAGCTGCCAGAGCTGCAGCCGCTGTGGGGAGTGGGTGTGAAAAGAAAAGAAAAATGATATATTTATTTATTTATTTGACATAAGGTTTAACTTTGGGGGAAAAAAGCCTTTTATAGCAAAGTCAGTCACAGCATTCTGTCTTTTTTTTAAACTTGAAATACTTCACACACCATACAGTTATATATGGAGCGTCCGTATCCACCCACGCCATGCACAAAATACCACCCTACTGTCATCATTCTACCTCTCAGCACCACCCATTGGGCTCAGTATTGGGCGTTTTCAAGGTTGTGGAGGGTAACTTAGGGGTCCTCCTTTTTACATTTGACGTTATTTTTACTTAAAACTATGCAATTTCAGTATTATCATAACGCCCAAAAAGCTTCAAGACCCAACTTGCCATATTTGAATGATTATTTCATTATTTACAGATCTCATGTTAATATTATGTAGGCTAATGCTAAAACCCATGAATGATCCCACAGAGGAGATTAGTGAGAAGTTGGGTCATGTGGTGTAACATTGGCTCAAACAGATCAGGGCCGGCCTGTGTAATGCTCCTCGCAGCAAAAAGAGAGAGCGAGAGATTATATTATATTATATTATATTATAGATAGATAGATAGATAGATATATATATATAGAGAGAGAGAGATAGATATATAAAACTTTCCTAAGAGTTAAGACTTGCTCTCATCTACAAATTATTCAAGAGCCCTCTACAGGTTTCCTGACCCAATTAGGACTGGCCAGCAGATGGCTCAGTTACACGAACAGAGGCATCACACTTCAAAGCTACTACAGGAAACTTTCATATCGTGTCGATAATGGCTTTGCGGACAAAAGCAGTCGTGTTGCAGAGTCCCTTTATAAAACAAAACCCTTCCTTTTACTGCAGCAGGGTCTGAGTCTGCTCCGGCTCTCTTCCTTCCCTCCAGTGGGCATACAGCAATATGGCCGATACTAAACTACAAATAGTTCTATAGATTAGACTACACAACAGTGTGTAAAGGAGTTCAAATGAGGTCCCTCTTGTCCAGCTTTGGTGTTAAAATGCTGCTTCTATTCAGTACAAATGCTATAAAAGTAACAATAATCAAATAATTACAATAGTACAACACTGACAGGGGGCCATTATTTTTGAATTAATACCTTTAAACTGGGACTCAAGGACATTTTGCTGCCAATACTAACATTGTGGTATTGCTACTTTTCCTTATGAAAAGGAAACCTCAACTGATTACACCAACAATGAGCAGCAACAAAGGTGAAACAACACAGTAAAGAGAGAGTACAACTATAGCATAGTATTGCATGAGATTAAATTGTGGCAATGCTGCCAGAGTACTGCTAACATTGTACCACGAGAGAACTTCTCACAATACATTGTGTTGGTTGTCTGTTCATAATGAAATGACTAAAACGTTCATTGTACTTGTTGCATGAACGGGGAGAGGGGCTGGTGTAACCGCTGGTGTAACCATTTCCCCGCCAATTTGAATTTGAATTAGTTTTCTAAATACTTTCGGGAAGCCAGTTTTCTCTGGGCTTCCTGCAGTCTACTCGGTGTTTCGATTGAATATGTTTAAACTGTGATTTGTCAGTTCATACTTGACAGTCAGCAGATAATCCCTCATCCAGTCCCAATAGCGCGAACCCTAAAGCAACCTTCTATTTCTGTTGTGAAGTTTGAAGAACAGCTTTGCTAAAGCAACACGCCTGTTCATTCCAGCTGGTTATACGCATTATTGTGAGCTTGTGCAAGCTTCCAAATCTATTTGACCAGTTACCGAGGATTTATTCTACTGTTATTGAGCTGTTGCCCAAAGGTACGGTTGTCTTTTGTCAGTCTTATTGAACCATTGTACAGCGTTAAAACCACACATTCATGACCCCTCCCAAACTGCTCCCAGTTCACTGTATAGTCACTGCCCGCTGCTCTTGGGATGGGTTGAATGCAGAGGCTAAATTTCACTGGGTTCAATAAAACATGTGACAGTAAAAGTTGATTAAAGCATTACTTTTTCTGCAAACAGTTCTTACAAAACATGTTTTTGTAACCTAACCTAAAAGCATAAAAAATCACTCAAAAATGTGAGTCTCCTCTCTGCCATCATGACTTCACCCAATCAAGCTTTTGAGGCAGGCGGTTCAGGTCTATGAAGAAATATTAATCTTTATTCACAAACTATGAGTACTGATGTTGATGCTCTGTTATCCAGCATTGCATGTCAATAATGTAAATAACGTCTCATCTGTTTAAGGGTGGTGAAAGGTTATTGGTGAAAACAGCTTATGAACTCATGAGGCTTAATCATATTTTTTGGGAAATAGACTAAAAGTATGTTGAAAGTCTCGGTGAGGCTCCAGCTGTGTGTTGTAACACCGTTTAGATCTATTAAAACGCTTAGCAGTAAACATGGACTACTTCCCTTAGTGAGCTAGTGCTGACCATTGTTACAAACGCATGATTCAGCACACTGTCGCGCTGACACAACGCATCAGAGTGAACGGAGTCGCTACGAGACTCATCGGTTCGCTCACTAGAATCTGAGCTAACGAGCCACCGTTAAAAAAAAAAAGTCAAACAGCTGTCAAAGCTACAGAAGAACAACATGAAGGTTTTTCGTTACACTCACCTGGTAAAACGGTTTCACCGGAACACGAACGGGTCCGTGGCGGGATGTCCGTCCGCGTTTGTTCACTTTCTGCTGCAGCTGCAACGCTCCGCTGCAACCGACGATTATTTGCGGAAGTGAGGAGGGAAAAATATGTCACGTGATTAAAAGACCAAAATAATCAATTGCGGACAGAGATCAGACTAGATGGACCACTGTGTATCCACGAGGCTGTGGAAGGGCAATTTCACCAGATTTTGTAAATATCAGTTTGTCAGTGGTTTGAAACAGAAGAGTCCAACTTTCTGGCACATTTCATGGTCTTACTCAGCCAATGGAGTACGCTCGGTTATAGTACAGTATTTTATTTTTTTTTAATGTCTGTATATATTTTGCCCAGAAGTCAACTGTCAAAATGTTTTCACCACAAACTACAATCAGTAGCTGTTTTGGAGCTTTTTTTACATGATCTTCCTGCTCAGTTGTCATCGAATTGTACTTCAATAAGACTTCTCATCCATGTTGGAAGTTTAAATTGCTAAATTCAATGAATGGACTTCCAATCTTAACTCAAAGCTCATCTGATGCAATAACATCCCACCCCAGGTTTGCCATGTTAGTTTGAGGTAATTCAATAACAAGTTTATTTTGGTAATTTCCACACTGTAGGCATAAAATCAGCTATTCAAAATTAGATTTTTTTTTTTTATGAAACAGGACCTAATGATTCGGTCAAAATTCGGGAGCTGCCTTCACACTTTAGTTTACATCTTGCATTGGTATCGCATATTACGCCCAAAGATGCAACCAATCAAATTGGCGCACCATAAACCTGGAGCCTGGGGAATCTGGATCTGTGTCAAGCAGCGTTTGTGTTCCACTTGGAGGCAAATTATCTTATTATTTTGTACATTTCTGTTACAGACGTTGCAATAAACCCAAAGGCAGGGTGAGTTGTCCCTGCGTCAATGTGTTCTCCAACACCCACACGGTACGGAAAACTGTGCCATTTACAAAACAAACAGTTGAAATGTCCACTGTAACCTAATCTTTAGCACCAAATCTGCCATGGAGTGACCTGTGCAGCCTCATATACACAGGGTGTCGAGTCAAATCACAACCATCACCAGAAGAAAGAGAAGAGTCGCACAGCAAACGACTCCGTTAGTAGATGCTCATAGATCTCACCTCAAGTGTAAAGGATGCGCCACAGAAAAACAATAGTACAGGTACCTAACATTTCTGTTTGACAGGATAAGATGGCTGATTTTAACCCTAACCCGTGGAGAAGAAGTGAAAGCAAATTCAGGAGCATAAAAACCTATGAGCCGAAGGGGAAAAGGGTGTTCCTCCGAACTCTCACAAATACTGGAAAAGCATCCCCGCTAAAAGCTTCTTTCACATTCCCACTCGCACACCCTGAACGTGACTAGCTGTATGTGTGAATCACAACACTTGAAAGCACGGAGGATCCAACGGCTAAACAGCAAGTTTATTTTGGTTAGGATCAGAAACACAGATCATGTCCTGAGGGCGAGATGAGAGGAGACCATATCAAAATCCCCTGACTGAAGTATGGCAATGGTGATTTGTGGCATGGGGGGGGGGGGTAAGTGAGTGGAAGGAAATGTATATTACAATGTTCAGTGAATTAAGAGCAGCATTGACCATTCCCTCCAATATGGCAAACTCCACAAACAGGGAGAGCACGTATTACCGGATGTCCCGTTTCAAAATCCTCCAGTTGCTCAAAGAATTGTTTCTATTCAATAAAACCCAGTTTTAGTTGAAATGAAAAACAAAGGCACAATGATTTTCAACTCATTCTTGTCTTTAATATGCACAAGAGTTGAAAGCATCAATGAGCCACCTTAAAGAGAGAAGTTCAATCTAAAATTTATAAAAAGATATAAACAATCAGAGGCCAAAACGCTGTCTGTTGCTTTTTCTCCTATTATTTTATTTAAAACAACTTTTCATTAGCAAGTAAAAATCTTGCAACAAACATAAGCTTGTATCCAATTCAGATACAAGGCAACGAAATTGTAAATCTTTAAAGTGGCTCGGTCTAGTCTGCTAGTTCATGACTGTACACCCTCTATAGTTTTGTTCAGTAATAAACAGCTAGTCCCAAAAACAAGCCTGGGCTGCTCATAACAACCCCACCCAATATTTAAAACCCCAGTGTGACCCCCCCCCCCCCTCCCCCTCCTGTTCTGACCCCCTCCCAGTAGTTAGCAGCCAACCAGAGGATCATAAAGTCTTCCAGACCAGGACTTGGGGTCGGGTTCAAGGTTAGGCACCGTGAACCCGCACACCAACTGGGACATGGGACGGCACATCTTAACAGCCCGTCACCACTACACAGAGAGAGCGAGAGAGAGAAAACAGCCTGTTCCAATTTATCAGCATGTCATCACAATACATATGCAAGTCAAAAATAAAAACATTGAAACAAAAATAAATATTGCTTCAACAACAAAACAAACCTCCCGAGCCATCTGTGACAGTAAGGTTATCGTCCATCCAACGACTGTCAGCTGCAGCAGCTTTGTACAGGCTTTATGTAAATATATTCATTAGACGGCAAGGAGAGATTCACATCACTATTTTTTGTACAATTATTCAAATTGAGTGATGACATGTGACCTCTTCATCGAAAAAAGTAGTTAAGTACTGTAACCAGAACCTGTGCTCGTTCCACGAGTCGAGCCTTCGATGAGTGTCGGTCCCTTTCTGCAGGCAGAAAGGGACCGACACTACAATGCGTCGTCTCAGACGTGTGCATAAGACTGAAGAAAAGTTTAATTAAAAAAAACGGACATTATGGAAGCTCCACCGACTCAACCAGAGGAAGTTGAAACATGAACCCAAAATATTTGTTTCACGAGAGAATTTCAAATATTTAAAAATAAGCTCAAAAGGTCAGATAAGCAATTTGGGGTCGATTTTAGCCTGACGTTTTTTTTTTTGAAGCCCCCTCCAAAAGTTTCACATTACAGTGGAGTCCCGAGCAAGCACTGGATCACAGAACGTGACCGAGCTCATGCTGCACAAGTGGATGTCCTGTAGAGTGGAAAACGCTACAGCTGACATGTTCCTCTTCTCTTAAGTCTCTGCGTCGTCACCTAAAGGTGCCTCCGCCTCCTCCTCCCGTGACAGGGAGTCACATCCGTAAGAAAAAATCCTAAATTGTTGTCGCTCTGCTGAATCGGAAGCAGTTAGCAGGTTTTACAGTTGTAGGTTTTGAAAGAAATAATAATTATGGCATTTTCTTCATATTTTTATAATTTCTTTTTTTTTTAAACAAACGTTAAGCTTGATAATTCAACAGATGTCACATTAAAAAAAGTGACGTCAGTGAGCCAGAAGTCCCGTCAGCAGTCAGTTTGCCACGGAGTCCTCTTTTCTTTTTTTTTTTTTCTTGCCTTGGAGCCCCCCCTACCCCAGGACTCTCCTGGGAGGGCAGCAGGGGTCTGTGGTTACCCGTGGCTGAGCTCTGGGATTAACTCTTTAAACTGGGTGAGAGAGGGTTATTGGGGTGCCCGGCCATCGGGAATCAGTGTGACTAAAGTGTGCCAATGTGTGTACTTGTATGTCAGTGCGCGTAGGTGAAGTAACACCCGAGGACAATCCAGGGGAGGGAAAGCACAAAAAGAAACCACAAACAAACAGCAGTATTTCTTCCCCATAAGTGATATGATGGCTTCCAACAGAAGTATGCACACAAATTCTAAGTGTCAAAACGTGTGTGTGCAACTTTGTGTCTGAAAATGCGCTCGTGTTTTTGTCTTTGTGAAAACTTGACATTTGGCAATTACATCTTGCCACGAAGGCTTTTTCTTCCTTCCGGTTGTATTTCTGTGGGATATTTAGAAGCCGCACCGGCAGAGAATAGAGACAGCCCTCCTGGTGCAGGTTGCCAGATGGTGGTGGTGCCTGTTGAATGACCAGGACTCCTGTGTAGGGTTGCCGTGCTCGGTGAAGGATGACCATTAACAAAAACGGAAACAAAAAAAAAACATCCCGCAGTGCAGAGGTGGGGTGGGTAGATCCTTTAGTGGTGAGTTTCCATGTTGAAGTGATGCTAAGTAAATCCTTCGGTACCAGGTTGCCAGGTTGGAGGAGAGATGGATGAATGTGATTACAGAGTACCCGTGCAGCTGGTTGAACCAAAACATCCTGGCTTTTAGAAATTAAACTCCTTCATTTGCATGTTGGAAGCTGGATCAAAGTTGAAGGTCCCTTCTTGAGTTGTGTCAGGGATCAAGCTGGGATCTTCATCAATCTGAAAAAAAGGACAGATTCTGTGAGATCACAGCAGAGCAAGTTGTTGACTGAGCAGGAAAATAAAAAAACCCCACTGGTGATAAACTTACATCATCTCCTGAAAAGTACTGATCGATAATCTCAAAGGCTAGTTTGTAGATATCCTCGTTCTCATGCTGCTGCAGATTTTCAATCTTCTCCAAACCTGAAAAACCAAAACAATGACAAGATTCCCTCCGTCATTAAGAACATCAATACTGGCAGGAACATGCATAGTTCAATTATGCAATCAAGGAGGCGGTCAGAATAGGCACTCGTTTGCCAGATGAGACAGAAGATTATATACCAAGAAATGCAGTTTGTGAGGAAAAAACCCCAACTTAGATCAATTTTTCCTAATAAAAAAAAAAACACAACTTAAATTTAGGAGACAATTAAAAGAAAGGGAGAGAGCCGACTGAACCCATCAGCCAGATACAGACCTCCACACTCCTCTATGATCTCGGCGATGGTGCTCGCTTCATCTCCCGCCATGATGAGGATATTCTTCAGGCCGTCCAGGACAACCTGCACCACCTGGGAGTCTTTCACCGATAGCAGGTTACAGAAAGGAGGGATTACGTTCTGCTCCACCAGGAACTCCACCTACACAAACATACCACATCCATACTTGATTACAACACAGGTACAAGTGGGGAACACGCCCCGTTACAAAATCAACTTCACCGAGTTTCATCCTTCAACAACAGGGACAGTTCTGCCTCTTTAAAAAGTATGAACCGGTGAGGTAAACATTTACTTACTACATGATGGAATATGATATGACTGACTCACATGCTACATAGGGTTTCTGCAGTTTAGATAAAAACACATTTGCAGTAGATGAATTCAAACGAGCTCCAGGTTTCTGTATCACTGGTCCCAAAGGACGGCTCACCTGGTCTTTCCTCCCACTGATGGTGAGGTTGCTGATGGCCCACGCCGCCTCCTTCTGTGTACCAAAGTCGCCCTGCGGAGAGACCGGCTGTCACTAAGACGTGCACATAGCAGGTCTGTTCTAAAGCACACAGAAAATCGAGGCCACATTTGCATTCAGCGTTCAATTAATTCTCATCAAGAGTTGTTTTTGCTTCTCTGGCTACAAAACAGGGAATGTGTCAATGCAACTGAATACATACAGTCGATGCCAACCATCTGTGTTGTACCATGTGTTGTGAAAAATGAATCTAAAGAATCGAGGCGATAAAGCTTAAGGGACTTGTTTTCTCTTCTCCCACCAAGCACAAACCTTGGCCAGTTGGTGAATGATCATGGGAATCAGTCCAGCATCGATCACAGCTTGGACCTGCTGCTGGTTCCCAGCTGTGATGTTGGAAAGGAACCAGACTGCTTCCTGCAAACAGACGAGTCACAAATGCTCAGAACCTGCTCTTTATCTTCCACACACACACACACACACACACACACACACACACACACACACTTTTTTTATTATAACGCCAGTGTTACCTTCCAATTCCATACGTCTGTTACACTTTACAATTAAATCAGCTCCCATGCGATCAGGGTAATATATATATAGTTTTTATTAAAAACAAATGAACAAAAGAACCTACTAACTCTGAATACGTAAGGGAACACATACAATAACAAACCTGCAGCAGATACATTATACTTCCTGACAGGAAAATAGATAGCGCTCGTAAATGTCATGAGCCTCACTGCAAATCAATGGCGTAGACACTTTAACTTCCATACTGAGCCCTCAGAGAATGCGAGACTTACAAAATAAAATCAACAAGAAGGCTGTGGCTGTGATACCTTGTTGATCTTTTCTTTCGGGTGTGTGAGCAGGTTGGGGAAGTGTGAGAGGACGTCACAGTTGAGCACAACCTGTGTCTGCTCGTCTGTCCCCGTCACGATGTTCCCCACTGCCCTCAGAGCTGCCGTCTGCCGTTTAAAGACAAAGGAGAGAAAAACTTGAGATTGCTTTGCTGATTATTTCATTGAGGATGAAATGTTCATCTCACTGTAGATGAAAAGCCAAAGACTAGAGAATTCAATCCAAGTCTCACCTGAACTTTGACCTCCTGATGGCTGAGGAGCGGCACAAGAAACGGAACGACTCCAGAATCAATGACCATCTGGATCTGCTCGTTGCCCCCGTCCGTCAGATAGGACAGAGCCCACACCATGTCTACGAGGATCTAAACATGCAGACACGCGAGACTCGTAAAGCAGCACGAAGCAAGCGATCGTTCAGTACAATCGATGGAAATCAGTAAATACAAAATGACAATCCCCCCCCCTCTGCTCTGAGACTTACATTTATATCGGTGTGGTATAGTAGCACAGAGAGGGCGGGCAAAAGCTGCGGGGGAAGAGAAGTAGGCTGTGAGTGGGTTGGATGTAGGCAGAGGAATCGATGGATCAGATGAAGGCAAAAACACCACAAAAAAAAAAAAAAAAAAATATAGAAAAAAATAAATAAATAAAATAAAAAAATATCACAAAGAGAACAGCTGTCAAATCCAGACTTCAAATGTCGCATAAGGATCTTTATAGTCAGAAATTCCCCTTGGTGACAAGGCTGATTTGAATACTGAAAAGGCTCAACACAAACTGTGCGACTCAGCAGCAGAGCAACACATCCATCTATCTGGCACACGACAGCCTGCACATACACACACATACACACATACACACACACACCTCTTGCACAGTTTCCATAGGTGGTGGTGGATCCTTGTTGCGGCAGAGGTTAACAATGACCCAGGTGACATTGCGGAGGAAGGTGATGGGGATGGATGGGTTGATGAACGAAAGCAGGGGCTTGACCACGCCCAGGGAGATGACATAATCCCTGCACTGTGGACCATCACCTGGGCAGGCAAAGGGCAGAGGTCAACATGACTGAACAGTCGCTTCCAAGCAGTATATACATACACACACACACCTTACCTATAATGTTTCCTAAAGCCCATACAGCCTGTTCACATACGTTCTGGTGGGGAGAGTGTAGCAGTAGCAGGAACAGGGGCACTGCATCTGGACACACAAACATCAACGGATCAAACACTTGCCCATGATGACGGACTGTCAACCTCCAAGGAAAAGCAAAACTAAATAAACACAAATCCATGACTGTGTCACAACTCCTAACAGCTGAAACCAAAGCTAAGTAGCAAAAACATTGCAGAGGAAAATTGTCTATTCAATATCAAAAGACTCCTTCCTGGTAGCAAAAGTAAACATGCCAATTAAAGCCAGCCAACTAATGTACACTCAGAGAATTATTGCCTTGAATTATTGTGATGCGTTTGTTCTGGAGCGTCTTTGGTGGAAACCATGATCAGCATTCATGTGACTAGCTGGCTGTTACAGAGACAGTCATGTTGGCTTTGTTTCAAAATAAGAGTACAGTTATCTAATAAACACAAAATCCCCCCCAAAAAAATGACTGTTTTTCACTCAACGAGGCAGCCAAACAGGCTAGCTCGGCCGATTGCAGACGGTAGACAAACACAGACTGCAGGAAGACGGAATGTGGGGTCAACTTACTGGATTTAACCACAGCCTGAGTCTGTGCCGATGTCCCAGAGGCAATGTTGGTCAGAGCCCAAGCTGCCTCAAACTGAAGAGAGGGGCTGCAGGACAAAATAAACCAAACCAGTTAGTCAACAAGGTAAAGACGTAAAGAAAGCTCAGCTAGCTTCCACAGAGGAGTGGGGACAGAAGAGAGGAGAATAATGATAATGCTGAATATTGATGTGAAGTTTCCGTTATACATACATATAATAATACATCAGATCAGTGGTCTGGATATCTAGCCGTTTGGTGAACTGGTGCTGTGCTCAAAAGGGAAAACCGTCATGACGTGATTTTAAAAAGAATTATGCAACATATTAGAAATCACACAATCGCAGATGATCCTCACACCGCCCACCAGCCGAATGCTGGTAAATCATGGCAACGGGTGTTAAGTGTGTCTGTTCCACTGAACACTTCATCTGGTAACAAGCCGTGTTTTGGTTTCCTACCGGGAACTCGAGCGATGTAAAGCAGTAAACAGGGCGTGGTGACATTTGTGATGTAACCAGCCAATATAGGATGGTGCTCCGTGCGAACATGATGCTATCTGCCATGGTAGGTCCTTACAAATTCTTCCACCACAACTATTCATCCCCCTCCCCCCTCCCCCCTCTCAGTGAACACAAGGTCCTGGGAATTGTGGGACTCTGAGAGACAGGAATGCTGTTATATTTGGCTTGGACTGGACTGAGAGGACGAGCCAACTGCCCTGCGTGCTTCGACACACTCTCACGTGTGGGCACAGTGGGACGCGCACAAAGCCTCTGTTGGGGCAAAGACTTGATGTAGTAGCGTCAGTAATCCATCACAGCGGTCTGCAGGCCGAGCAGCTAGGACACTCGGTTCCTCACAGCACAGAGAAAATAACACTGAAGACAAACACAAACCGTTTTGGGAGACTTACTTGTCGTCTCTTTCCAGGCATTTGACTAAAATGGGGAGGATCCCAGACTTTATCAAGTCGTCGATCGGAGGGTTTCTGTCACTTGAGAGCAGTTTTCTGACAAAGAGCAAGAAGAAGAAATCCTTAAGAACTTCATATACACAATAAAAACAGTTGCCGTGTGTGTGGAAGTGTTGTTTCAGTCACTCACCTGGCTGCCTGGACAGCACTGAGCTGGATAACTGCATTATCACTGGTAGCGTTCTGCAGTGACGAGGAGCGAAGGCCATGATGAATGTAAGCACAGAATAATTAAACAGTTTGGATCTATTCGTGGTACATTTGGGAATTGCAAATTCACAACAGGGAAGACTTGACTGAACTCTTACCTGTAAGATGGCATCAAGCGTAATGTTTTGCTGAACAAAGAGAAATGTAGAGGAATATTAGCACGGTCAGTCTGCTGATCCTTGATTGACACACTTTACATAATATGTTTAACTTGTGTAAATGTGCTTTTTGTGTACGACATGAAAATTAGCAATATGCAAAATGATTGGCGGCCGTCAGCTGAAACGGATGAAGGACATTACGATGAGCTGCTCCCTCTCTTTTCCCTGAAGTCTTTTGCTTGCGACTCTGGACGTCCAATAGGACTGCAAGAACAAAGCGTTGAAGTCCCCGCCCACTTCCAGGCTAGCTTGTTTCAGCATCAAGTGGTATTTTGATGAAGCTACGTCTCTACTACTGCACTAAAGTCAAGGGCTTTGGAGATGAATACATCTTGGGCAGCATATTGCTACACTCTTCCCACATACAGCATAGTAAAATATATGGAGGAACTAGAACACTGAAATGAGATTATAGCAACAAGAGAGAGGGGAGTTTGCAGTTTTCTGGAGACCACAGACGTGGATATATTTGTACATAGCCTACTCTCCAGTAAATAAAAATAGTTTGTTTATTGCACAAATTAAAAAAACATATGTTTACAAATTATCCTTCAATTATCTTATTAGCTTCATTTTTAAGATATTAGTCTTTGGGATTGTCCAAACTAATTCTATGGAGGCTTATGGAGACATTTGTGATGCTCAGAACCAGCTTTTATTTGGGAGAAAATCCCAGAATAAACAGAACTTTCCCTAAAGACGCATCTTATTCTTACCGTTACCGTTTCTAAAGTACATCACACGCAGCTTGAATTAAATACACTGCCCACTTGATTTGAACCCTTCTGATCCATTATCCAGACAGTCCAGTCTCACTAAATCTCTCCCGCTCCAGAACACACACACACACACACACACTTACTCCTTTGAGGTCCAAGTCGACATCAGAGTCCTCCAGACACTCCTCCTGCGGGACATTTCTCTTCTTCAGTAGATGTTCGTCTCGTTTGTTCTGACAAGAGGGGGGAAAAAAAAGACAGAAAAGCAATGAGGGGAGGACATGAAAATGTTCATTAATGCATTCATGAATTCTTAAAGGGAATCTAGGCTTACCTCAAAAAACAATTCCTCTTTCCCAAACTTTGACTTTATAGAATGTAGCCTACACGTCAGAAATCCCATCCTAAGTGGGTGAGTCAGAGAAATCTGCCTGCAGGCTAGTCCACATAGAAAACACACACACAGACGCACGTCTTCGAAGGACACTGACCCTTAACCCGCTCACCACACACTCATTCAGCATGGAAACAAGAGGACACATGTACATACAGACCAACACATCCCATCAATACTCTGAGTCAGTGGTAGGAGGAGAATCCCTTGCCCTACATTCCTGTGCATCATGCTGATGTGCGTCACTGATGACTAATCAGCTAGTGCAGTGCTTCTTGCTGCTCTGATCCAGATAAACGGAATGCGATAGACTTTGAGACCACCTCAGTATTTCACAGCAATGACATTCTACGGCTCAACATCCCCGGCTGTGCTGATGACTGCTCTATGTGCTTGTTCACCAATATTCTCAGACTTTCCCTGGAAGCGCATTGCTCAGGAGTCTCTGGAGTTCTGTTTATCAGATGGCCACATACCAAGACACGCAAGTGAATCTGTCCACCATCCAACATGATGTTCACACGCTATCATTTTCTTGACAGCCCATCACTTTTGTGCCATGACGGGCTGTCAAAAAGACATTTTTACTGAGCAAAAAGATTCATTTCAATTTGTATCATTTTGTGGGGCACCAAGTTCCAGGAACCAGAGGGCTTCCTCTTCCACAAACAACATCTGGCTTTCCTATTCCAGGACGCTAACAGGGAATAACTCCAAATGATATCGTATGACTCAATAGTGATGTGCATCTTCTCTGGCCTCACGATTTCATCAATTAAGATTCGACCGTCAACAATTCCAATGCACAAAGATTCTTGAGATTATCTCAATGTATTGCATTCTCACGACTGCACATGGCTACTTTCTCATCAATTAATACAAGCAGCGAAATAAATCTGAACTCCTTTTTATTCTTTAAAAAAACAAAAACAGACTACAATATAAAAAGTGGCCTCTTTTCAATTGCAGTAGCTGTGTGAGCCACCTATTACATAAACCTTACAAAGACAAAACATAAATCCTTCTGCAGCGCTTTACAAGTGCACTTCCTAAATGCCAAGTATGGAAATGCTTTTCATACTCGTAGCTCTTCTACTCTGGTTATGTCACTGCATCTCCCAGCAGAACACCACCACAGTTGAACTTCAGCCTGCATGCACCTTTTCTTTAAAGCCCAACATGGTTGAAAAAGAGCAGCTAGTATTGGTAGCGAGAGCAACAAGTTAGAGGACCGCCCAGTGCCGTCACTCTGCTTCTCGCACACACTGTCACAGAGAAAGAGGAGAGAAGAATGTTTGACAGTAAATGTCAGCAAAATGCAGTAATCACTCACACTGAGCTCAAATGAAACCAAGCTTCCGATTATGTCACTGCAACGATGCAGAGCGGTCCACGTCCGCATCACGATGCATCTTAGAATCGGGGACATTTCCACACCTCTATAACTCAGCAGCATTACTGAATGTGGCCTTTTGATGGATGAGCCACACTGATGGTGTTCTAGCTGTATTTCTAAAGAAAGTCATTTCTTAAGTAAAAAAGGTGGTAGTTGCGATGGGTCTTCCTGTTGTCAGCTATCACATTCAAACAGAAACACAGAATCCCACAGCTGGAATCCAGGTGCCAAGTCTTACCAAGCAACATCTCAAGGATTTACTTAAAGTCTACCACTGAATATTTTAAGCACGTTTCCAAGTAAGTTTTTGTTAACAGAAAATGCATTTGTATCAGCAAGAAATATCCCACACTGTCTCCAAGTGACTGACAATGAAGCAAATCACATGCTGAAGTCTACGTTCAACTCCTTCTGACTCTGCTGACTTGTTTGCATCAAAACTCCTGATTATACTCACCAACATGACATTAATATCAAACATGACTTGTACTACCAGGGGTTAGATGTCTATAGGTCATTGACTTGAGCAATCAGTGATTGCCAAGAAAATGCTCTCAAACTATGTGACAAATCCTACAGTGTTCAGCTCAGGTAGATGTAAACACCCCCTTACATTCAAGCTGAAAGTTGGTATTTTAACACTAATTTTAAGCCCATGGTGCAGAATAAAGGCCCAAACACACTAAAGCATCTGACATGCGCAAGTACACCTATTGTTTTAAATGGCCGAACACGCACCATAATCAGCCAACGATTGATTTACGAGGTTAGAGAAGCTTCACTCTGTAACCCCACTGTACATGCATACGAGTGTTTTTGTAACTTCAACAACTTCAACAGAATGATACGTATTCTATCCAGGAGACACATGACGCCAATTCCACATTATCTAGTTACATTTTCATCCATATATCAATATTTGATTCTTATCCACTTGATATTTTTGAACTAGGACCTTCATCATTTAGGTCAAGTTAAAAGATTAAGTTCTATGCTGTGCCAAAATGTTGCCTAAACAACCTTTTCCTCCGATTCTGTGGTGTTGGCATTTCACATCTGCAGTGCAACATAGGAGCATCCAGTGAGGCCCGTCAAATGTGGCCGGTCATGTATCGCTTTCTGTGCGTTTAAAAAGGACCACATCAACAAAAGAACATGTGCCATGCACAAACTGCGCATTGTACCATGTCTTTTAAAAGTATACGCCCCTTTTGTTCATGTTTTGCTCCAACAATCAACACAGACAATAGCACTACGCCCAAAAACTGGTAGCTCTTCTTTCCTTTCAATTCCATCAGCGCGCTGGAACTATGAGTGTGCAGCCCATCAACTAAAAACACGGTAGCCTAATAAAAGCCTGATTCTGGCCCAACTTTTTCGGCAACCTACTGTGTGTTGGCCAAATTGAACACATGCCGAGTAGAATTCCTTGAACCCCGTTTGAGCTAATTCTACAGTTTACCTGTAAATCTTTTGAACAATCTATTGTTTCCCCCTGTGACAAGCGATTTCAACCAGAAGACTGGCCCCAAAAAGCTTTGTTTCCACTATTAAATTGCAGAAAGTGTGCAACAATTAAAGAGATTCAACAACAGAAATGCATAAACGCTCAATAGATCCATTCTATGTTAAACATTGAGCCGGTTTACTTCAAGAAATATTGTTGACAAATGGTGAGGGTTGCTGGGTCTGAAGTTATTTGCAGTTTTTAGCTGTTTTCACAAGTCCCACTCGACTGGTTTAGGTTTTGAGAAAGATGTACAATACTTTGAAGTGGTGTGTGTGTGTGTAGGTAGACAGGTGCATATTTTCTTACCTTTCTCAACTCAACCGTCACCTCATTCCGATGTCTTCTCATAGTCTGTATCAAAGAGACAAAAAGAAAAACATTTTGACATATTAAAAAAATTCAACCAGTGAAATATATACACTGAAGCCTTTTACATGGGAACGCAAAATCACCTAATAATTCATAAAATACTATTTTCCATTAGATTACACACTTGATTAATAAAAAAAAATGTATTTTAGGATCTTATAAACATTTTAAAATGACAAAACTTTAACAACAACATGGGGCAAGTAGATGACTTCTTTATTTTTTCCAATTTAGAAATAAATCTGTGACCGAATCCTAAAAAACAGACACCACCGCCAACTTAAAAAAACAGTACAAGCGGGGGAAAGACTGTCTGTTGGGTTTGCAATTCATCCTGAGCAGTTTGAGGTGGTCTAAGATCTTGTGACTGTTTGAAGAGGTTCATATTGCTCTCCTAAATAGCCCCTTACGTAATCTGGGACAGTCATAACTCAGGAGGCTGGGGAGCAGAGGGGTGTCTCCCAAGCACTCCAAAACAATAATGCCACTACACTGACCTACAACCAAAAAATGTCCCTTAAAACTAACAGACAGCAGAACATCAAAATACAATCATGCAGCCTGGATGTCAAGAGGAATGAATGCAGTCCACTTTAATTGGCATAACTTGCCTAATGTGGTTGGTTGGTGTACGCAAAATATGAACTGTTCCCAAAACAAAGAATATAAGCCAATAAATACTAAATTGCTGAATCCCATAGTCAATAAACTAAAACTTAATGAAACCAGCAAAGACAAGAAAGATATGATATTTCGGGGTAAAATGCTTGACAAATCTAAGCCATAAACACATTCTATATTACATGCTGGAGGAGAAAGGAGCTTACGGCCTGCAGCATGCGAGACTTTACTGCTTTGCAATTCAAAGCTGCTCCTACTGATGTCAGAAATTGAAGAGCAATCTGTTATGCCTGACCTAAATAAATAAAACCCAAACTGGCACTGGTTCTCCCCTGCTGTAGTCCGACTCATCCATATAGGAAAACCCAAAATCATGCAGAGGCTCTTCAGGGGACCCAGGTCAGACATCCGAGATGCCTGAAATAGCATCAGGAATGCACTTGGCAAAAATCTGTCTGTCATAGTAGCCACGTGCTTGTCCTACTCACTCCAAGCTTCAAAACAACCACCTATGGGGCATCAATCTGCTCTTTTAAGCATTTGAAGGCAAAACGAGGGCCATTTTCAACATGGCTTTGAGTCTTTGTTGGTATAGTATATACATAACCCATATAACTAATTATTATTTATATGCTATAACCTCAACGTGTCTAGATATTTGATACTTTGACGTCTTCTTTTAATCCTTCATTCTTGGCTGGTCTGAACACAGTCTTTGACAAATGGTTTGGTCATCATATCAATGGGAATTACAGACAAGATGCTGTTAAAAAAAAATGGTTAAAATCGGACTTGTTAGTTGAATGATGCAGCAGTACTCATCGTTTCACTGTCACGTTTTAGATCTGACAGCAGGTACATACTGCACCGACTTGACAGTGAAGCAACTAACAAGTATGCGTCACCTATACGTTAATACAGCAATGTCAAGTTAAAGTATAACCACTGAGAGATTAGATAACATTACAGACCAAGTTATAATTATTACTGCTAACTCGATGTTAGCAAAGTCTGACTGATGGATTCCAATCAAACAGTAAATTCATGACCATAAATTCATGTTAGTCGGGTCCGTTTTTTCACATGAAAGTAGACAGTAACACTAAGGTCACCGCATCGTTACCATCCAGTTGAATGGCTTAGCTCAGCTAGCAGCTCAGTGTAGCTCACCTGGCTCTACATGCTAGCTGTTTGCTTGACAGCGTTAGCACGCCAACAAGGAGGGGCAGTGTTTGGTTAGGGTGGATGTGGACCAACCCTGCAGTTCAACCTAAAAACGATGCTTTACTAATAATGACATATTCATGTGACGTTCCCAAGTTAGCGTTGGTGTTGCTGGTTGTGAAACATAGCAAACGTCAAGATTTGGGTGCCGGTCGGGCCCAGCCTCGCTGGCGACCGGTGTGTCCATCCGACTAGCTAGTGAACGCTAGCTGGCACTGACAGCTACATACTGCCCTTAATTATCCCCAATTTCAACGGTCCAACTATGATGTTACTTACTATTTACGAACATTAACTACTGGATATTGCTAACCCATTGGTATTAGCTGCACAACAATCCTCACAATCGTTTAATTGCGGGGGGAATTCACCGTTAACAAGACAGGCCAATCTTGTGATGGCGAAATCTTGACGATAGCTTACGTGCTAGCTAGTACGTAAGCTAGCTAGCTAGCTGGCAGCTGCAGCCGGGGCCAGGCTCCCCAACGAGGCCCAAAGACTAACATTTTCAACGCAAAACGAACTCGACTCATCTCATATACACTCGCATGTATGTCGGCTCACCTCGACATCGCGTCCTTTATTTTTAAAGCTCTTGATGCGGTGGTTTTCCAAGCCGGCGCTTTCTGCCATGGCTGTATGGGGTTTAGCTAAATTAGCTCCGGCTTTTGAGATCTCCTCCGTGAGAGACGAGGCACGGCAGCTCCTGTGGTGCTGCTGCTGCTGGCTCCAGAGAGAGAGAGGGGGGGAGGACGTAACAGGCCGAGGGGAGGAGTTAAAGCACACCTCCTGCATGGGCTGACCTCTGGTTTACAAGGCTTCCCCGACGCAGTAATAATAAATTCACCTACACGACTTATTAACCACAATAGACCGGACGTCTGGAAGCTGCGCAGCTCAATCTGTCATTTTACCGCATAACAGTGAAGATGATATTTCTCTACGATCCAAAAGACAGACTGTGACAAAAGCGATGCCTCCAGACACACAAAAGTTTAATGAATCAACACTTTTTTGGATTTGCTTGTACAATAACATCAGTGCAAAATAAAGATTAGCATTTGGAATAATGAACTGTCACACTTCAGCAACGGATATGCAATGTCAACACAACACAACAGATTGACAGTTCTAACCACATACTTCTAATCAGAGACAGCCAGCAACAGCTCTGGTGATATTCAGATATTCAGAACAAATACACCCGGGAAGAGAAGAGTGAGAGATCTAAAGGGCTGTTCAAAGAAGTCATTTAGAAATGAAGATAATACATATTAATGTGGGTCATTTAAGAAATGTTTCACTTCATCAAACCTCAGTGAATGAGACAACATAAAAGTGAATGGGATATTGTTGACTGTTGTTTCAGTATTACCAGCTGATCCTTATTCAGTTCACAAACTCTTGATTGCCAAAAAATGTAAAAAAAAATACATGTGTCATACCAAAAAGACATCACTTTGGTCTGTGACTCAAATAAATACATATAAATATAGAGTGTATGCTTAGATGTCAGTATGGCATGTGGGGGATAATAATCAAAAACACATGTATGTAGCAATGTCAATAAAACATGGCTTCTGATCCTGAAAAGGGGGGAACCGTTTACCATTACATCCACGATCTGGCATCTATACACAGACTGAGAATGTAAGCAGCAATTGAAAGTGTCTCAGTTAATACAGAGGGATTACCACTGACACAAGCATAGCCGACCAATGATCAGAAATCCCCACTCCAACGTCGATCCGGACAATCAGTAGAGAGAGAGTAATCGGGGGGGCAACAAAACAAAAGGTAGTCAAGCCACACATAGTATCATCCAATCAAGGTGAAACTGTGGTGTCACAGAGGTTGCTATGAGATGCGGGGGCGGGCTCCTTTAGAAGATTTGTTGCTCAAAGAGGATCTTCTCAAATCCTTGTGGAGCTGTGTGGTAGAAGTCACTGAACTGGCAGTCTAAGATGGCACTGTCATCCACTGGAACAGAAGAAGGGAAAGATGTGAGCACGAGCTTAGACATTGTATACACGTTCACCTCTTAAACTGACTTTTTAGTATTAGCAGCATTTAAGCATTTCAATCAATATGTCTTTGAAGTTAATGCAAATACAATGAGTCAGATTTATATAGTGCCGTTTAAAAACAGAAAGTGGAGATCCAATGCAAACCCCAAAACATATGCTGGAAATCTGAGCTACAGACGTGCAGATAAGACAAAGCAGACATTCTTGTAAATTAAAATATAAGAATGCAATCATTTGTTTAGAACAAAGCAATGCTGTTGTAACACTCAAAGAACTAATTTGGTGAAAACTTTAAATTTTAGGATGAAGCATCTTACTAATGCAGGAGTTTCAACTACCAGCTTCATCACGTCTTACAATTCGTATTCATTCTAAATATAGACTCAAAGTGCAATGATTGAAAAATCTATATTTCATGACAATCCCACAGTGGAGTTCAGTTTATATAAATGAATGTGCCCTTTAAACATAAATGATATTACCGCACACATACAACACAACAGCAACTAATTGGAAAGCTTGACATTATATAAATGAACAGATCCAGGGTGACTCTCTGATCACATGGATATATTGTCTCGCTCAGAAATATTATTAGCGCTTTACGACAGAGGGTGTTTGCACTAAACAGCTCAAACGAATGAGTCACAGGTTTTTTTTATACATTGCTGTGGCACAGAAACAGGTGAAGCACCAAAAGCCTTCATGTTTTCTTTCTAACATAAAATCGGGCTTTGATTTCACAGACTAACTAAACATCAACCTGGAGAATGTTTAGGGAGACAACAACAGAATCATCCTTTGACCACAATAAAACCTGCATGTCTCGAATCTCTGTGGAAACACCGTCTCTTCCTGCTAAAGGCGTCGTTTTGACTAGTACACATAACACACTCTTGGATGTGTGGAATATGTTTGTGGTCAAATGAAAAACTCTTAACTTAAACTAATGAGCCCCAAATGAGCAGTGTTTCGCAAATATGTACAAATACAGCCCTCTAGTGGAATAAAAGGGTAACTACATTAATGGTATTTCTGAGAGAGCAGTTCGGCAGTCAATAAAGTCCTCACAAGATTAAAAAGCCCTAGTGAACTAATCAGCATATTAAGCTGATAAATGAACTCACCGTAAACAACCGGGTAAACAGTGCCTCGGATCCCTGAGGCAGGACAATGCATGTTCTTTCCATTCAGATATAAATTCAGCTCCACGTGGTCGTATGTGATGCCCTGAGGAACACAAACAAAACTGGAATTAGTCACTGAATTTATGCATGTGAATATAACGCATTTAACGTGATCAACTTATCAAAAAGAAACCTTCGTATGTGTAGTCTGGCTACCGATTTAAAAGATAAACATCGTATTTTCAGCACAAGTCAAGAGGAGCAGCAAATATCTGGGAAAGCTGAATAGCACAGAAACAAAACAAAGTATATTTTTTTCCACACAGTATTGTCTTCTTTTTCCTGCAGTTGCACTTTCTCCTACTAGACCATGATGGATTGAGCTTTAATTACTACTCCATAATTATGACCAATGACTCTTCATTCAAGAAGAAAACCCAAAATGTGACATAAAAACACTATAAACATTTTTGTGTGGATCAAATTTGTTGCTAGCCGTCAAATTTTTTTTTAAATATCAAGGAATTTGTAAATACATTATATTAGTCATCTGCACTGTGTTCTGAAAATGTGTGTTCAACAGTGTTGTTATTTTACATCATGCGTTATAAAATGCAGAATGAGCACAAAAAGCATCAGAAATATAGTGAAGTGGATCATGAGATTCACAAGGACAGAACAGCACTGGATTGTATTCATGTACAGGTGTTCATAGATCCTCTATGATAGAATAAAATATCAGTGAAAGAAAAGCAATGACTAACCACAAAGGAGCAAGCATCCCTATATTTAGGCTGTGATAACACAGTTTCACTAAATGACAGATTGGACGACCTGAATTTGACTGCTAGTGAAAATACCCGATCTCGTGAGAAAAATAATTCACTTGACAAGTTTATTCATGCCCAGTTTACAGCATAGTACATTCTGTGGGTGGTGGTGGTGAATACAGCTCACATGAATACAGTTATGTCTCTAAAGGACTTATGGTGTCGCTAAAGTCACCAAGGTTTAAGCTCAGAGGTCTGCATGAGTTTCAAAACAGCTCCCGCCCCCCCTGCTGGGTTTTTGCACAGCAGCCAACACCCGCGATCCATTTTTTTCAGACCCAAAGCCTGTGTCCATTAACATCATATCTGACATAATGACTTCCGAGTCCGGAATGACATGGTTTGTAAAATAATCCAATAAATGCTTTGTCAATGTGATGAAAAATCTGTTATTATGACTTCTAGGCTGATGCCAAATAGCAATTTTGGCACAAACCGAAGGCTATCCAGCCCATACTGGACCAAGCATTACAATGAGACTATATTTAAGTGTCAGCCAGCTGCCTTAAAAAATAAAATGCATACCCATAAATAAAAAATATATATACAGTATACTGTATGTCCTGTGGGTATCACAGGACATCCAGGCCAGCCTGCTCCTGGCAGGCCTCTGGCAGATGGAATAGAGAGTGACTGGCTTGCCCAAATCATTCCAGTTCATTCATACTATTAGTGTCTGTCTATATCAATGTAGGCTTGTCCGTTCTCATGTATTTGACAAGACGCAGTATAAAAGAGAGAGAAGGTCTTCATTTTCAGCTTCACGAGCAACTGGCAACACTTCAATCTGTCAAAGATCAGGACATCAAACACAAATTCAGGATCAAGTGAAGTAATAAATGTTGCTCTTACCACAATGTCACCCTCCTGAGGAAGGCTGTTTGCAGGTAGGCGATTCTTCTCTTCATTATTGTGGTACACAGACCCATCATGCCTCAGGACCAGGCTGTTTGTGTCTCTGCCCATAGGCACTTGATTAAGATTCACTTTCTGTGTAGCCACACCTAATCCCCACACACCTGAACACAAAGCACAACACTGAGTGTCTGCTCTTTTAAAACACATTTAACCACAAAGACTAAAATGTATTTATATCTATGACAAAGACAAGCTGTAATATAAAATTAAAAGACAAGATTTGTACAGAATCCCACCAGTGAGCATGCAGTCACAGGACGGTGCAGCTACTAAAGACCGCAGCGTGTCAGTATCAATAATAACAGTATAGTGATGCACCAGAAAATGTCAATCTGGCAAGAAAAGCAGGCAGCAGAGGTATGGAAACAGGTTGGCTGGTCATCAGACGAGCTCTCACCGGTGGACTGGATCTTAAACTCAAAATAACTTTTGTTCTGGTGCAGAGGAGCGTTGGCCAGACAGCCTCCAGTGCCACATATCCTCCGGCCGCTCTTCACTATGACGACATCTGTGCCTGCAAAACAAAGGCATCAAGACATCTGGTTGTAAAAACACAAAAATCTATTACAAAACAATGAGGAAACAATTTTGGAAGTTTGCAATGAAAAGGTCAGATAAAAGCAGCAGATCACATCTGAGAAGCTGGAAACAGAGAATGTTTAACGACAAGCGATAATAGATTTGCTTATTTGTTGCTGGGTCATTATTTGTGGATCAATTTATCGGCTAATCATTTCAGCACAGAGCCAATTACTGTTGGTCAATTTGAATAATCTGCAGGTGCAATTTGAAAAAAACTGATATTCCCCAGGGTAGAGGAAGTGTTTCATTATGTTCCATAATCTATAAACCAATATTCAGTTGCACAATCTTTATAAAATGTCTTCAAAAAGTCAGATTGATCAAAAAACAACTGAGGTAAATCATATCTTAGAATCACCCTCAACTCAATAAGGTGTTTTTCCCAATCGTTACTTAACTTGGATGTTTGAAATCTACAGTGAATAATTTGACGCTAGACGAGAGTTTTCAAAGTATTATGAAAATTTCACACTGCACATTTACAGAGAATTAGGCTTTTCAGTGAAGTAGAAAACATCTCGTGTCCATTACGCAAAGGGTTTCATTAAAAATATGTGCATGCTCCTACTTTATAGGTTTTAATATTAAAATGGAGCAAACACACAGACACGAGTCATTAATCAAAGCAGAGCACTTTTATGAACCATAAAACATGTGAGGAATGGGCATTTAACGTTTAGCAAAAGAAATACGAAATGCTAATTCAGTTAACTGTCTCCGGTGACTTGAGTTTAGCTACAGGAGCTAAATTAAGGGTTAAAATGTAACGAGTCGCGTGATAACCTCGCAGGAAGTAACATTATCTTAAAGAAGGTGTTACAACACATAGCTACACCCATCAATGCTCCCAAAATCACGTTGAGCTGCAAAGGTTACAACACAGCAGCTATCGGTTAGCTAGCTAATGCTAACGGCGGAAGTAGCAAAACCATCACGACACACGACCAACATCCACAGCTTTGACAATCAGAGATAGACCCGCTCACCCATGTGGTGGGTATCTAACTGGACAATGGGCATTTCTTTGAGGGGAATATGCCCCGATCCGCCATCTCCGCAGCAGCCTAGACAACACGCAAACATCGCAGCCATTCTTGCTCCCCGATAACATCCGGAAACAAACGTCAGACCAACGAGCGCGCGGCGCGCCGCGTCAGAAACCGTCTGGCTCCACGAGCACAACAGCGACACGCGGCGACAGAGGTGGGCGCCGCATAAGCCGCCTACTACCCAACTGTATCCAATCACAGCGGCTAAGATAGGCAGTTGCTCCTGATGGCATGGAAACAAGGGAAGAAAATCAAGGTCAAAATTTCTACACGTGACTAAGTAACTATTGGGTATCGATGTTACATAACCACAAGTGAGATGAGAGTCTTTTTTTGTTTTTAGAAAATGTAATAAATGTTAAGTGGACAAATGCTGAATTGGTGATAACCGATGAGCATCCCCAGAGGCTGAAACACAAAACTGATATAATGTTGCTGATTTATAGTTTGTCTTTCTCCGTCTCTGTTGGTGCCAAGAGTGTGATAAATGGGTGCGCCATTTACGTGTGCTATTTAAATCAGTTGATGCAGCTGAGCGCCTTCACTTGCACCTTTTTTTTATCGTGTTAGCGGTTTATATACGCATATATCGACAAATAGAGCCTACCCACACACGCGACAGAAGTTGGTTAGTGTGAAAACATGTGATGCCAAACTAAAACCTAGTTGACAGTTTTTCATGCTGTAATGTTTTGCATAGCAACAGCCCCTCCCCCATCAGACTGGCAGGGATCCTCTGCAAATTACCCAACAGGGACAAGAACGCAAACAACCCAATGTCCTGAACTAAGCACCCCAAAAAAACTTGAAAACATCACTAGCTTTCTTGTTAGTGGCAAAACAGTACGCGGTCCGTTTCACCTTTGCGCAAACACAGACGAATCCGTGTATTTAGATTGTCTGTGCGCCACCGAAACGGTTAACACTAAACCCGGAAGAGGGCGAAGTCTGCACAGCAACAAGCGCCATGATTGCGTTGCACTGTGCGTCTCAGCAGCTGGTGAGTGCTTCTTTTGGTCCAGTAGTTGCATGTTACTATGCGCTGGCAAAATCTGTCACAGCCCCACTCCAGTACCTTGCCAACAGGGGAAACGCTAACGCGAACCCCGTTTGTCCATAATTTGTCGCATTGGATTGGTTAGACGGCGCTAATCTAGGGATCATCTCAGCTAACCTCTGCCTTGCTATTCTTTTACGCAATAGGGGGGGAAATAGTTTGCTGTTACAGTCTGTAAAGTTACTAACGATTTGTTTTACTTATATCAAGCCTTGTTTTCTCGACACGGTTTCACGGTTCTTTCAACGCCAGCTGGGTACTTATATACATCAAAAAGCAAGATGTTACTGAACGTTAGATGGCCAAACGGAGTCTTTGGCGTGGCTCGTGCCAACCTTTTACGCGGGCACGGGGATGCAAGTCAGTTTCACTTTCAGGATGGGAATTTTACTCCACACGCAGCTGGAACATGACTGCAAAACCTGTATCCTTTTGCGATGCCACAGCATTGTCGTGTGTAATGTGTTGCCTGTGCTGCCTTATGGAGGCATCCGTCAGTGTGGGTGCGTAGCCTGTAGCCTATTTCATTACGTGCTGATTTATTGGGTTTTCTTTACTCGCATGAAGCACAGATTTGACGCCTGGATGATGTGTTTACAGGGTACCATGGAGCTGCTGGAAGATGAACTTACGTGCCCAATCTGCTGCGGTCTCTTCGACGACCCGCGGGTCTTGCTGTGCTCGCACAGCTTTTGCAAGAAATGCTTGGATGGTCTCTTGGAGGGGAACCGAGGTCCGGCTTTCAGAACGCCGTTCAGGTGCCCCACTTGCCGCAAAGAGACACCTCACAACGGCGCGAACAGCCTGCAGATCAACTACTCTCTACGGGGAATAGTGGAAAAATACAGCAAAATAAGGGTCATGCCCAAACTGTCTGAATGTAAACGACACTGCGGCCAGCCACTCAACATATTCTGCGCCACGGACTTAAATCTAATTTGTGGGTTTTGCGCAACGACAGATGACCACAAAGGGCACACGTTCTGCTCCTTGGAAGAGGCACACGAGCGAGAGAGGGAGGCGTTTGATGTGCTGCTTCACGGGGTGAAGAGCTGGCAGAGCGCAGACGTCCTGTCCTGCCTGGAGACACTCCAAGCCAGTAAGAAAAAGGCGCTTCTGTCTGTGACCAGGGACGCGGAAAAGGTAACAGACTATTTCGACAAACTCATCAGCACAATCGAATGCAAAAAGAACGAGATACTCTCCGATTTTGAAACCCTGAAGCTGGTGGCGTTGCAAGAATACGACCCGGAGATCACCAGGCTGGGCGCAGCGATGGAGGAGCACAGGCGGGCGCTCGACATCGCCGAGTCCTTCGGGAGCGTCGCCGAGTCCTTCGGGAGCGTCGCCGACCCCCTGCGCTTTCTGCTGCAGATGCAGGAGTTTCGGGAGAAGGTGAAGGTCCTGGAGGAGACCCCGCTGACCTCCCGGAAAGACACAGACGTCGGTCCCCTTGTGCGCAATTTCGATGTTAAAAAGTGGGACTCGCTGAGGCTCGGAGAAGTGGACAAGATCTCGGTCCCGCACGAGAATGGCTCCTACCGAACGGGGGGCTCCCGGATGGCGGTGCCAAGGTGGATCACCTTCAATCTGATTTTGTTACTGTCAGCGCTGCTCCTGCTGCAGCGGCACAGCCTTGCAGCCTACGTGCCCTCGCAGATTGAGCCGTTGCTCACTGCCGTCTCCTCGCACCTTACCCACACCGGTGTGTACCTGCAGGAAATGACTGGCATGTGCACAAGTTTGATGGGTGCAGGTCATGAATGTATCGGGAACTTGATTGACTCTGCTGTCAATTTTATTGCCAATTTAAAAGTTGTCTTAATGACTCGCCTTTTGGCATCTCTGCCATGAACTCACAGCTAATTGCTATCCAAGTGACCCGCGAGGTGCATTGAATTAGGGATAGACGTGCACCTGAATATAGAGAAACAGTTGTTTACCTAATTGTTTACCATGTCTTCTGTTTTTGCCCAAGCTCCAACCTCCAATGAAGCCATATAATCAAACCTTATACACAGAGGTTGTAGCCTATGTTTATATCAGATAGACACTCTCTTGATCAATTTCTTTTTTTTATCTACATGACAAATCTATACATGTCCAAATGATATTGATAAATAAAACTGAGAGATTTAAATCACACCCGAGAGTGTTTTTCTTTTTTTTTTTTTAAGTGCGACAGGCCAAATCAGCCAACTATTTAGAGACACAATCGAGCCCTGTGAACTATAAGTGTGTGTGTAATAAACGAAATGTACAGAGTAATAATCCCTGGCTTCTTCCCCGCAGAGCGCGTCCGCACCACAGTGATGCTGCAACCTCTTCAAGGTTACACACGTTGCATAACAGGGCCCGTGTGAAATATTCACCAGGCTGCAGCGAGGGAGGAAAAAAGACAAGAACACGGTCCTATGTTTATGGTGTTTTCATGAAAGCCGAACAGCTGACTGCTCTATTTCACCTATCATTGACAACACAATTCAGGCAAGGGTGCATGATTGTCACGCCTGCAATGGGCACTCACTCTATTTCCACACGAGAGCTATTTGCGGAGGCAAATGTGACTCATTCGTCGTTATAGACTTGCCGGTCTATAAAGTCAGACATCTGCAGTCTGTTAAGTCAAAAGCTCAGGCCTATTTTCTGTTATGCGTTTAATTGGTAGAAAACTGACTTCGCAAGCCTCAAATCAAAATGCAATTGTGTGGGCAAATGGAAATTGGGAGTTCTTAAAATTAAATTCAGGGAGATTTTTATTTTTGGCTTATCACCAAAAATGGGCTTTATTAAAATAGGTCAGAGCAAAAGGACAAACGGTGAATTGTGCATTTATCCTTCTATTTATTTATGCATTCATTCTCCTGAGTAGAGCTGCATTTTGAAAAACATAAATCCTAAAATCAGACCACAGAGTGAATCCGTGATGTCAGCACTGACCATAATTCAGGACGTACGTCATGGCACGCATGTACATATATATAGCCTTCTGTTGCCAGGCAAATATAGGATGAAAAGAAATGTACCCCTCTACATTAATATTTTAATTTTCTCTGCACGCAAATGCCTGAAAAAGGTCAACTCAATCCAAATTAAAATAAATAGCTATATTGTGAATAACTGTAGGCTATAACTAAGACTTTTCTGATAAAAATGACCGTAGGTTGAACGGCCAGACACAGGTTTAATAAAACAATAGTAATATATAATAATAAAAACTTCAAGTCACCATGCACGCGATCAACCAGTTAACTAAATATCCAGATAATAATGAAATATAGCCAAGTGTTTGTGTCTTTTCCCATAACTGGATAAGGTCCCGCACTCTTACACATCGATTCAATTATTATTACTGTGATAAAAGCATCTTATTCAATGATATTTTCTATTGCTATATCATTTTTTATAATTTTCAGGTTTTCTGGAAAATGTGTTTGCAACCAAAGTGCAAGAGCAAACAAGAGAGACGTGTTATTCTGCAATCATAGCCTGCATGTAATTAAAATATGCACGACGATATAAAAGCAGGTAAACGTTTACAATAAGTCACGACAGCAGAATATGTGGAGCTTAACCGATGGGAGACAAAATGTAGTTTCTTGCCGTACATCACAATGGAGACAGCTTCCACACTTTGATGTCCTTTTTTCCCTAAATACGCAAAATGGTCACACATTCAATTGAAATAACCACGTAGAAAGGGAATTATAATGCAATAATTTCCTGAATAATTGCTAATAAATTAAGTGTGGTTAATATTTACACACACACACACACAGAGAGAAACGGTCCATATTGCAGCTACGGTATTATTTTAAAAAATGCATATTATCATATAAAGGCTAATCTTATAAATATACAATAATATGTTAGATATGAATATTTCTCCATTTGAAAAAAAAAAAAATGCCGGCTTTGCTGCTTAGGAAGAAACACCTAAAATGCGCAAAAATCACCTTTTCTCTCGGTTATAATTTTACATTAATTCACCTTTGTTAGATATCCTAATTCCAGTTTATTTATAATTATAGTTGCGAGAACAAATACGAGAATTCAGAATTATCATTAACCAGGCCCGCAAGGCCAAATGGCAAAAGAAATGCTGCAACATGCGTTTGTTCAGTAGACGGCAAATATTCCTGAACTTTACACCATGTTATCAGAAAATCTCCAAAAGGAAAAATGTAATCAATAATTCCTACTGCAGTTTATTTAGTTCATGTTTATCAAAAGGCAAAGGGTCCGAGCGGCTTTGTCAACAAGTGTAACACTCTTCTTCTCTTCAGTTATAGGATTTTGAAGATTTTTATTTCCCTACATTACATGTGATCTAACATTTTATAAAGCCAGATTTATCAACGGGTGCCGTGTTGTATCAAAGGCCGATAAAAAAATAAAAAAAAATAAATGAATTCAGTCATTTTTATTTAGGTAAATCTGCCTCGAGAACATCGTCACCCGGTGTCCTGCTACATGATTGCGTGCGCATCCGACACCACTTTAAATGGAGGATTTTAGCCATGTTACGGGACACCACAGCATTGCAGTGATCAGAATATATCATATATTTGGGTGCATAATACACAATAATGTAAAGACACTGGGTCGTAGTAAGCGAGTGCATATAGATCATAAAGACCGAGCAGAAATATAAAACATGTTCCAAAGGGAAACTAAATCTATACTTTTAACTCATTTTGATATTTAATAAAGAATTGATGCGTTCGCTGCAGTATGATTGTAATCATTTTAATCCGCAGCAACTCCGTCTTTATCGGCTCATGCTGAACAGGCCGGGCATCCCGGGTACACTGCACCGCAGCACGCAGGCCTACACGTGCATGATTTCTTCTTCGTGGATGGCGGACTATATGAAGCCATGTAAAGGATTTCCTAAGTCAGCTAACAGTTTGGTGTAAAGTGAAGACCATGAAAACAATATAGCCTTACATTCTGTTAAACATCAAGTTTAACACTTCACGATCAGAACACATTACAGACAAAAAGCCAATTCAAATTTTTATTTCTCCAGGTGTGCACAGAACAGTGAAACGTAAAAAGATGTTCATATTTTAACAATTAAAAGCAGGGAAGTGTTGGAGGTTCACTCAGAATCTGTGTGTAAACAATGTACCTGGAAGCATCTCTCAAGCAACCGCCGTCCGTCACTGTTCGGCATCGTCGGGGCGACTGGAGTACACTCGCTGGTTGGTTGAGCTCACTGTGAGTGGTCAGCTTTGCTTCAGCAGCACGATCAATACTGGAGGCTTCAGCTAGAGTCTTAACTCCAATATTTACGTGCTGCTACAGTAAGGCGACCGGCAAATGAGAGGCGCAACTCCAAACAAACTTTTTGCCATCAGACAAACAATATTCAGACACCGAATCCAAGAGCGATAGTATAAACGAGTCAGCCTTAACAGGATGAGGGACTGCAAGGTGACAGCCAGGTTGTATGTTCAGGCTTTACTGTGGCAGCACAGTATGGCCTGCATCTCAGTGTAACCCACAAACCATTCCGTGCTGCTACAGCATTGCCAGAGCTGCAGTCATGGTCCCTTAAACTCCCCAACTCTTGTCATCTTCTGTGGCTTTTATCTTCATTCTTCAGCCGTGTCATCCAAACAGATGGCTACAGATTTATTACCTATTATCTACCTACAGATGTTCAGATGGTCATCAGCATCTTCTTGCTTCTTGTTCACCACCTGAAACACACAGAAACAGACAATGCAGATGAATGCAAGCATGAGGACAGACGGCCAGAATTGCAGTGCTAGACAAACATATGTAAAACACTATGGTTGTTGAAAAATCTAATTTCAAGCTATGGGGAATTCCTCTGCTGTTGTAACAGCCTCCGCTCCTCCGGGGAAACTTTCCACAAGATTTTGAAACCTGGAGATTTGCACCAATTTTAGCCACAATGGGAGGTTGGTCATTGATGTTGGTCCATAAGACCCAACATCATCATCCCAAAGCTGTTGGATGGGGTTGAGGTCAGCGATCTCCACAGATTAGTTAAATTCGTCCTCACAAAACTCAGTAACCCTTTCTTAATGGGTCTTGCTTAATGCACAGGAGCACCGTCATGCTGAAACATGAACGGGCTTTACCCCGAGTGTTGCCACACGACTGGGAACACACTGCAACATTAGGATTCCCCCTCATTGGAACTAAGCAGACATGTGTGTCCACATACTGCCCATAGAGTCCTCAAGTCATTTCACGTCTTCACTTGATTGCATTTTCGTAACAATAGCAGAACCGTTTCACTCACATTTTCTAAAGAAGTTGGTCAGAATACGGTGGAATTTTCCTGCCCAGTAACGGACACTTGTGCTATTGACAGGTGCTCCATAGACAACTGGTTGTAAAGTGAGCATTCTTTCTTTGCATGTCAGAGGGAAAGTGCAGCATCTCAGTCTTGGGTTACAAGCTAATTGCTGCTCCACTGTCCTCAGTAGAGATCACAGTATTTTACCCGGAAAAAATATGAAGCGAAACCTTTTCCTTTTTAAAGAGGTCGACTTCCTACAAAACAGTTTCACGATGGAGAAACAAGCATCTATTATTCAAAATGAAACAGAATAACACTAACCCAAAAAAGTAGCTCTTCCAGTTAATACAAACATGTCAACTTTTCTAGCAAGACGTTTCAGGCTGTCCTTGTAAACCTTAAAACTAAATCTCCTTTAACAAAACCTAGTTTGCAGGCAAAGGCACTAAAACCAGCTTGGGCATGATAATAATCCTGAAGGAGATTGGGTCCAACAACTATTGCCACTAGAGGTCTCAATGGACCTGTAATCATGACCGTGGTCTGAAATGGACACGAGAGCCTGAACCTAATATCTCTAACATACATCCCTTAAAAGAAATGAATAAATAAATCACTGACTGGCATTCTCTTTCACACACACGCTCAAGTGCAGCTCAGAAGATGACCGAAAAAATCAATCCATTAAAAAAAAAATCATCCAATGAAAAAAAAAATAAAATCAACAATTACTAGCTTTTATTCTTCTGTTCAAGTTAAATTGTTGTGGTAATGAAACTGCAAGCTGGAACAATTCAAATTCTTAAGATTTGAGGGTCAGCAGCACAAACGTATTGCTTTCATCAGTTAAGACCATTAAACCTAGAAGGGAAACACCGAGACAGGATGTATGGATTTGGTTGTTTCTTGCAAATATAAAGTAGCTTTTGGAATCAGAACTCAATATAAAACCCTGCGGTATGATGTAGAAAAAGTTAAATGAACTGCAATTGCAAACATAACATTTTCATCAATATACTCGTTATGCTGCTTGGAATTCCCATTAACTTCATTCCATCATCACGACCATGTACCATTGTGTTCATCTTCTACAAAGCCTCCGTGTTACTGTCTGGCAAAGGCTTCCTCATTGATACAAATATATGGGTTTCCCCCCCCAGAAATTTGGAGATCCACATTGCATATTTTATTGGTAATACTTTCAATATAGGATTTGACTCATCTTTCTATCTAGAGGCATTACACGTGTCATTTTCGGTGATCAAAATGAATGACTACAGCTGAAATGTGTTGTTAGATATGCAAATATAGAGAACACAAGTGAAACAATGTTATCCAGTCAGACAGAGCTGACAGTGAGTGTGCGGTTTTGTTTGTTTGTCTTAAATCGGCGTGTAGGAGCCCGGCCCCTTTCAAGCATGTGTGATGACATTTTTGGCTAAGCATAACAAAAAAAAAAAAAAAAAGGTCTAAAAATCTCTAGCTTACATTTGGTGCCAATTTTACAACCAATTCTAGCGTCTTAAAAATGTGTCTTTTTGCACAAAATGTGCACAGCCTTTTCAAAATTCATGGCACCTTCTGAATGTAAAATCCACCAAAAAAATTAATGTTACATGATAAAATGATGCTGTTAAATTAGTTCAGAGAACTACATGGAGGAACAATTGTTTAGTGTTTCAAGCTTTGCAATGGTATAAAAAAAGTTAACCAATAATGAAGACATTTGATACACCACAAATGACACTGTGGTACATTTACAACTTAACATCAGGGGTGAATAATTGTCAGATCTGCAGGGCATGACAAAAATGGCCTTGTTTTAGTCCTGAGCTATTAGGGTCCAAATCTCGTGTCAGGGTCCACGACCCCTACCAAGAAAAACGAGGACGCAATCACAACAAAATCAGGTTGGCAACAAAAAATTAAACAACTATTTTAAAATAGTGAAAATAGTTGAAAGTGCAAAGGGGTGTTTGTCATCATCTCCAACATTTGAAGAATAATTAATAATGATAAAAAAGGCAAAAAAAGATCAACTGAGTAATCAATAAAACTGTTTGTTGTGGCCCGAACTGTTAGCTGTAATTACAGACTACAGCTCAGGCAGCTGAAGACAGCATCCTTTCCACACTCCACACATGTGGGAGCACAAAGTGTGACAACATGGGAAACACAACATACACCAAGTATAGAAAATGTGCCCAATCATTTTCTTATCTTCAATGTCATGAGTTCATGTTAAGACAGTATTGTACAAATTGACCTGCAGTAGAAGTCATGAAACAAACATTTTACCGTACCCATCCTTATAAACTACTTAATAAAAATGCTAAATACTAACCAGGTAAGTTGTGTATTTTCCTTTTCAGCTGATCATTGCTTTAAGTCCAAGTAGAATAGTTCCCATCAATCAATCTAACCTCTCCCCATTTTTCTCCCTCTCCTTTAAGGCAGCATGCCCGGACATGTCACCTTCACTGCTCAGCCTATTTAACCCATTCCTACGACATTTGCTCTCCTCACAATGGCCTCAAAGAGTCACCTGACCCCAAGGTTGGAGGTCAAGTAACCTCCTACACCCCATCGGGTACAAAGACGGCCGACGACAACCCATCACCTCACCAAAAGTGGTCTGGGTCGGCTTCTTGTCCGTGTTACATCTTCTGCCAGTACAAGCATAAACTAAGGGAGATTAACATTGACGTCCTAAACTGTGCAAAAAAAAAAAAACGGCATTCACATTTATCTACATGAAAAGATTAATGCAAGTTTGAGTTTTGCGTTGGGTTCATAAAGCTTTCCATCTTCAGCCACTGAGACATTTAAGGAAACTGCAGATGCAACAGCCCAGTTTGAAAGCACTACATTTAAATGACTGATTTATACTAGTTACAGGAAATGTATAAATATATTTCCAGTTTCTTTTTTGTTGTGCAAGCGACATGCAAATAATTAAGAAAACCATCACTTAGCCAGATAAACGTTTGACAAGACAACACACACAGTACACATATACTGTGTTCACTGTGCCACAACTTCATACGGTGTGATCAAATGTACCTGCTGGGGCAGCGTGGACACAGCAGGAGATCTCTACAGCAGTAAAAGTCAAATACAAAACCAGTTCATCCATAACAACAAGGCATATCAATAACGGGAAAAATTTAAAATAACCTCTTACAAAAGAATACTTTGCTAACCTCTTACAAAAGAATACTTTGCGAGGGTGTGTAATTCTTCAAGAAACCCAGGAGGTGCTGAACATTTTTTACTGTTCATTGTGGACCAGGGATGCTACCAATGAAGAACTACTTTGTTCCATATAAACTAGCACCGTAATGGTGTTAATCCTAGAAAAACCTGTTATATTTGCACAGCCAGCATAGCATGTTCAGCATAGCACAGACAGGGTGACTGGGACTCCCTGGAGGCTATAATCATATCTTATCAAATGAATGACAGTAAAGTCCAGGAACATGTGGAAACACATAGCTGGCAACAAGAGAGTAAACCAATTTCACAGGACACACCAGCAGATATAAGAGCATCACACTCCTCAGGTTTACCCCCCCCCCAATCTACTGTCAGGTATGAGTGTTACAGACGGACTCCTCAGGTACACAATATCTATGCTAATGAATTAACGCAGCATTGGAAATTAAGTTTTTAAAGCACAACAATCGTTGCACTTGTGAAATAATGTTAAATATGATTCACTTAGTGGGAACAGGTCTCACAACGGGACGCTGCATGTCTTTAGATATTTTCCGATGAAAGTGTGGACCACATTATAAAAAGGTTCCTCAGTGGCCAACAGCAGCATCTGTCGTCTAAACACACCCGTGTGTCCACGATGTGTCTGGTGGAATATTTAATCTGAACACGCAAATGCCTCTACTGTAAAAAATGATGCACTTCAATGTCTCCAGTTCTTCACTCCTTCATTTAACTATTTAAAGCTTCCCCTTTACTGGCAGAGGAAGACTGAGCAGAAATAAACAGGATGCAGACAAAGCAGTATATTGTGGTGCAATTTCAAAAGTGCCACCTCGACGTCATTTACACTTGACTATCAGCATGACACTATTAAAAAAAAAAAAAGGCATGTCTCACCAGCAAAACCACCAAAACCTTTTTAATTACAGTAAATTAGTGCCTACGTACAGAACCATCAGTGAGGCTGAAATTAGGATGAGCACTATTTCACATGCATAAGCAAGAGCAAAAGAGGAAGCAAAGCTAAAGTGTGAGAGCCGAATGGCACACCCATACAATTTCACAAACATGTTTTTTTTTTTTTGCTGTATATTCCGACTCAAATGCCTAGGTTGAATTTAGATACAATACTACAGTTCAGTGTAGAAGATGTGTTTAACACACAATATAACCAAAATCTTTCCTGCTAAAATAAACTGAGGCTTTCCAAGGACTTCAAGTTCTGTTGTCACACTGCTGATGTGGTTTATATGTTGACACAATAACAAAATAAAATCAATCAAATTATAACATGGCTCTTGCATGTGCTACTAAATTATTAAATGTTAATACCGGCGATATTATTCTTTGATGATTTCACCACATTCCTTGGTAGGCTTGTGGTGAAATACTTACAACTGTATGCAGTGCCAATTAAAACACCAACATCAGTCACAGTGGTATATCTAACATTATGTGTGCTGATATTACAGGCACCAAATGAGTTTCTTGAAGTAAACTTTAAAAGATGACAAAACAACTAATTGTTGGTCACACTGTGTGAAAATATCTGCTCTCGCTGCACCCAGCGGCTGAGGTATTACCAAATAAAAATACACAAACCAATAATTCAGGATCATTGTAAATATTTCCAATTTAACTGCTCACCCCCAGGTGAAAAAAAGATTGGTGCATCAAAAATGAAAACACCATGTGTGTGTAGAAGCATACTCTTTCCATGTCAGATCTTACTGCCAGTGCTGTTGCAGGTCATCATATTATATCTAAAATGCAATTATCAAGCGAAGAATTCACCAGCACTGTAACAGCTGACCCATTCCTTCTAAACACGCTGTCTAATTCCAGAAGTACTTAAAATAAGAAATAAACATATCAGATTTTTTTTTTTTTTAAGAGAAGAGCAGTTGACCGTTAGAATTTAAAAAAAAAAAAAAGTCAAACGAACATTTTTAAAGCTGCTAATCGACCACTAAAATACATCAATGTTCACATCATAACAGGTTATCTTATTTTAGCAGCCCACAAAATTCCCCTACGTTTTTTTCTACACAAACCATAACTGCAGTTAAACTACTTGAAAAATGTTAATGTCACTTTTATAAACTGTTGTTTTTAACATCTTCACCCTTTCAGTGAGACAGGTGTGAAGCCTCATGCAAACCTACAGTCCTGCAGCACCTACTGTATGCAAAAACCAAAGCCAATTCAAAACATATGCTTGTAAGAAGCATATGCTGCACTGCTGTTATCAGCCCTACATGTATGGCTAAGTACATAGACACTCGTTTTCACAAAAAATAAAATAAAAATAATCACATGTAAAGTTAAGGCTTACCTCGATGACCACATTTTAAACTATTCCTGAACTTAAATCATGTCTGCGAGCGGACTGACTGACGCATATAAAACCCTTTCGACAGCTTCTATTTAATGCTGCCGAGGCACAGATCTGAAACCACGGCCAACTTCTGGAAAATAACCAACGAGACACGTGAAGACCTGTTCCCATCACTGCAAATTTGAATACTATAAAGTTTGTGCTGAGTGGTGCAGAAAGGAGGAAGAGAAGGGGTGGGGATCCTTCGCAGCCCGGCTACAACACATGTGAGCAAGTACAAGAAGAGAGGCACAGTTTTACCAGGAAATGGGGGTGGGAGCCCATTTTGCCGGAGGGGTCTGAGAAGACAGAATGATGAGTCACAGAATGTCATGCTAACCGTCTGAAACATCACCATGGTGCTCTGCAAAGGGAGTTCAGAGGCAAATACCAGACAACTGAGGGCAGACATAGACCGGCAGCATTTACAGGAGATTAACTGTGAACAAGGAATAAAAACTGGTAAAATACACCAGTGCTAATTTGACCATTGCATACAGTGTCAACAATACTGTAATTCCTCTTCAGAAGAATATGACCAAAATATTTACACTTATTTCATCTGTGTGAGCACACCTGATACACATTCTAAAACTAGATAGCTGGTGTGTAAAAGTTTAGATATTACTAAGATTCCTGATGATAAAATCTCACTTTGACGAAGCGCTACCTCGTCCCTTCTAGCGATCTGACTAATTGAAATCTGTAGTTTTTATGAAACAGAAATATCAGCAATAAGCACTGTAGCTGATATTATAAAGCTAAATTACAAAAGATGCTTCGATCAACTAAATTGGATGAAATGGGATTTTAATAATCACTGCTTCAACTGAAATATTAAAGACTGCCTGTAACATGTGTATTTTAGCCTTTTTTCCATTTTAACAAATAGACTGACACTGTGACTCGTAACATCTTCAAAGTGATTTTTTATATATATATATATATATATATATATATATATAAATACATAAATATCTACTCTTAACCGGACGAGCATCCAGAAATACACCCCCCCCCCCAGAAAAGTATGTTATTAGAGAAATTTGACTTTCTATCTTTAATACCCTTGACAGATATCTGGCAGATTCACTTGATAGCAGACCAGTGAACAGTTTCAAGTTTTAGCATGAAAGTAGGCAGGTGTAGGCTATATATTTTTGAGTATGTGTATATACGCACATACATCACAGTATTATCGTAAATCCATCCTATAAAAACTAAAAGATAATGCGCTTTAAATTAATTAATTTTATCGGCACAAATTTGACAAACATTCTATCTGGTGGTGTGAAAAATATTACTAGAAAAAACATCTCAACTCAGGTGTAGTGACCCGATTAGCTTTTGTTAGAGTGTAGATCAATTCATCAATTTTTAAAAAATCTAATCAATAGTTGACACAGCCATACACATATAGAGGGATAAGTGGAAACTTGGGTTAATATAAGTTGCCCATCCAATTTCAACTACAACATGTGGTGAACATTAAATATCCACAAATGTGTTCATTGCTAAAGCACATAATTACAGGCCTGTCACATTTTAGATTATCATACAATTCATTGTTTCATACACTCACGATTAAAAGTGTTCTTGTCAGTCAGACATCAGATCTTATAGTTCAGTTATTTCTTCCTCCTCCACCTCTTTGCTCTTGTGACTGTGAAAGGTCTTTCCCTCATTTCACACAAACTCATTTCCCTCCAAATAAATACACAAAATCCAATATAAAGTTTCATCATGACAATGCTTTCCTATTTCCCCAAAAAATATATATTATACTGAGGAAGACTGATATTTAGTTTCATTTTCATTCAGGTCATGCATATCTAAATGGAAACAACTTACAACCTTACTGCTGCAGAATATGTATGACCAAATACAAATCTTGTAAAACGCTATTAGTAAGCACACTGTCATTTGTAACGGGGCAATGGACAGATGTGACTACTCTGTCTCATGTCAAACGCAGTTAATTAGAATTTTACAGAAATTTAAAAACCATATTTGACGATGTGGACACGTATTAGTTTAAATAAATGCCACACTGTAACAGATCGCGAGGCCTCGCATTATGTAACACATTAAACCGATCTCTACTCAGGAGGAAGTAGAAGGGGCGGGTTATATGGAGCCTCTCTTGTGCTTTATCAGACGACTAGTCATGTTCATTATTAGAAGTATAAAGCAGGATCCAATGTCTTACATGGGACATCTCTTGTAATTAATGATGAGGTCCGTTTTGTCACTCTATACCAAACCGATTAGACCACGTAGTGGTTTTTCCTTCAACGTTACTTGAACTGAATCAGTCCAGCTCACACAGAAAGTGGAGCGAGGTTTGTAAGTGCCAAAAAAAAAAGAGCAAAAGGAGACAGAAAGCAACGACTGAAACCATCAAACTACGATGAGCCAAAAAAAACCAACACTACAACAATACAAGTTGTATTTTCAATAACTAATTAATTCAACTTTACTGCATCATTAGAGGTTATGACAGCCACGTTTAACAGAGCTGTTAAAGTTGAATCATCAGAAGTAGACCTATGATTGTTGTCAGCTGGCTGAGAGCCACATCGATGACCATCTAACGTTAAGGCGAGACATTCAAATCTATTAATACAAAATATAAAGCGAGTCAACGTTGACTGACGTCGAATAAGGCTTGGTAAATTATTTGGTGTAACGCTGAGACTGCAAACACGTTAGAACCAGTTCACTACACAGATATAGGGAAATACAACAGTCACTATTATTTAGTCATACAGTAATATAATGACTAACTTATCCACACAAAAAACTGCTTGCAACAAGACATGCAATTTACCAGCTCGGACGAATAGTGTGCTCAGTTAAGGAGCTTGGTAAAATTAAGTTATCCCACAATAGCACCGTGTGTCCCGGTCTCTCGTTTGGATGTTTCCCTCCCAGTGTCGGTGCCGTGTGCATTTGTTGACAGACTGCTGCTCCTCCGCTCGAGCCTGGCTGCTTCTGCACCTCCCGCTCAAAACCAGGCTCCAATGCGAAAAAAAAATAAAAAATACTCCCATTATAGTTCAACTTTCATTCATAACCCCAAAGTTAAGTGTGTCTTCCCTACAGAATAATTCACCATCACTTTGTATTTTTTTTTTTTAAATATATACATATAATCCTCTCACCTCCCGGATAAAACGGACCGCTGTATGAGCGCATCTTTTTTTTTCTACCGTTTCAGCGCAGCAAAGTGAGACGTCTCTTATGTGCTAGCACGCTAAGCTAACAGGCTAGTTGCTACGAGTAGTAACGTTACAAGCTGGCAAAGCTGCCAAACGGCTAACGTCTCCCCGCCACGGTCGGTCTCTCCTCTTCTCCACGTATTCCTCTCCTTCGGTCCGTTTACATTGTCCAACTAAAAATCAATGTAAATACTTTGTGGCGTAAAATTACCTTGTGTTTCCTTTGAAATCACGCGATGCCCCCTCTCTAACGGCGCAGTTTTTATTTTGAGCGCTTGGTTTTCTCCCCCGTCTCAGCGACAGCTTTCCTCTATTCGCAGCATCCTCTCCCCGCAGCTGCTGAGGCGATCGCTGCTCACTCGAAAATGGCGCCGAAAGATACACTCCTCATTCAAATTCGATAGAGCCTCCCATTCTCCCCATTGGCTGAATGCGGAGTGGACTCCGCGCCGCTCATTGGACACTGAAAATGCACTCTCGCAGCCCACGCAGCGCTCAACGGAGAGAGACAAGTTAACTCTTTACATGCCAAACAACATTTACAGCAATCGTTAGAGCTGAAATATTTACGGTCAAACTTGTTCAAACCAGATTTTTTTTATATGAACTGAATGCCACGATCCTTATCACCTATCAAAAACATTGTGCAGCTTTTACAAGTCACACAATGTACCACAAAAATGTTATGGTGATACAACATGAGGTTAAGAGAACGTGCAATGAAGTCAATACTATAGTGGCATAGATACACTATGTTCATAGCCCCAAATAAACGTTGTATAGCCTATATTTTAGAAATAGTGTGGTTGCATAAGATTCCTTGTTTATTTTACACTAAACATCGCCATTTGTCAAGTTTCTTACTGCTGGTGAATATAAATGTCTAAAACTTTGACTGGAAGCTCCACGGCCTTTACCTGTAAACATGATAAATGTCCTTGGTACCAACCGAACTGGGCAAATTCAAAAAATCACTCCATAGTGATCCACAACAAAACAGCAATGACTGAGAGTTGCAATTGGCCTTGTGGTTAAAATACACTGTTCTTCACTTAGATGACCCAGATTACAATGTGTCAGCTGTATACTATTGCACTTTAACTCACTGATTATTCCTAATCAGGTGAAGCATATATAAAAATATAACGAAATGCTTTTTGTCGGAGTCATAAAAACACAGTAAATAAAAGCCTTTTGTACAGCATATCATCGTATAAGAATGCTGAATATGTTGCAATACTTTTCTTACCATCTTTTATTTAAGCACCATGAATGTCACCATGTGTTCCTTATTTACAGAATGGGTACTTATCTGCAGTAAGCACAATAGTGCTTGTCTTGGAGTGACAGGCCTATCAAAAACAATCAAGAAATAGCCAAATAAAACACATTATTGCAGCCATATATGACAGGAGCATAACATCTGGTAAATGCGTATTGTGAAGTCAAGAAGTAAAGGAAACAGTGAGATTACTCCTAAGACCAAGGAGATGCAAACCAAATCATGAAGGATGTGAAAAAGCAGGACTAAAAAGCAATAGAAGCCTTAACTTTGAGGTAAAGGCTAAAGGGTTTGCTAAACTATAAAGGCTCAGTCAGCAGTTATGTTATCCTTCCACACTCTTCTCCATCAGAATGTGGGGTTGGGTTTTGAAGACTGTCTTAGTTTATTTTCCACAGTTCAAATGAGGACGTTTCTTTCTTATCTTAAATTGCTGTGACATCATATTGCCCTCTCTAATTTGAAGTTTAATTTTCAACTGCCCTATTTTTCTTTTTTTTTCTTTTCACTGATATATTTTCCACACCTTTCAAAGGCACACAAATCTTTCTTAAAAGAAACACACTCCTCAACTAGCCCTCATTGCATCGCATAACCACTTCTCAGTTTAAGATTAGCCTGGCAACACCACATGAGTACACACGCCACTGTTGTGTGCATGCGACGGCCAAAGCAGGGATGGGTTGGGCTCACAATAACCCTGCTGTTATCATATCTCGTGTGGCTTAGTGTACCTCGGGTAAGATAAACAGAGACAGTCATTTCATCCCAATGCACACACAATAACAATACATAACATTCACCTGCTATGTCAGTAGTTGGCTCCACCAGGGTGCATTGGAAAAATAATTAGCTGCAACCTGCCATTAGTTTTTATGGTGTGCCTAAGTGAATAAAGACCAATCTCTTGAACGCAAATTTAAGTGAGTTGAAAATTCTACTTGCCTCTCTGAAAATGTCCTCACAATCAAATATATCCTTTACTTTTTTCATGTAGGGTAATGGTATTTTAAACCTTTATATTTTTATTCGGCCCTCATCAAGAAACATATTTTCTTTGCATTGCTGTGTGTGTGGTCGTAAAAACGTTAAAAACATTTTCTTACTTTGGAGGTCAAAAGCCAACTGGGAGAGAGAGGGCGCCCATTGTGTATGCATTCTGGTGTGTAGTGTGGACAATGGTGCGGACAGGGAAAAAACACACTTGTTTACAGATAAACTGGTTTGGACAGGAAGCCAGTAAGGAGGAGCTCTGTGTTGTTAAACAGGCATGTGGAGAGGCAGGGATGAGCCAGCAAAAACACCAGTGTGACATAGGGGAGATCATGATGCAGTACTCAAAGACATCGCACACACACACACACACACACACACACACACGCATGCAGTCCTATCTACAAATGCACATATGCCGTACTTACAAATACTGTTGAAAACTTGTCAGGGTTTTTTAAAAGATCACGCAGTATTCAGCCAAAACCCTTCAGTGACACAAACAGAAATTGTGGTTTATTTAGTTTCACAATGAGAAAAATGAACAAGATAAAAAAAAGGTGCTTGTGTGTCCCTTTAGCAGTGCCAAACGGTAGCCAAGCTGAGCTCGGGTGAATACTATACAGTTCATCCTGCATTGTGTCACCGTCACATGAGCACACACTGCCTTCCATTAAGCAGGAGATCCTTATGACTCACGAAAACACAAGTCACATGTCAGTACACAAATGCTACTCAGACTGCTCTGTTATCCACAACAGCTTTTCTGCAGGCCCAAATGAAATCACATCATAATGCATCTCTTCATTAGGAGGGTTGAGACAGAGTCGGGCTCTCCCTTGTCCTCTGGTAGACGAGCTGAACAAGAGCCACAGTGTCATGTATCGTGGTGTCTGGCCACAGCAGGCTAACCCGGCTGCAAAGTTGCCATGCCGGGGCAGTTTTAGTTCAGTGTAATTTGATTTCATGTTAGATGACATACGTGCATGGTTGGCTGTTACACTCAGCTGCTTCTCATTCAAGGAGGAGTTTTACAGATTTGTTTTTTTCTCTCTCTCTCTCTCTCACTCTCTCTCTAGTATTTCCCCTCATGTGACTCAAAAGATGGCCTTTCACACCACCACCAGACATGGGACTGCATTGACATCTGATGATAGGGAAATAGACAATAGCAAAAGCTCAGCTCCCAACACGCGTTGAGAGTTCACATGCAAATCTTTCGAGTTTAGTGAAGAAATATCAACTGAAGACTGAACAAAATGAATTAAGGTCAGGGGTGACACCGAACCAGGGATGAGCACAGTTGGCAGCTTTACTGTCAGCGTAACGCACCAGTAGGTGACTGACCCTTGTTGAAGGTGCACTATAATGTGAAATCACCTTCTGCATGGGCGCATTAGGTGTAGGCGGATATGTGAGTGTGAAAATCATTCCTCCTCTTCTCACTGTAGATGTGAGCGCAAGACTGTCATCGTTTTAAATATAGTTAGTTCCATTCACAGTTTGAATCCAAAAAATAAAAATCCCCTTATTCTTTATTTCTTCATTGTAAATATCGACCCGTACAAATGGAGCTAAAATGTAGGGATATTTTGCAGTGTATAGGAGACAATTCCCTCTGAAAATAATACATGCAGCAGTCAAACTGAGCAGCACCCTGAAACAAAGTAAAAGAGACTATAGGCGTACTATATTAACGTAGCCTATTCCCTCGTCTTGGTCCTTTGAGAACACAATGAGCCCCACTGAGAACTCCATACTAGAGAGAGAGACTCTCCATTGATGTCTCCCCGGCTCCCCTCCCCCTCTCTCTATGAGACATCTGTAGCAGCTGCCCCCTTGTGCTCCTGTCAGCAGGGCAGAGTGTGTGTGTTTGCATGTGTGTAAGCACTGGTTGAGGTGGGGAGGTTAGCGTGGGGCGTGTTATGACACCTCCCCCTTTGGAGGGGTCCGGCCCGCACACTTGTGGGACATCACATTTATCAATGGCTAATAGTCACTAGCAGGTCACCCTGAAAACATAACAGAGACCTCTGACCTCTTTTTAGCACAAAAGCTGCGAGGTGGTCACGTTAGCCCCCGGGCCCTATAAAAAGTGCACACACAACTTTTTTTTACATCTAAATTGGCTGCACAAATCATCGTAAAGTGTTGTTTCTTTTCAAATAGAACAGTTTAAATAAAACAGACTTTTATAGTCAGGGTCCTGCTAAACACTATCACATGCTTGGCCAGCAAGTTCAGATATTACAGTACGAGAAGCCCTCTTTATTTAGTCTACATGATCTTATAGACATTCTCACGCATAGTAATCAAATTAAGTGAGTATAATTCATTTATAAGGGGGGTTTGAAATAGAAGGCAAGCTGAGGAGAGTAAAGCGATGCTCCATTAAGTTATTCTTTGGTTTGAGACTTTCCATGAATATTTTTTATGTTTAATAGAAAAAAAGAATCAGCACCAACTTCCCTGTAGAGCCTGAAAAAAGCTGTGTAGTTTGCTAACACAGACTGTCACTGAAAAGATACTCGAGATCAGCTCGATTTCTCCCAAATTGTGTTTTTTAACTTTGTTATATTGTTAACACCTCAAGGCTTTCTAGTCTCCTAAGTATCAAATACGGCGTTTTCCACACTAAATGTGAGGTCATGTGCCGAAAAAGACCACAGGATCCTGTGTAGAGGCATTTCAATTAGACTAATACCCTCAGAGACACGTATCCCTGCATCAGGAGTTAAAACATCCAGTGTCATGGTTGGGGTGTGTCAACCTGATGGGGTTTTTCATTCAACGTTTTTGGGACTCGCCCCACAAAACATTTTAAAATGACTTCCTGGTCTAATAGTATTTCCTTTTTTATTATCTTGACAATTGTCCACACCCCTCAGTATTTCTTTCTTTCTTTTTGGAGGCAGACTGCTGAGAGGGATTACAGAGAAGGCTAAACACAAGCAAGACCTAATCCTAAGCATGCAGGGTTACAGAAAGGACTCGAAGAATAAGTTTTGGAAGCCTGATATTTTTTGCCGGAAGCTGGTGATTGAAGATATTTGGTGGCAACATTTTTTATCTCTATGATGATGATTGTGCAAAAACAAAAACCAAGTACGGTAAGAGCAGCAACTTCACCACAGGATTAGGACTCTCTCCTGAGACACGGATGGAATTAATAAAAATAAATAATTAGTGTGCAATTTCATCAAAATAAAGAATTTTTTTAAAATCAGGTGACAGTCAGACGCAAGTGTACCTTTGATCAATAAAGAAATACATTAAGTCTCAAAGGACTGTTCAGTATCTGCAAGGCCAGTGAACTATTTGCAAATGACTTTACCGATGTCTCAGTCTGTCATTATTTGAGCTTTAGTGACATTTAAAAAGACAAAGAAGACTCAAATGACAAAAGCATCGTTCAGCACAATATAGACTCATGCTGTGTTTTGTTCACGACATGCAAGTCCAGAGCGCATATAAAAACCACTAAAGCCTCCAGTAGATTTCCTAAATTACATTCATGAGCTCATACTGCGTCAATATCAGCAAGATAACGTTTACTATTAATGTTACAGACAAACTTCGACTGTAACCTACCGTGCAGTGATACGCTGATAGATTTAAATCTCTGGACAACATTTTAATACACATTTGAAACTTTGGAGAGACTGTATATGCAAAGTGATTGCTTGACTGACGAGATGAAGTCGAAAACAAAGCACATGCAACACATGCATATAATGCCAACTCATTACGTTAGCTGATCTAAGACTCCATTGTCAGCACTGTTTATTTGAGAACTGGAAAAATGTGTAGGCTATGTGTTAGATTTATATTAGTCACCTATCACAATCAGTTTAATATAGCTGACATTTCTGGAAAACTGGAATGTTTCTTCACACTGAAATGTAGTTCTACGGCAAATATCACTCTGCTGTGACTCACTGTCTGTAGTGTATATTATATTATATATTTTCTTATGCTGAGATAAATGTTGCCAAGTGAGATGACTTATATTTGTTAATATATTTCTTCAAGCGCATTGAGCTGATCAAAGGCCAATATTAATCAAAACATTAGACCAATATTCACATGAAAGGGATAGATTAGAGATAGAAGTTTCAAGTACACCGCTTGTATCTGAAGATCTTACGCTCTCATGAAAAGTAGTTTCCAGAGTGAAAAGTGTCTCTTTTCTTACAGAATAGTATTGGTGGGCGATACCTTAAATTGAATTCAACCAAGTAATATCAGAGCAGTTATCGCTGATAATACCAATATTTTGTATTAATAAAAATGCTAAATGCCCTTTTATAGAGAAGAAACATTAAAGACCATTACATTTAGAGATTAGCGCCTTACATGTATTATTACTTTACAATCTAATATACTGCTACTAATAATTAAGAAGTATGTAATGCAGCTTGTCACGTGACAGCTGGCATTTGATTGCCATATTTCCTCGGAAAGACTCTGTAAGCAGCCGACCGAAAGAGACTCTTTCCGAACATCTATCCCTGACAATGACTTTGGACATAGTCTCTCTTCTGTTGCAGTTTTGTAGTCTCTTTCTCATGTTTAACTTGGATGTGTTGTTGTGTGTGAACAAATATGTAGTCCTGAAGCGCGGCATCTACCTGAACATTTAAAAGTCGCAGCGTTTTTATTAATTGGTATATGATAAATTGACCAAATTCGCATTTTTGTCACTTAGCTGTTAGAGAAGGTGAGGGCAGGAGGACTCGGGACAGGCGACGGTTAATCTCTTCTTTCACAGTTTGGCGACTAACGCTGCTGTGTTTGCAATTTAGCAGTCGATGGGAGAAAAAAACTGTAACTTTAAAACTACAGCATTATCAACACACCTTTCTAAAATCGACACTTTACAAAAAGATGTAGGTGCAGTACTTACTTGTAATACTTCTGTTATAGAACCACCTTTCTCCTCTGTAGAACCCCATCAAAGGGTTTTCCCCCCGTTGAAAGGGGTTTGTGGTTTGTCCTTATCCAAAACAAGAGTCAAATTATAGAGGGTGTGATATTCTGAACAGATTGTAAAATTCCTTTAGCATATTTGTTCTATAAAAATATAATTGACTTGAATTGACTTGATGAGACCTCTTGGGATCGGTAAACATTTATGGAGTCGGCTGTTGCTGAGAAACTTTGTGTATGTATGAAAATTAAACAGCAGCCTCCTAAGTGTTCCACAGTCAAGTATTTTTAGCACTGAAACTGGAAGCACGCTATTGACAGATACTTGGGCAACACTTTCCATTCACACTATAGAGGTTAAATCAAATTATAGGCTAAGTTGCAGGACCATGACTGCATTGTAATAACACTATAGGTTATTTGAGGCACACCTAATTCAAAGGCTAATTCTAATTCAAAACACTTCCTTTGTCACTGGAGGACAATTTGCAGAGGTAACAAAGTGCAGTAACACAATACAGGAAAAAAGTTTTTAAAACGTAAAAATGCAAGGATAAACTGCACACACAACGATACCATATACGCAATTGCAAGAATAAGCTGAGTGTAAACAGCTTCTGGAAATGTTTGATAAACTCTAAAAATCCACACTTCAAGCTTCCAAAGACAAAACGAATCTACTCATTGTCCTGTTTCTGGACTACAAATTGAAAATCCCCGCGGAAGTCCCTCCCACCAGAGTCCGCCGCTGCACCTCGATGATGTAACCCCCTTTCCAAATATAGCGTGTTGCTGATGGCCACGCGGCTCCCCCATTGGCCGAGGCCGCTGTCAGTCGCGTGACGTCACCCCGCGATCGTGTTATTATTGTAAACAGCCCGCCTGCTCTCCACCGACGCTCTGCGCGGAGCCGACTGCTTCATCCAGTCCTTTGTTCATGCAGCGAAAACACCGACGCGACAAAAGCGCAGTGGTCGTCCGCCCCGAATTGCGGACCGAACCTCAAAGCAAAGTTAAGACACATCAACCAAAAACGATGACACCACATCTGTTTCACCGAACTGTGGCACCGCTGCTCACGTTGGGGGACATTGTTTTGTCGACCACCGGGATCTTCACGCAAACCCGGCGACGGCTCAATGCTGCTGCATATGAATAACAATAATAAACTGGAAGCCTGTCAATGCACAACACATCAACGTCTGCCCGGATAAAGGTGATCCACATTCACCTCCTGTTTTCACGGTACATGAAATAGATCTACAAACACTGTCTTTTACATTGACAGCCCCGTTGTCAGAGGCTCCTACATGTCCTGTTTTTTAGTCTTTTTTAAAAGAGTACATACTTGTCATTTTGGAAACAGCATGCACATCGACATCCCCCACAATGACTATAAAGGCCTATAACTTATACTCTACCTCGTCATTTCGACAGCGTTACATTGAAGGGACTTTACTTTGTGTCCCGCGTCGGAGAGAATCGACCAAAACGACTGAATTTTTTTGTGGTGGACAACTGAACGGCAAACTCAACTAGTCAGACAGCACACAGCAAAAGTTGAAATTACTCCACTGAATGTTTAATGGCACTTACTCGACAGCCTGGATGCCCCTTTGGAATGATCGACTGCATCTCCCTCGCCGCCAGCCGGCCGCTGGTGACACCCTCACCTCGACATTTCCATCCAGGCAAGTTGACAAGAAGCTTCCATTCTCCGACTAAGTGCAGTTTCAGCAAAGCTTCAAGGAAGTTGTTTCTTTTGTTCCAGTGTTTTTTGGTTGCGTCAATGTTGCGAAAAGGGGGAGGCGGAGCGGTGGATACAGAGAGCGACCGAGAGAGAGAAAGGAAAAAAACACACACACACACACACACACATCTGAGCGCACCATAGCCTAGTTTGCACGGCTGGTCATTAACGCACAGAAAAAAAAGCCCTCATCCAAATCCGCGATCAACTCGTCTCATCAGCTCTGCTCACGTGTCTGGGACGACCAGCATCCCTTCAGTGTGAAGCAGACGGTAGGCTTCACGGGTGCCCGGGTTTGATAGGCTATCCAAGATCAGGCTACTACAGGTCGGTGCGCCCCGTGCGCGCGTATAGAGAAACGGACACATTCGCTCAGCCCGGCTCGGCGACTTGGATTTCTTTCCCACAACTACAGATTCCGTATATGCGGGCTTCCCGTTGCTTGCTTTCAGTGGCGCGCATAGGCTTTCCGTCTGTTACTTCGTCGAGCCAGATCCCTCAAACGGAGAGCGCGTGCAGCCTACACACGCCTTTTCGACTTCAAACTCTGCTGCCAGTTCCCGGACAGTGCAGGGCGGTAACGAGATGCGCAGTAACGCGTTACCACCAACGAGGAGTAGGAGAGACGTACGTTTTCCTCCCACTCCTAAACTTTCAACTTTCATTCAGCCTAAATGCCAGACCGAAGTTGAGTAATTACCCCCCATCTATCCATTAAATTTCTTGACAGGTTACTCGCTCTCCGTCGCACATTATAGGTGGCAACAAGTTTACTTTCTCTCGGTGAAAGCAGGTTTTATCAAACAAAATACATGTTAGGACAGTTTAAACATCACTATCGGGTCAGGTATTTGGATCCCATGCGTTCTGGCGGCAAAGACGGGACCGCAAAGCAACGCAACAAGTATAGAGGAACTGACTGAGGCGTTGTGCCCTCACGCTATATAGGAAACCGAAGCACAAACAAACCGGGCGACTCTTTGAGTTAACGAGCCCGTCGCTGTTCTTGGAACCAATGGGGAGGGAGAGCTGAGACGGCTTACTATGCAGAAATAGGATCATGTTGGTTCATCGGATGAAAAGGTGAGCTCCCTGTTTCCGCGTCGCTGTTACTGTAGCGTTGCGTCAGGAAGTTGTTGGTTTCAGTGAAGTCACCATCAAAGACGTCATTCTCTCCTCCATCCAGACGGGCGACTGTACAGCAGCATATGGCGAACACAGACCGCGTAGATCATTTCTGTTTGAAATAAAAAGCAGCGCAGTGCCTTCAGCCCTTACATGCCCTTGAAAATATGTTGACCTCAGAGCGCAGGAGGCTGTGACAAAACGTTTGCTATACGATAGAAATAAAAGGCTGCAGATTGCAATGAGGATGAAGTATGGGTTGTAGAAGACAACCGTGGGGAACATAAATGCACTAATGAGTGTGGAAGCTTTATGAACCAAGAGGATTTGCAGAAGGAGCTCATCGGAGATATTCCTGGTGCACAAATATAGGCATGCAGTTTTAGGCCTGATGTTAGCCGGGCTTAACAAAGCTCTTTAGAAGCTTTGTGAAAGTGAATAGTTAACAGTAACATACAAATAAAATAAAAAATCGAAGCATTTGGTTGATCATTTGGAGAGATTCTGTTAAAGCAACCCCACAATCAGCCCATAAGCTTCACCGACTGAGTGTCAGGAAAGAAGAGCTGCTTGGAGCATGCAAGTTCTGATTTGTCATCGTGTAGAAGACTGGTGGGAGAAAAAAAGAGTTTTGAATTAGATTGTAATAGAGAGCATGCATGTGGCATAACAATATAACTTTTGTACAATTAACCACCACTTCTTTTTCAAAGTGTACAAAGCACAAGCCTGCATGTGGTCGACAGTAAGAGCGCAAAAGGCGCTGCGTGTTATCAGAAGCATCAATGCAAAAGCTTATTCTTTTATCAGTAACCTAATGAGGTACCAATTCACTGACACCGTCCTTATTGTCCAACAAGCGCTGCGTCACCACATCTGAAGTGAAAAGGTGAGTGTATTTTTTTAACTCAAACAATCTCAGAAAAAAAAACGACATCTTTGATTAATACTTGTTTCATACTTTCTCCCTATACAAGAAGGCGCACAGCAGCCGTCGTCTATGCGTCTTATATGCGCCACATCTGTTGTAAGGACTGGGCAACAAATGCCTTTATTGTTTGTGCTGCACGGTGACAATACAGGCAAACAATAAAACAAAACATAAAAGGAAAATCAAAAATATGTAAGACACATTTGTCATTTCACATGCACCAAATATTGTCACTCATTTGCTTTTTAAGACTTATTGAGCGTATACACAGCTCCTGTGCAGTATTTTATGAGAAATGTATTCGGAAATTGCAATAACATATTTGCGCATGTGGATAATTATCAAGTCAAGTTGATTATTGGATGAAATACTAATATTCGGTTTGTGGATGGATAATTAGCCTTTAGAAAACCCATGTAATTACATTTTTTCTCTGAGAAAAACTGCATCTTTTACTTAAAATGTGACTTTTTTACCATTTAAATTATCACCGCTCGATATCTCCAACCTATGTTAGAACTACAAATATTGAATTGTCATAAGCATATTTAAAAAAAGAAGAAGAAAGAAATGAAAACCTGAAGCTGAAAACCTAGACTGACAAGTCATACTAATACATATTGATTACTCATATTGACTGTGTATGATAACCTACCTTTAGTTTCCTTTGTTCTGTGCGCAAATGAAAGTGATCAGCTGACAGAGCTGATACAGCCTAATTACTAAGACGTGTGCGTGTGTGTGTTTTTGGGGAGTATCACGCTCACAGTTACGCAGTATTTGAATATTCGCCCGACGTGTGGGCTGATGCACAGTCAGAATGCAAAGAAGAAACAGTAAACAGGCACAATAATCTGATGGGTTGCGGTTCCACTTAAAGGTCATCGATCAAGAACAAGACTGCAACGAGAGCGCCAAAATAGTTATGGAGATTTTTTTATTTTTTTTTTTTTTAAATAATTTCGACTTTTAAATCTATCCACCAACCTTTTTTCTTCTGAACAAACTCGCACGTTGCTCAAGGAAGTTTGTGCTTTCTCTCTGCGTCTTTCTGCTTCAGCATGCTGTTTTACACTTTACGGTAGACTTTCTGAAAATATAAGATAGATGTGTATAAAGGACACTGTTAAACTTTTTGTTTAACTCCGAGTTGCACGTGCATGATTCTCTCAAAGCACGTTAAGAAATAGGTGCCACATTGCTTTTGCAATCAATGATTAATACATTTTCATGCAGTGCATCAACATCTGCTTTTGAGAGATGAATGAATACAAATATTTATATATTGTAGTCACAGGAGTGTCTCTTACACATCAACCAATTATAAAGAGCCCATGTCTGCACTCTGAAGCAGTTGTTTACAAAATTTTCAGGGTTGGACTATAATCCATTATCTATCTGAAACACCTTCAACATGATCAAGAGCATAGAAGGAGCAGGGCAGTTCAAATTTTTTTTAAAGTTTAGATATTTAAAATACGAGGAGCAACTGAAAGATCATATTGTGTGGGAGGAATCTATATGACTCAAAACAAAAAAGTCAGTTTTTTCCTGTTTGTTTGTGGTGTGTGTGTGTGTGTGTGTGTGTGTGTGTGTGTGTGTGTGTGTGCATGAGAGAGACACATGGCACGCTGATGCAAATCATCAGATTAGACATACAAACAGAAATGAATTGGCATAATAATAATTATAGTTCAAACTTATAAGCAGCTGTTCAGTTAAATGTGATCAGTCAAGTCAAAGTAAACCTGCTGCCCTGCATGTGATGGCTTCAGAGTAAAATTGAATTTCTGACACATTAAATTCGAAATTTTGATCTCAAAGATTTCGACAATTGCAGAGAAGGCTTCACGCAACAGCCATGCTTTTCTCTCATGCTACAGACTGACAATGCACTGCCAGCATGCAAACATAACCAGTGTCACTTTGTCAATGGTATCCTTGACAGCTGCACGGGGACGCAACAAAGATCTATGATGTTCACTCAATTAACCTGATGGATAAAATGTCAGGGGGGTTATGGATGTGAGTGTGTGAAGCTCTTTTCTCGTTTACGTCCCGGATAGACTGCGGTGTCTACGGGCCCTGTGAGGAGTAGTGGGTGAGGCCTGTCCCTTCTAAAGCACCCTGTGTCCAGAGCAGAACTAGGTCAACGGAGACCGCTGGTTGGTGAGTTGGAACGATGCTGCTCTCTCACACACACAGGAATGAAAAGGAGGGGGAAAAAAAGCAGGAGAAGAATATCCTTGCCTTCGATTGAGGGATAATTAGAGACTGTTTGACCTATTTGTCCCCTTAAATAAACCGTTGGCCATTTAGCTGCGAGTGGGTTGAGAGCACGTGGAGCCCTTCGACCCACTGGACCCCTCCAATTATGCTATTTTAATGGCAAATTGCCTGACAAAGTTCAAAGGTCTCCCCATTCTCTACCCTTCTTTTTCTCTGCACAACTCACATTCAGATGTTCGGTGTGCAAAAGCAGTCAATTACACAGTCTCTGCCAAAACATAAAGCTGTAGGGTGTTTTTAACGGTCCAGCTTCAGTAAAGACAGTACGACAAACTAGATCAAACTAGAGGCCATCTTACGCTGCGACCACACCAGCCAAACAGTACCGGCGTCGCTGTCACGGCTGGTTATGTGCTCTAAACGGCTTCTGTGGTAGTTACCGTAAGTGTCTCCAGGACCACATTTTGCCATGATGACAAACACAGACTCACAAGGTGAAATTAAGACCATGCAGCGTCGCTGTTGCGGCTGGTAAAGATGTCACTTCAAGCTTACAAAGGCACTGTTACGAGCTGTTTTTAAAGGATGTGTTCACAAGTTCGCCTTTAAAACAATACTCACATGCCCCCATATGTACATTGAAACAGTTATTAGATGCTGTAATTCTTCCTGCCCTCAGGTTGTCACTGAGGGCCATATCTCATTGTGCCTTAAAAGCCGTCAGCAAAATCTTAATAGCAAAGCTCACATGCAACCCCACAGAAGAAGATTGAATCCATAGCACAGATGCAGTGTTATTGAGCTATAATTGAATTAATTAATTACCTTTACGTACATTGTCAAACTTATAATCTACTGTGTTATGTGTATGGTTATGTAATGTGGGAGAAGCTGACAAAAGCCGGCAGGAAGGCGCACACACGTATACACTCAATGCAACATGACTGTATGCACAAAAGTTGTCCCATCACATGGTGTGCTTATGGGCTGGTGTCCATAGGGACAGCTGCTCAGTCTGTCAGCACAATGGGAATCAACAGGTAACTAACCGATCCGGGCCAAACACATTTTCCATAGAAAACCTTAACACAAAAGGCTAATCACAACAGTATATGTTCCCTTTCTGTTAAACCAACAAAGGCTCACCATTACTCAGATGCATGCAAACCCAACCTACCTGAAGAACCGGATAAAACGAAGAGACTGACCATTAAATTGAATCCGGTTCCTCTTTATTCCCGGTTTGAGAGCCGGACTCAGGCGCCATTTGCATGCGTACAGTATGTGTGTGTGTGCAGGAGTGATAAAGGCGGCAGAGAGAAAACACACGGAAGTGACCAAACATATCAACTGTTGGAGGGCTTCAGCTGGTGCCTCATGAGTGAGGCCTATGACTAAGATCGGAAGAGAGTAGGAGTGTGCCAATGTTGCCATACCAATACTGCAGAGAGAAAGAAAAAGGAGGTTGGAAAGAGTGGAAGGTGATTGGACCGAGCACAGTTACACCAAATAAGACCAAAAATAGGCAGTGTGTGTGGAGTGGGACGGTAGTGTAATTCACCCTCATTTATGTAAACATTTACATTTTGATCAACACTTTGACCTCACAGGCAGAATTATACTCAGGTTATATTGTGTGCTTTACATACGTACAGTATGTGTATGTGTGTGTGTGTGTGTGTGTGTGTGTGTGTGTGTGTATATCCATGTCTGTGGTTGTAAATTATTAACTTACTGTGCTCATCAGATTGTCTGCAGGATGTGCTGTCAGGGATGGGATAGCATGCAAGCATTTCTTCCAATAAAACACAACACAAAGTGTAGGGACTTAAGGGGGAAGTACAATCGCCTGCTTCCTCTTCTCTGTTCTAACTATATCTCTCTTGTTAACTTGGTTGGACACAAGTTATTGCAGGGAAGCCAACTTTTTCTAAGGAGTGACTTGAAGAGGCTCTGCAAACGCACAAGGCCATCGAATGTGTGCAGCCCATGCCCCTGCCTCGCAGTGCTGCTGTTGTTTATTGATACATGGCCGTGAGTAATATCCCCTCCAAGAATAGATGCTGGTCAGAGCAACAAAAAAAAAAAATTTCACAGCTTCATCTTTGCTTTTTATTTTATTTAATCATCCCTGACCAAATCTTTCCTCCATTGTGTGGACTCACACCCTCACATCACGACGAGCCCTCCCTCATTCCCTTCATATCTCTCATCCCTGCTCCTCTCTGTCCCACACTACATGCCTCTCTATTTATACGGTTGAGTCAGTTTGCCACTGACAGCAGTGAGCGATAAGGAGGATTGAATAATCGTGTATTAGAAACACTGAGCTTTCATCCATCAATATACTCTCTTGAACGGAAATACTAAGTGTCGCTGGCAGTTCATCGAAGCGTTTAAAAGATATGGCTGGAATGAAAAGAGGGCACAATCGTAACCGTGCTGTCACATATGTAGAGTTTTTACAAAAAAATGCATCGCTGTGTGCCCAAGGGAATGTCCTCAGCATCAGCAGAGGCTCCACAGAAGGAGAGGTGTATCACTCCAGCAGGATACTGGTCCATAGGTGTCTGGTTTCAGATGTCAGGCATGCTGGGAGCACAGTGTGGAGCACAGCACAGCCAAGTGGACAACAATGGAAACATGCAGAGACACAGGTGTTTCTACTAAGAACCCAACGCGCGAGAGCGTGTGTTTATTTCCCCGTGTGTAAATATGTTGCAGCGCATATGTTCATACACTGTATGTATACAACTGCAATACATGCGCTCGCATGTGTGTGTGTGATACCCGGCAGATATTATGGCTGTGTGTTTAATGTGTATGAGTGTGTTTGTATTAGCTCACTGGTATTGATTCACTTGCACTCTAGCTGCACTTTAACTGCACTCATGCATACTTCCCTCAGGAGGGTAACACCTGCAATTGGAAATGAAGGAAATATTCCCTAAAAGAGAGACACGTGGCTCTGCGAAGACCGCAAGATCAAGAGGCGAGTCGTGTGGAAAACAAAGAATGAAAATTCAGATCACAGTCATTGTCTCTCTCTCTCTCTCCTAGTGTCCATTCCCCCTTGTCTTTATTTACAAGTCTCTCTCTTACTGTCTCCTTCTCGCTCTCTCCCTTTAACTCACTGGAGGATGCTAACCCATCAGGTCCCTTGGCTCCCATCCATGGGATGATGTCATTTTAGATGACATCACCATGCAGTGTATGTGTGTTTGTGCTGTGTGTGTGAGTGTGTGTGCTCCCTCCTCCTCCTGCAGCACTCCCTCTGTTTCTTTCCTCTGAGGGAAGGTGCTGTTTGACACACACCCGCTATACCCAGACCATCAGCCAAACTGCCGTGCTAGCACAAGTATTCGCAGAGAGCAGGGCAAGGAGAACAAGGAGGGGAAGGCAGAAAACACTCACACAAAGAAAGAGGCGAGCTAGTCTTTGGAGCAGCGGTGGTGTGATGTGAGGGCAGAGACAGAAGAGTGGAGGTGTGGCGAAGACTCCGAGGGGCAAGTTAGTTTAATTACACAACACTGCTGCTGCCATAACACCACAAAGCCCAGGCATACACTGTCATTAGGTTTAAAACTAGTACACGGAGGAGTGCCACAGACAGTCTGAACTTGTTTGGCTCTATTGTCTGTTGTTAACACTGATATATTTAAAACTTCACTGTATGATGCAAAATTCGGATACACAAATGGCTTTAAAGGAATAATTCAACGTTTTTGGAAATGCGCTTGTTTGCCTTCTTGCTGAGAGTTAGTCGGGATGATGGACACCTTTCATGTCTGTGAGGTAAATTTGAGGCTACAGCAAGCAGCAGGTTAGCTTAGCTTAGCACAAAGAGTGGAAACAGCTTGGAGTCATAACCCCCCTGAAACCACACCTTCTCGTTTGTGCTTGGTTTTCTGTACGAATTAAGCAAATGTGACATAAAGAGTTAATTAGTCAGATATAGAGGCGTTGGTAGACTGTTTTTAGTTGTTATGCTAAGCTATGCTAACCACCTGCTGGCTGTAACTTCATATTTGTCCTACAGACATGAAAGTGGTATCGACTGCTCAACCAGTCATTCAAATGACACAACAGGGTGTTTGTCCATAACCCGTAGATTGAGATTTGGAAATATTTTTTGATCTGACGCCTGGACGACGTCATTTGTCTTTGCCTTCTCAAACCGTCACAAATCACTGTTGAAAAATAAATCTGTTTTATAATGTGACTTAGTTATGTTTTGGGGAAAAAAAGTGTGATTTGGGTTAAAATGACTTCTTGATTAGGGTTTGGGGACCGTTACCTTCTTCATC